CATTCTCTGTATGAAAGTAAGAAAACAACTTCCGCTTTGTTAAGTTTGAAAATTAATTCTCTTTCAAGAGAATATTCTTTTGATTTTATGAGAATAAAAAAGAAAAAAAAAGAAAAATCAATGAAAATCGATACTAATCCAAATTTATGACATTATTCTTTTTCTCAATAACCTCAATTTGTTTGTCGTCATCATTCTTCGTCGTAGTGATAGTAGTTAATGTTATTTAGTACATCAAATCATCATTTTTATCCAATATGTTTGTAACCAGATACCAACTGGATAATTAGTTTGTGTTTGTGTGTGTGTGTGTGTGTTGTGACCGAATTTTTATTTTTTACGTTTTCACTTTCTCTTGTTTTTTTTTAATTTATCTACATGAATAAATTCCTTATTCACGTTAAATGAAATTTGAATCAAATTAATTCTGATTAAACAAAGAATTTAGAAAAAAAAGAGTACGACAAAAATAACAACAACAACGACAACAACAACAACAGAAAATTCTGTATCGTAAACATTTTCAACATCAGTATCAGATCTGTATGTTTTCATCAACATACATGTCCCATGGCATGCAAGAATTTCGTTTTGTTTTTTTTTTTTTGCATCTGAAAATTCATTAGAATTTTGTGTGTTTTCTAGCAAAAAAGAACAATTGTAGTTGAAAATTTGACGAAAAACAAGTGAACATTTGTTTTGGTTTGTTGGGTTTTTGCAAGTTATTTTTGTAATAATTTTTTTCTTCAGGACGGGTATTTCAAAAAAAAATTCATATTTCAGCAAAACGAAAAAAAAAATTTAGGTTCGACACACATGCACACACACACACACACACCGGTTATTTATAGAAAATAAATTCATTTACACCTTGAGTAAATTTTGGTCATTCATTTATCATCATTATACGATAATTTGCTCGGTGTTTGTAAATGGCCACAAACGAATTTTTTTTTTTTTTTGGCAATATCATCGATTATTATTGAATCGTTGTCATTATCGTTTGTTGTTTTTGTGGTTAACAACAACAACAACAACAACAAATTGTGGTTTCATTTACACTGTAACAACAACAACAACCACAACAATAATTTACGAATCATTATCTAATCGATCAATCATTTTGTGTCATTACCATTTACTTATTGTGTGTGTGTGTGTGTGTGTATGAGTGCGAGATTTGAAATCATGTAATTTGTGATTTTCATTTGCGTGAAAAAAAATCCAATTCATTTGATTAACAACAACAACAAACGCATTGGAGAAAAATAAATAAACAATCAATTTATATGCATGAAAAACGAAAATTTTTCCACACAAATCAATCATTCAGATCATCATCAATGAATGGTTAATAATTACTATCGGAAGTAATGTTCATTCGTACTCGAAAAATGTCATGGTTGTTGTTGTCGATTTATCCAATTTCATTGTTCATTACCACCACCACCACCACTACTCCCACTTTTTCCGATATTTATAGCCATTCAACTAGTAATGATTATTGGAATGATCATTCATTCATCCAATTCATTTCAATTACACGACCTTAGTGAAAATTGATTTTTTTTTCTCTCCATTTACATTTATCGGAAATGATTTTTTTTTATATATATTCGGATGACAAAAAAAGTTGTTGTCATTTATTTTTTCGTGTTTATCATCACAACAAAATATTTTTCAGTGCTGCTGCCGCACTGAAAATCCAAAAAAAAAAATTCCGGTTTCACCAGAATTTAGTTGTTGTTGTTGTTGTTCAGTAGCACAGAATTAGAATTTATTGACAATTATTATCTTTTATTTATAATTGCGAAACAAAACAACAACAACAACAACAAAAAATTTCCGCCCGATTATTATATATAATAATCATATTTGTCAAACACATAGACACACACACAAACTGATGAGATGATGATGATGATGGTGATCGGATCATAATCGGATCTAATACGGGTAAATAAATAAATAATAACCACACACATATATAAATTTAGGTCAAATTAAATGTCCATATCAAAAAAAAGACAAAACAAAAAAAAACCTCCAGAGTCCATCAACATGAAATGGCGATAAATAATAATCCATTTTAAATTAAGCCCATTGGGCATGTCGTCATTCGTTTGTTCATTATAATGTGGCTTTCGATAGTGACTGACCACGGTCATTCATAAATTCTGTAATGCACATCATTCATCATTGTATTAATTTTTATTTTTTTCATTTTTTTTTCATTATTTCAAATAAATATAGATCCAATAATAGGTCATAGAGATGATGATAATGATCATCATCATCATATACAAATAATGACAAGAAGTCGTATTAATTATAATAAACAAAATCAAAATATGAATATTAATCAACATAATAATAATAATGATAAGAAACAAATTCATCATCTAATCTATAATGATAATAATAACGATAATGATGATGATGATGGTAATGATGATCAAGGAAAAACACGTGCTGCCATTGATGAATTGAATGAAGTATTACGTAATATATTTCCTGTAGTACCATATCAACAAAATCATCATAATCATCATAATGGCCATAATAATTATAATAATAATGAAAATAATGATTATTATTATCATCCACATCAACAACAACAACAGCGAAAACAAAAACATTTTGTTTGGTCACGTGGTGGTGGTTTATTTTTCCAACCACCACCACCACCACCACCACCACCATCATCATCATCATTGTCATCATTGTCATCAAATTTGGATTCAATGAATAAACATCATCGTCATTATCAATCATCATCAACGCCATGGTTTTCAAATACAGATCCAATCAATAATGATGAAGATATTTCTTCTTCTATCGATTCAAATTCCGTTGATAATAATAATAATTTTGATTCAGAAAATAATCCAGATAATAATGATATGGCATCATCGATTAAAAAATCAAATCAAATTGTATTCATGGATACAACAAATACAATTGATACAAACAATCAACAATTATCACCATTACCATCATCATCTGCATCATCCATAAATATCGTTACAAAACCAACAACAACAAGTATTTCAATGGAAAATATGGATCATTCAAATATAATGGATCAACAACAACCGCAACCGCAACAGCAACAAACAATCAGTGAATACAATTCCATTATCATCATCATCATCATCAATATCAGCATCAACGAGGGCATCCCCATCACCATCATCATCAGTATTGAATATAGAATCGATGGACAATAAAAATGATAATGATGATAATAATAATAACCAAAACAATGATGAATCAACAATATTAAAAGATCCAAATCGTTTGATTGAATTATTACGTAGACATTTGCAACAATTTCCACGTGAAAGGCTATTATTACAGAAACAGCAACAACAACGTGAACAGAATCGACAAAAATTATATTCAATTCATCAACATAAACCATCAATATTATCATCATCATCATCATCGATTTTACGATCATCACCATCATCATCATCAAGTTCAACAACATTAGGCAAAAGAGGACCAGAATGTATGCGTCGTTGTATATTGCAAGGATTATTACATCCGGTTCAATGTCATTCATTGTGTTGAAGATAATCAAAATCAAAAATAAAAAAAATTTAAAAAATTCAAAACAAGAATATTGGAATATGGAATTCTGAAAATGATGATTCTGACAACAAATTTTTTTTTTCGTTTTGTTGCTGCTGCTACTTCCTTTTTTTTAAACAAAAAAATTCTATTATTCATTTGAATGTGAAACCTTAAAAAAAACCAGGAAAAGTCATAATTACACTCAAAAAATATATCACCAACACAAACACAAGAGACGTGTGTACCACTCCCACACATTCGAACATATACCAATAATAAAAAAAAACCATATGTTTTCACATTGATTCATTCATTCATTGATTGTTTGTTTGTTTGTCTATCTGTCTGTTTATTTTTTTTTGATTTTAATTTCACTTTTGTTGTTGTTTATCGATCGACTTTGATTATCATCATCATCATCATCATCATCATCATCATCAACGTCGTCATCAATTCTCAACCAACCACTACATTTCTTGTAATTCCAAACATTCATCATCATCATCATCATCATCATCAATTAACCATCCACCGACTACCATCACCACCACCACCACCACCCCAACCACAACTCATCTATTTAAGAACTTTTTCTCCAACAAATTCTTTTGTTTTTTTGTTGAAAATAAACAAAACAAAAATCAATGAAAACGGAAATAGAAAATTTGATGAATTTACCACACACACACGCATACTATTAAAAAAAATTGGACTCACATATATGACTACTACTGCTACTACTGAAATTTCAATTTTTTTGTTTTCATTTCAATTTTCAATTTCCTGAAAAAAAATTTTTCGATGAATTATTCATTCAATTAATATCCAATCACACACACACACACACAGAACATTCTAATTCCTGAATTTAAATTGAAAAATTATCAAAAAAAAAAAAAAAAAAAATATAGATTATTTGTTTAATCCACCTATTGCTATAATTCCGGTTTGTGTTTATCGAATGAAAAAACAAAATTCACTAGATTCTTGATATTTGACATTTCCTATCTATTTATATAAATATAAGATTTTTGTTTGTTTCTAAAAAAAAAATTCTTGTCTTGTGCTTAAATGTCATCATCATCATCATCATCATCCAACATCAACACAGAGCAAATCTTATCCACCGAAAACTAACTAAATAATAAAAACCAAAAATTTTTTCCATTCATTCGAATCATCGATAAATCAGTATTGTTTTAATTGTTGAATTATTCAATTCATTTATGTCGTATACTTAAATAACATTCACACACACACACACACACACAACAACAACAACGACAACAACAAACAACAACAAAAAAATTTTTCTTGCAGTTTTTCTGTTAGCTTTTTCCCCCTTACTATTTGTTTGTTTGTTTGTTTTTCTTTCCCATTGTGGATTGTAATTTCAATTTCAATTTCAATAATTAATAATTTATTAAAATAAAGAAAAAATTGACCATCAATAAAGTTTCCGGCTTTCGTTTCTGTTTTTTTTCTCTTGATTGAACCACAACAACAACAACAACAAAAAGGTCATCAATTTGGAATTATCATGGAATTTCGAATGTTTTTTTTGTTGAATTCAAAACAAACGCCATCTATGAACGAGTAGTCATAATTTCGGATGAAAACACAACAAAAACAATTTTTGTCAATAAAAAAACCAATATTTTATTGATGAGGTGTTTTTTTGTTTTGTTGATGGTTGTTTCACATCATCATCATCATCATTTTTTCTTGTGAAAATGTTGGAACTAGAAGATGATCGCCGTAAATTGGCCAATGCAACGAATAGTTTGGCTCGTCTAAAATCATTATTAACATCATCGACAGATAATTGTATGAAAATGGTCGAAACATTAACACAATTTGATGATCGTCTGTTGAAACTAGAAGAAACAGTACAACCAGTTTATAAGCAAACTGGTAATCTACAACGACAACAAGAGAATATAAATTCATCATTAAAACGGCTTGATTATGTTATAAAATTCTATACGGTTGCTGGCGAAGTTGAACCAAATATCATCAATGGTCCAGGATCATCATCAATGTATGGTGAATATATTTCGGATCTTAATCGTCTTACAGATGCTGTACGTTATTTTGAACGTAATAATCGTGAAAGTCCTGAACTGATGAATTGTGGTAGTCTATTGGAAAAAGGTGGACAAATTATTCAGAAAGAATTTCGTCAAAATATGTCACGTCATAGTGAAGAGATAAAAAAAGTTGACATCATTCTCGATATGATCAAATCGAATGGTCCAATTATTCAAAAACAACAACAACCACAACAACAATCATCGAATGATGATCAATTATTGGAAAAAAATCAATCATCATCATTAACAACATCACCGCAACAAGAACCGGATTTATATAAAGTGTTTAAATTATCTGATCGTCGTAATGGTGGTGGTGGTGGTATTGGTAATCCAGAAAAAATTTTACAAGATTTAAAATTATTAGCTGAATGGCTTTGTTATAATCGTAATCAAGATTTTCTACTACTATATTCACGTTTACGATCCGATGTTTTATCTAAATCATTGAAAAATCTTCGATCATATCTGAAATCATCAACACTTGGTTCAATGATTAAAACACTTGGTGCACATCTATCACCATTGTTGGGTGGACGTAAAAATCTTCATCTAATGAAACGTATCGATATTTCTACATCCACAACATCATCATCATCATCGATGGATAAAGATAATTTATTGGACATTAATATAACTGAACCAGAAATATTTGCCTATGTATTAACAGTAACTGGTTTATTGAAATTGATGCAATTAGAATTATCATTAATCGAACGAATAATACCGGTGGAACATCAGAAAACGATATTTTCACGTGTTATTCTTTCATCATTGGAATCAGTTTACAATGAAGGTGAACAATTATCAACACGTGTAAAAAGATCGGTACAAAAACAGGATTTCAGTTCGGCACTATTTCTATTGCCCGTACTACGTTATCATGCATATATGCGTCATTCATTCGATTTGCTGTTGGATGGTTGTGATCCACAAGTATCGAATCGATTACATTCACTTGTTGTTACATTACAGACAACCATATCGAAAACATTGGAAGAATTTATTGAATACATTAAATGTGATCAACATCATCATCGTGTACCAAAAGATGGTACTGTACATGAATTAACAAGCAATGTAATGCTATTTCTGGTACATTTACAATCATATTTGGATATATTATCACGTGTAGTAACGGTGACTGATATACAATCATTAGAATTATCTGGTGATAAAAATCGTATCGCATTTGCACAATATATTTGGCGTGTACTATCGGCAATGGGTCTTTCATTACGTAAACGTTCTGAATCATATCATAATGATCAAGCATTACAATCATTATTTTTATTGAATAATACATTCTATATATTGAAAACATTGACAACCAGTTCATTACTATCGATTGTATCATTATATCGTTCGAACATACGTGATGATTATCAAATACAGATTCGTGAATTTAAAATGGAATATTATAAATGTTGGAATAAAGTTGTTCACTATATTGATGAAATAAATAATCCGACAATTTTATCACCACAACGTACGGGCACAATGTCATCATCATCATCATATTCAACATTGTCAAATTCACATTCATCATCATATAGTTTATCTGGTATATCGTCATCAACCATTAGTGGTCATCATCATCATCATCATCATACACAACCAATGATGATGATTCGATTGAAGGATAAAGATAGACAAATTATTAAAGATAAATTTGCTGGCTTCAATAAAGAATTTGAACAAGTTATACAATCACATCGTTCGTATGCTATACCTGATCGTGATCTACGTGAAGAGATTAAAAAAGAATTAATTCAATGGTTAAATCGTATCTATTTTCAATTCTATGAACGTTATGTTGCTGTAGAATTTACGAAAAATGTTCATAAATATATTAAATATACACCGGATCATGTATCACAATCGATTAGTTTGTTATTTGATGAATTGGCTTGAATTGAATTGATGATTAGAAAAATTGTAAATTTTTAATTATGAATTTTTGTTTTTATTTTTATTCAATCAAATGAATAAACTTTTTCAATTATCACATAATTACAAAAAAAAACTATAGAATCATTTAGAATTCCATTAGAGTTCACCAAATTCGAAAATTGCAGTTTTCAATCAAAGAGTCAAAATTGAGAAAAAGATTTTTATTTATGAAAGTGTGGCCATCTGTTGACAGAAAAAAAAATTCAGTAACATCTTTTTTTTGTCGATTTCGGCAATAAAAAAAAAAGTTTTTATTTTTAAAAACTAAAAATCCAACATATTCTATTCGATCTCATTAGTTAATAATTCATTTTTCACTAATGAACGAAAATATTTTCGCTCCACTTTACCAATGGATGTACGTGGAATATGCTGCACAAATTGTACACCAGCACGTAAACGTTTTTGGAAACCCAGATTTTCCTGTACTGAATCGATTATTTCTTTTTCACTTAACGATTGTCCTTGACGAATTTGAATGTATGCACGTGTATGATAGCCATCAACTTTATGTGGTACACCGACAACACAAACACTATCAACAGCAGGATTCTTTAGAATAAATTCTTCAATTTCAGTTGGAAATACGCTCCATTCACGAAATTTGAATAATTCTTTGATACGATCAACAATATACAGGTAACCTTCATCATCATAATAACCAACATCACCGGTATGATACCAGCCATCTGAATCTATGGTTTCTTTTGTTGCTCTTTCATTTCTAAGATAACCAACAAATTGTTGTGGACCACGTATCAGAATTTCGCCTTGTTTTTCAGCAGGCAATGATTTTCCGGTTTCCAGATCAATAATTTTCATTTCAACACCCGGTGATGGTCTACCCACTGTACCCAATTTGAGTTTACCACCAAACATAAATTCCATATTCTGAATTCCACCTAAAAATTCTGTTGAACCATAACCATCAATGAAGAGAACTTTATATTTTTTCTGTATATTTTCAATACAATTCAATGGGATTTTCGAACCACCACATGGAATCATTTTCACTGAACTTAGATCAAATTGTTCACGATAATCATTTTGTGCCATTTGAGTAACATGTTTTGGAGATAATGACAAGAAGGCTACTCGATATTCCGATACAAGTTGTAATAATCTTTCCAATTGATTATTAACAACTAAAACATTTGTACGGCAATTTATTATTTCTGAAAGCAAAACAAATGTACCGGACACATGACTTAATGGATACCAAAACAGTCCATATTTTTGATTAAATCTATCAAACATTTTGTTTTGATTTGTATCATTATTTGCTGAATTTTGCATTCTTTTACCAATTGAAGCCAGCATTGAATAATTTGAATGAATAGCGCCTTTAGATGTACCCGTTGTACCAGATGTATAAATGATAACAAAATGATCATCTTTATCTACGGGAAAATGGGGTATCTTGGCCATATCACCACCGTTGTTTATCATTTGTTTGACATGATCAATTTTGCATTCGCTGTCTTTTAAAATTGTCTCTATATTTTTGATGATTGCACTGTTGTTGTCATTTTCATTTTCATTCATCAAAATAATCAATCGTAAATGTTCAAGTATGTCTTGACGATATTGTTCATTACGTAATGCGCCTTCTAATATTGGCAATTGTTTTTTACAATCAATAATCAATATTGAACCACGAGAATCTTTTATCTGTTGTGTTAATTCAAATTTTCCATTAGCCGCCTTGACCGGTGTAAATGTACAACCAGTAAATATTGTTCCAATCAATGTTATTGCATAATCGAGAGAATTTTCACTGTGAAATACAACTGTTTCTTCTTTTTTCAAATTATATTCATTAATCAATGATGATGCAAAATGTTTGGATTGATTATACCAATCTTTATAGGACAATTTTTTCATATTCATTTCGGCATCAATCTATTGTGAATAACGTGAAATTTTTTTTTTAGAATTTAATCAAAATTCAACAATCGATATATATATTTACCAAACCAATCGTTTCAGTGTTAGCCATTTCTTTCATAGAATCGTCTAGAAATTGGGCCATAGTTTGAAATTCTGGCATTGTTTTTGGTGCAACATTACGAACAATGTGTTGATCATTATCGATCTCGATCTGTGCCAATAGTTTGAGTGGATCATATTTCGTTGGTGGTTGAGTAGTAGTAGTTGGAGTAGTTGATGATGGCATTTTCAAAACAAAAAAAACAATAAATTCAATGAACGATGCACAAAAAAAAAACAAAAACCAAGTCGGATATTGGATTGGATGAAATTGGATTTTCTTATTTTATAAGAAATCCTTCGATGAAATTCTCCACACATATCAGATGAGTTGACGATAATGAAAATCAATCAATGGATTTCTACACCATAAATAAAATCAATTTATCTTATCATCATCATCATTATGTATTGCTTAGATTTACATTATTAAACAAATGATGACAATCGAATGATACTGGTATTTTCATCATTTTGATCAATTCAATTGAATGATATGCCGAAATTATCAATCCAATTTAATTGACATTGACAAATGTACTGAACTTGAAGTTTGTACCGAACACACACATGTGTACCGAAATTGTGTCTTCAAAGAAAAAGCCAAAGTTTTAATTGATTTTTTCGAAATGATTTTTTTAAATCATCATTTTGAGACAAAAAATGAATGATAAAAAGGAATTGTGATCTGATTCGATTCGATCATTGATTTGATTTGAAACACAATCAATATGATCATTTTTTAAAAACTAAAAATCCAACATATTCTATTCGATCTCATTAGTTAATAATTCATTTTTCACTAATGAACGAAAATATTTTCGATCTAATTTATCAGTGGATGTACGTGGAACATGCTGCACAAATTGTACACCAGCACGTAAACGTTTTTGGAAGCCCAGATTCTCCTGTACTGAATCGATTATTTCTTTTTTACTCAACGATTGTCCTTGACAGATTTGAATATATGCACGTATATGATTGCCATCAACTTTATGTGGTACACCGACAACACAAACACTATCAACAGCAGGATTCTTTAGAATAAATTCTTCAATTTCAGCTGGAAATACGCTATATTCACGAAATTTGATTATTTCTTTGATACGATCAACAATATACAGGTAACCTTCATCATCATAATAACCAACATCACCGGTATGATACCAGCCATCTGAATCTATGGTTTCATTTGTTGCTCGTTCATTTCTTAGATAACCAACAAATCTTTGTGGACCACGTAAAAGAATTTCGCCTTGTTTTTCAGCAGGCAATGATTTTCCGGTTTCCAGATCAATAATTTTCATTTCGGCACCAGGTGATGGTCTACCCACTGAACCTAATTTAAATTTTCGACCAAACATAAATTCCATATTCTGTATTCCAGCTAAAAATTCTGTTGTACCATAACCATCGATGTAAAAAACTTTATATTTTTTCTGTATATTTTCAATACGATTCAATGGAACTTTCGAACCACCACACCAAATCATTTTCAGTGAATTTAGGTCAAATTGTTCATGATAATTGTTTTGTGCCATATGAGCAACATGTTTTGGTGACAATGACAAGGCAGCTACTCGATATTCCGATACAAGTTGTAATAATCGATCCAATTGATTATTAACAACTAAAACATTTGTACGACAATTTATTATTTCTAAAAGAAAAATAAATGTACCGGACGCATGACATAATGGATACCAAAACAGTCCATATTTTTGATCAAAGTTTTCAAACATTTTGTTCTGATTTGTATCATTATTTGCTGAATTTTGCATTCTTTGTCCCATTGAACCCATCATTGAATAATTTGAATGAATAGCGCCTTTAGGTGTACCCGTTGTACCGGATGTATAAATGATAACAAAATGATCATCTTTATCTACGGGAAAATGTGGTATCTTGGCCATATCACCACCGTTGTTTATCATTTGTTTGACATGATCAATTTTGCATTCGCTGTCTTTTAAAATTGTTTCTAAATTTTTGATAATTTCACTGTCGTTGTTGCTGTTGTCATTTTCATTTTCATTCATAATAATTATCAATCGTAAATTTTCAAGTATATCTTGACGATATTGTTCACTACGTAGTGCAGCTTCTAATATTGGCAATTGTTTTTTACAATCAATAATCAATATTGAACCATGACAATCTTTTATCTGTTGTGTTAATTCAAATTTTCCATTAGCCGCCCTGGCCGGTGTAAATGTACAGCCAGTAAATATTGTTCCAATCAATGTTATTGCATAGTCGAGAGAATTTTCACTGTAAAATACAATGGTTTCTTCTTTTTTCAAATTATATTCATTAATCAATGATGATGCAAAATGTTTGGATTGATTATACCAATCTTTATAGGACAATTTTTTCGTATTCATTTCGGCATCAATCTATTGTGGTGTGAGCAATAAAAATTTAATCAAAATTCAACAATACAATGAAATCAATATATATTTACCAAACCAATCGTTTCAGTGTTAGCCATTTCTTTCATAGAATTATCTAAAAATTGGGCTACACTTTGAAATTTTGGCATTTTTTTCGGTGCAACATTACGAACAATGTGTTGATCATTATCGATCTCAATCTGTGCCAATAGTTTGAGTGGATCATCATTCGTTGGTGGTTGAGCAGCAGTAGTTGGTGCATTTGTCGATGGTTCTGTTGATGATGGCATTTTTAAAACAAAAAAAAAGTTTAAATTTCAATTGACAAAAAAAAAAAAACAAACAAAAACCAGGATAGGATAAAATTGGATTTTCTTATTTTATAATAAATGCTTCGATGACATTTTCTCCACGCATATGAGATCAGTTGATGACGGATGACTGAGAAATCGCATCATTTAATCGATAATAATGATAATAAATCCATAAATTTCTTACCTTTTACATCGCAAAAAAACAATTTATCTTATCATCATTATGTGTTGCTAGGCTTTGCATCATTTAACAAATAACAATCGAATGATACTGGGATTTTTATTATTTTGAAATTAAATTGAAATTATCATTCCTATTTAATCGCCATTGACCTTTGTATCGACCACACCCAAACACACACACACACACACACACACACACACATTTGTACTAAAAAGTGGCTCTTTGACAAAAGGTCAAAGGTTTTAGTTGATTTTTTTTCGAAATTTTTTTCTTTTAATCATCATTTTGAGACAAAAAAAATGGATTGATTGATTTGTAGAATCTTTTTTTTGTGATCATGGGGTAAAAGGAATTATGATCGGATTTGATTTGATTTGAAAACATTAATCATTAGATGAAATCATTCAATATGTGAACCACACCATTGTTGGTTGTTATATCGGCATATTGAACATGGCCACCATTAACGTAAAAAGATTCTAAAATTGAAAAAGAAAAAATTTTTTTTCAGAAGACAAAAACAACACTGCAACAACACAATACTTACGTGCAGATCGTCGAATTCGTAATGGTTCATGATCCATACAGCTTGGTACTTCGGTTTGACGGCCTTGAAAATTTGGATCAACTTGTTCACGTGGTGTAAGCGGAATTGAACTACGATAAATAGCACGATTAGCTACCAGATGGCTATCGACAAATCTACGGCAAGCATTCGGATCACGAACAAGTGAATTTAATTGTCGTGGTGATAATCGTTTACGGATTGCATCATCTGTAGGTGTAAACATTGTATATGATCGATCTGGTCGACTTAATTGTGGGGCCATTTGTGCTTGATCCACTATTTCACGACATAAACGTAGATTAGGTGATCGTTTCATAACAGAATAAATGGATTGTTGTGGTGGAAATAGTACCGCACCAGTGGATACCATTCGAATTGGACCAATTTGATGTGAATTTTTCAACGGACAACCAGAGATTAATGGTTGATATTGGCCAGTTAATGGTGATGGCATTATACTACGATCAAAACGGATTTGTCGTTCTGGTTGCATTGTTTGTATTGGTGCAAATGTATCATATGGTTGTCCTAGTGGACTATGAAAATTACTACGTGTTGCTGGATATATCTGTTCAAATGATTCAGGTATAGCATGCATAAGCATTAGATCGGCATTACGTTTTGGTTGTTGTTGCATTTTATTCAACATATTGAACGGCAGTTGTGAAACAGCACTGTCTTCTGGTGCAAATAATGTAACATTGAATTCTTTTGCTTTTTCAAGAATCTGATCCATTACACCACTGTTCATTAGCCAATCAACGAAACGTGCACAACGAAGTTGTCGTGCTGATTTTTGCATCAATTGTTGCATTTCACCAAAATCATCTGGATCATTCGGTTCGATTCGTTGTTGTGGTTCGAATGCCGGATAATCTTCTGGTCTTTGTTCGAATGGATCTTCTGAATCACGTTGTTGTTCCAATGGATAATCATTCGGTGATTCTTGTTCCTGTTCTTGTTGTGGTTGTGGTTGTGGTCGTCGTCCAGCTGCAGCTGGAGATTTTGGTCTTCCATTTCCGTTTGGTTTACCGTTCTTTTTCTTGGCCGGTGCTTGCTGTGCACTATTGTCTGAATCTTCTGGTTGTTGTTTTGGTTGTTTACCTTTTTTTGCTGGAGATTTTGATTTTGGTTTTTTGCTTTTTGTTGGTGGGGGTTGTGGAGGTTGTTGTTGCTGTGATTCACCAAATGAATCATCTTCATCAGGTATTTCTTCCTGTTTTTGTTGTTGCTGTTGAGGTTGTGAATCAAAATCATCTGCATCTGGCTGTTGTTGCTGTTGTGGTTCTGGTTCTTCATCACCAGATTCTTCTTGTTGTGGCTCTTCTTCTGGTGCATCTTCATCATTTGATTTTCCAACATCCTCGGGTTTTTCCTCATCTTCATCTTTTGGTTCGTCTTCATCTTTCGGTTCATCTTCCTTTGGTTCATCTTCGTCTTTTGGCTCATCATCTTTTGGTTCGTCTTCATTTTTGGTTCATCTTCTTTTGGTTCCTCTTCATCTTTCGGTTCATCTTCCTTTGGTTCATCGTCATCTTTTGGTTCCTCTTCATCTTTCGGTTCCTCTTCATCTTTCGGTTCCTCTTCATCTTTCGGTTCATCTTCCTTTGGTTCATCTTCGTCTTTTGGCTCATCATCTTTTGGTTCGTCTTCATCTTTTGGTTCATCTTCTTTCGGTTCATCTTCATCTTTCGGTTCATCTTCTTTCGGTTCATCTTCCTTTGGTTCATCGTCATCTTTTGGTTCGTCTTCATCTTTTGGTTCATCTTCCTTTGGTTCATCTTCCTTTGGTTCATCGTCATCTTTTGGTTCGTCTTCATCTTTTGGTTCGTCTTCGTCTTTTGGTTCATCGTCATCTTTTGGTTCATCTTCCTTTGGTTCATCTTCATCATTGGATTTTCCTACATCTTCGGGCTTTTCTTCATCATCTTCACTTGATTGTTGTGGAGCATTTTGGTCAGAATCATCTTCCGGTTCGTCATCATCAATCGCCTGTTGTGGATCTTGTGGCTGATCATCTTCTTTTGGTTTTGGTTTATTTTGAGCAGGTGATTTTTGTCCTTTACCTCGTCCATTTGGTTTTTTACCCTTTTTCGGATATTGTTGCTGAGGTTTTTGATCCGATTGATCTTGATCTTCAGATTCTTCTTCTTGAGCAGTTGGTTTTTTTGGTTTCGGTGTTTTTTTCGCACCATTTCCATTTGATTTTGGTTTGGTTTTCCTAGGTGATTGTGGTAATGGTCGATACTCGTCTTCATCCGGTATATCCTCTATTTTCTGTTGTTCTTGTTGTAATGGTTCATCGAAACCTTGTTGATATCGTTGTGGAAAACCATTAGATTGTTGTGGGCGACGATTTTTAGCTTGTCGTAATACCTGTGCTGGTGGTGGTAAACGATTTTGTCTTTCAAGACGAACATGTTGATCTTCCGATATTTCCGAATCATTACCATCAGCATTACCGATTAATGGTGATGATTGATTTTTATCATTGAATAAATGTGCTGGTACAAGCCTTAATGTAATGAATATTCGTGGCACATATATCGGTGGTTGCCGGGGCAACAATCTATCCATATATGGTGCATTATCGAAAATAATATCATCAATAATGAAAATAATACCCAATGGTGTTTTGATTTGCCGTTTTGGGAATTCTTTCTGATTAATTCGAATTGTACGATCTGTTTCTTCACAATCAATCGAATTGCCATTTAAATTTCTCATACCACGACGACAACCTTGTTGTTGTTGTTGATTACCTGGTACCATGTGGTCAGATAGAAATTCTAAATTCACAGAAAAAAAATCGTATCACATTATTATTTTGGTATGTAATTTAAATACTGACCTTGAACTTGTTTCATATTTTTTGGATTAGCATTACGTGCAATATTTCTTGTGATTGGATTATCAAATGGACAGAAAAATGTACCGGATTCACGTAATTTTGGTTCCATTTGTGCAAATTTAACTAATCGTGATATTGTCGATAGAATTGGCTGCATAGACATTATTGTCATCGGACTGATTGGTTCATTTTGTAATCGATCCACTTTATGTACTAATGGGCTGGAACCCATATGAAGATTTGGTTTCAATACATTTGGCCGATCTTCTTTATGTGATGGTTCATCTGGACCATTATTTGATCGATAAATCGGTACACGTTGACCAACAATAGCATGATTATCGAGAAATTTTTTCTTATCCTCTTCCGACCAATCTTTTGGTGAATTATTAAATGCATCATCAGTTGGAGCAAATATAGTCATGTTTGGTCCTGTATTTTCGAATACAAAATCGTTCGATCATTCAAGCTAAAAATCATTATCATCATTTTTGTTTACCATTTTGATTAATAACATCACGAGTATTGGGGCTATCCAATGCAGCTTTGGCATTATTCAAATCATGTTCTTCATCCAGTACATCGTTAAGAAAATCAAATGGTGAACCAGTTTTTTCCGTCGATTCATCATCATTATCATTTATTGGTGGATGAAAATTTTCCGTTGTAGCCGGTCCAGGTAGAATATTCTCTTCAGCATTTTCGATTGATGGTCGATAATTGTTATCTATCAATAATTCAATATATTCAAATCATTAAAAATCAATCAAATTTCATTGACATGCAAAGAACAAAGAATGAAAACAGGCCACAGAATGATTACATACAATATGTTGGATTATTGAATGGATTATTGAAAAATGTTCGACGATTAGTGGGTAATAGAATCAGATATGGAGCCCGTGGTGGTTTTGGCTGTGTTGATGGTGGTGGTGGTACCACATGATCCCTGTAAACAATACGGCTATTCACACGAATTGTGGGCACTTTATTTTTGTCATCATCATCATCATCATCATATGATTTAAATGAGAAAGCCAATAAAATCCACACAGGCACACAGTTTGCAAAGGAAAAACAATAAATTTGGTTAAAGAAAATTAATCAATAGAAAAAAAAAACATCAATGTTAGTAAAAAAAAATAATAAAGCAGAAATCGAACTTTGATCATCATCATCATCCATCCATCCATTACCTCGAATGACCGATGATTGTTGACCATTCACCAATGACGTTACAATCGTCAATAATATTAATGTTGATATGGCCATTGTTAGATGATAATGTGTATGTGTGATGGCACGACGATTCACACTGAAGATCAAAATGAAAATGAATGGTCATTGACGATCAATGACGTACTTGTTTCAACAAAAACAACAACAACAACAACAACAACAGAAATTAACAACGATGTTACCGCCTCCGATTATTGACAGAAAAAAAAATATTGGTAAGATCCATTCATTTGAAAGAATTTCAATTTTTTTTTTGTCATTTACTTCTAAATTAAAATAAATTTGGTTTTGTTAAAGATTGTCCATTTCTTTACATTCATTCATTCATTCATTCATTGACTCAATTTATGTACTTTAGATGCACAATAGAATTAATTATTGAAATCTTCATTAGAAGCAAATAAAAAAAAAATGATGAAGAATGAATCGAAAAATCCATTAAGATTGTTTCACCATTTAAGTTTTGTGTGTGTGTGTGTGTGTGTGAAAATACCTTCGGAAAGATTTACGACAACGACAACAACAACAACGACGACGACGATGATTATCATTGACATTGACAACAACAACAACAACAACAAAAACGTTGTCGAATACAATGAAATATCATCATTTACAACTTTTAATTTTGGCCTCGTGTTCATAATAAATCAATCGTATGATGATTATTGAATCTTTTTTTTCTCTCTCTCTCTCACATCTGATGCAATATTCATAGACATTGAACAAATTACCACATTATCATTATCATAATGAAATAGCCACGGAAAAAACAAATTCGCTTACCTACCTACCTACCTATCTACTTGTAATAATAATCAATTCATAATGAATTCAAATGTGTTTTCAATTAATCACCAAAAAAAAAAAATTTTTTTTCGGAAACCGGATTCATTATAGCTTTTTGGCTCATTCAATCAAAAAAAAAAAAAAAAAAAAATTAATTTTTTCATGTTTTTTCCCAACAGAATATTTCTTCATTTTTTTTTCACATCGTAATCGTCTGAACCGAAGGTCAAGTGTGTGTGTCCACTACAATTGAATTCAATCAAATCAAAATGATTGGTTGATTGTTGTTGTTTCGAAATGAAAAGTGAAAAAATTTCATGAATTTTTTCACTTTTAAAAGTTTTTTTTTATATACAATGTAAATGAAATCACTTCCTTTTTTTTCTAAAATTTCAATAATTTGTCGTTGAATACAAATTATTTTTCAAGTGATTGATTGATTGGTGTCATTTATTGATTGATAAATTGTTCATTAAATCATTCAATACACACGAGTACATCGATTAAATTATCATTCATGTGAATATCATCATGTGAATTGTTTTCCTTTGTCGCTACGATGAAGATGATCATTATCCAAATGATGATTTTATGAAATGAATTCCATATGGTTATTCTGCTTAAAAATAATAATGATGAGATGATGATGATGATGAACCAAACTATTCGACTAGTTTTTGTTGTTGTTTTTATGAAAAATCACGATATTCGTGTAATAAAACCGGTGCAATCAATGCCCATAGATAGATGAGTCCAGAAAACCATGATGATATCATTTTAATCCATAATGAACTACTACTTTCACCAAAATGTTTATATGATTCTTGTGGTCTATAAATAGGGTTGGTTGGTAATAGAAAAAAAAGTTGAAAAGGTGAAAAAAAACCCAGATGATGACAGAAAAAAAACTTACGTAAACCAATTGGTAATGGTCATCATTAGGTAAAGTGTACCTAATGCCAATATCCAATAGAATGCTGGCCAATTGGAATAATTATCTTGATCTTCAGCAGAGTTGCCTGTTGGTTTTCAACAAAACAAAAGAAGGGAAAAAACCCAAAAATCAATCAATCAATCAAAATTAAAATTTTCAGTACATATATAGTGATGAAAAGCAAATGAAATGGAAAAAATCAACCAAACAAAACTTTAATTTTATGCAAACTATCTGTCTATACGCGATTGCAATAAATGTGAATTAATTAACAAAAAAAAAAAAAAAAAAAAAAAAATACTAACTTGAATCACCAGTAGTCAATCGTGTGGTTGAAGATACTTTTTTTGGATTTGAACAATGAAAAAAAGGGTAAAAATATAAAATCAGATTCAAGGGAAAAAATTTTTTTTTTTTTTTTGATTTCAAAAGAATCCTATACAAAGATCTACTACAGTTAAATTAAGCAAAAAAAATTGCAATATCATGGGATGGGAAAATGAGTAAATTCAGAATAAAATAACCACTTACCACTGCCATCAGCTTCATTATCATCATTTGAAACACCGGTAATACGTTCCATACCGGATTTTGTTGTCAAACGTATACTTGAATAAATGACACATACAAAACAAATTAATAATGAAATAAATGATTGGCCATCCATTGAACCAGAGCTGGCTGTCCAAAATGTTGGTTTACATTCATGTTGTGGTGATGAATTCAATGCAGACCATGTTAGATACGTTAAATATAGTGATAATGTTGATGCTTGTAATAAACCAGATTTGGGATTATCTACAAAAAAAATGATAAAGTGATATATCGATTGACCAGCAAAAATTCAAATCAATTCCAGTACTTACATTCTTGTACAGCAGGCAATATTGATACCAATGATAGACCGGCAATCATAATCATATTGATTGAGATTAAAAATTTATGCAGACTACAACCACTGCCACCATAATAAACATAGAACAATATGATGCCAACAGCAGATAGAATATAATTAGCCAAACTAATCGACACCAAAAGACATAATGGTCCACGACTATCAGAATCTTCCATACGTGATACTAATTCATCGGCTACTTCATCAGCAAACAATATGAGAAAACAGACTTGTATCAATAGATAAAAAAATGACCCGATGAAACCGAAATTTTTCCAAACTTGGAAAGAAAGTCAAGATTAGTAAGTCATTTTTTTTCTCTTGAAAAAAAATTTACCTGTTCCAAATGAACTATCACCAGGAATGTAGAATGCACCAACAATTCCAGCAATCAGAATGATAAATTTGATGGGCCAAAATCTGTTCGAAAGATTAAAAAAATTGAATACAAAAAAAACAGCGAACAATGCGATTACCCTCGATGCAATGCAACTCTTGGATCGCTTGAACGTCGTACACGAATCATTAATAAACCGAATATGATGAAAAACATAAATGTCGCAAACATTAATCGATAAACGGCCAAATATCCGGTAACTTCTTCACAGATATTATTTTTCGGTGCCACAGTACTGGCAGCGTCTCGATTGATGAAAAAATCTTTCAATGTATCCAAATGATCACCAACCAATGGTGTTTTAGTCCAACAAAACGGTACTTTTGATTCAAGCCAATCCGATACATTTGGTTGTGTCATAATCCAACCAGTTATTGTTACCAATAATAACATGAATGATAACATAATTCTTGCACCAATTGCCGGTGTTATACAACTGAAACAGCTACATGCTGTCGATGCAGCACAACAGGCCAACTGGATTCAATTCAATTCGATCAATCAGAATTTTTGGAAAAAAAAATTAAAATTAAAATTTGAAGAAAAAAAAAAGAAAAGAACAAATTACCTGGCCCATTCCACAGACGCTCAATAGAGCACCCATATTTTATCTAGTGAATTGATTCAATGAGAATCTAAATTACCAAAACGACGACAACGACGAAAATGACGCTCAAATTTAAAATGATTAATCGAACAAAAGAAAAACAACGCAGTTTCTTTTTCGGGTGTAAATAAACAGAAGAACAAAACTCAATAAGAATTTATTATTTAATCCATCAAAAGATGGCATTGATTACAATTATTTTTATTTTTTTTTTGTTTTGTTTTTATTTTTATTTTTCAAATTTGCGAATTCTATGATGATTTTGATGTTGAATTAACATTTTCAACTACTTCCCATAATGATTCAATGGTGAAACCATCTTTAATATTTTCAATTGATAAACCAATTGTTGGATCATATGTCCATTGATGTGAACGTTTTTCTGATGATTCACCTTCGGCTAGATATGCAAGAACTGGATCATAATTGTTTCCACTATGACCACCACCACCACCACCACCACGAGTGTTTTGTCCACTATCATTACCATCAGCATTATTTTCATCTAATAATTCTTGATAATTTCCTGCATTTTCACGATTCATAAACATCAATGAATTTGGATCATCAAATTCTTCAGCAGTATTTGTATTGTTGGTAGTGTTTGCATTGAAATCCATTCCGGCCATTGTTAATGCTTGATGTACACCAAAATCTGGATTTGTCACATGAACCGTGTACAAATTATTCAATTCTTCATATACGGCATTTAATTTATCAACAGGATCAACACGAAAACCAAGAACATAACCACCAGATAATTCACTTGATTCAATAACTAATGCAATACCAAATTTTGAATCACGTACTTTAATATTACGTATCTGAATGAATGGTAATGATATATTGAATAATTCATTGATATTTGCATGCCAAACAATACGAATATTAGTTAGATACATTGTGCCAAGATTTCCTTGGTCAGATGAAAGATTCCAAACACCATTGATAACATTATAAATCTGTTCCGATGATAACATTTTCAATTGTTTTTGATCAATTGACATTATTGCCGATCGAAGTCTTAGATCACGAAATAATTTTGTCTGTACATATGCTTTACATATACGGCTAATCATTTCAATTATATCTTTCGATACACCAGGTATTGGTTCCAGACTGATGAATATGAATTCATAACGTGTACCATTCACTTTGGTCATCATATATAATGATTCATTTTTACCACGTAATTTTGTATGTATCATACGACTAGTTAATGTTGAAATACAGCCAAGACCAATACTTAGATTAATACGTGGTTTATTCAATGATTGCCATATAAGACGAAGATTTGTAACCATTAAGCGGCCAATTTCACCAGTATTACCTTTTGTATCTTCAACTTTTGGCCATTGTTCAATCAATTTTTCACCATTACGATATGATAATTCTGATGATGGTGCATCAAAACGTATATCACGATCTTGCCATAATGATTCAAATCTTTGTCTTTGCATGATTATTATTAATCAATCAATATTTGATATATGTCAATTGAATTTTTTTTCCGTTTGTTTGTTTGTTTGTTTTTGTTTGTTTTTTTTCGGTTAATCATTGTGTTTCTAATGGTAACCGAAAAAGGAAAAAAATTTCATATTCAAAAATTATGAACAAAGCGCCATCTAGTGTCTAATAATCACACTATTAATTTTTTAAAATGGATTATGCGCAATTTAAATGAATGCTAATCATCATCATTTTATATATGATGATGATGTCACACTGATGATGATGCCAATATAGAACAAAACAAAACAAAACAAAAAAAAAACAGAAAACAGAAAAGTCAGTTGTATGCATTGTTTGTCTGTTTTTTTTTCTGTTGATAGACAAAAAAAAACTGCGTATATATACATTGTGAATGAGAATTTAACAACGAACGATGCATATACGTTTTTTTTCTATTTATTATTACAATACAAGTATTGGAGCGAAAGAAAACAAAAAAAAAAAAACGAAAAAAAGCTAGCGCGCGTTGATAAAACAAGTGTAAAAAGAGACATAGATAGAGAGAGAGAACGAACCAAGATGGATAATAAAATATGGGGAGAGAAGGAGAGAGAGAGAGAGAGAGATAGAACAAATTGAGAATTAAAATCAACACCATTGAGAGAGAGAGAGAGAAATAAACAGACAGACTAAAATGAAAAAAAAAGTGAGAAAGAAACAACAACGAAAGAACTACTTTTCCACTTGTTTTTTTTTACTTTTTATTTCCATTTCCATTTAATTTCCATTTAAAAAAAAAAATATCCAAATCCAAACGGTTTTTATTTCTTGTGTGTGATGTGCGTTTTTTTTAAAGCGCCAATATTTACATTTTTGTTTTGTGATTGATTTATATTGATTCCTTTACATTCTTATTTTTCTATATAGAAATTTTATTACACAGAAACTACTTTAGTAGTAGCAGTAGTGGTATAAATTGATCTACAGAATTCATTTTTATATAATATGTACACATACACGCAAAGGAATCTATTGAATTGTCATCTATACTCATCCTGTGTTTTTGATTTCTCAAGTACAGAAATATGAACAGAAGATTCGTCCATTTCATCATTCAAAGAATATTATTTTTTTCACTCTCTCATCATTGAAATTCTTTGTTTTTGTTTGATGTGGATCAGATGATTGAAACAAAACAACAACAAAAATTGAAATTGAAATTGAAATTGAAATGAAAATTCAATTCAACATGTTTTTGAACCCTTTTCACATTCAAATAGTTCAATCAATGGGAAATGATTTCCACCATATCATCATGATTTGAGTGAATTTTTGTTTGTTTGTGTGTGTGTGTGTGTGTGTGTGTGTGTGTGATTACTCAATTGAATGAGTGGATTTTTTTTTTTTGACAATTCAGCTTCGTAATATTTCTTTTCATTTGATTTTTTTACGACGTAGTCATCATTTTCGTGTGTGTGTGTCTGCGTGTTTTCTGGTTTTATGATTTCGTCCAATAATAATCAAACAACAACAAAAATTAATCCATCCAATACGAATGGAATTTTGGATCCTGAAGAATAATCATGGCATCAACAACAACAACAACAACTGCTTCACGTCGTTCAACGACAACACCTGGAACACAATCGATTCATATTGCTAATGAACAACAGAAACAACAACAACAACAACAACAACAACATCGAATCAATAGCAGAATGAATGCTGGATTATCAATTCCACGTTCACGTCATCATCATTATCGTTATCGTCGTACAACATTAACATTTGTCGATGTACTTATACAACGTTATGGTGTCGATGATGTTGTTGGACAATTTGATGATTGTCCATTCGAAGTATTTGTTTTAGGCGGTATTTCACCACGAAAATCTGGTAAGAATAATGAAATTCTTTATGGAAAAGTAAAAATTCACCTTAACCTACTGACCTACACGATTCTTTTCCTTTCTCTTTCTCAAGGCTTTATCTATTTTTTTTTTTTGCCTTGAATTTAATGAATGAAAATTCTTTAAGAATTTTCAAAAATTTCCTTTTCTATTTTGAATCATTGCCAAAATTCAATGTTCTTTTTTTATCCTTCAAAAAAATTGATGTGATGTGATGTGATGTGATGCGCAAAAAAAAACCGCGTAAATGACTACAATACACGCAATCTATACGCATACACACGAATTTGCTCTAATTTTGTACATGTGACAAAAAAAAAATTATTTATCACATGATATCCATGGCTAAATGGATGCATTTATGTTTGTCTGTTTGTTTATATTAATCATATTGCATCACAACATCATCATCATGATGAGTATGATGATGATCATGTGTTTGATGGCCATATAGTTAGTCCAGAGAATGAAAAATTGATTGGCAATGTCGACTTGTTGCTTTTTTTTTATCATCACATAGACATTGGGCTTTTTATGTGTGTGTGTGTGTGTAAGCTGCTACTTGTTGTTATAAGTGATGCTTATTATTATATGTTATATATCGATAGAGATTGTCAAGTGTATGTGTGTATGTATGCTAGGCATTTAGTTGAAATAAAAAAAAAAAAATTTTTTCCTCGTGCAAGCACGTGCTACGTATTTATTTATTACATATACGTATTATATATCGTTGTCGTATACATATATATAAATATTCATAATGCTAAGGGATTGATTTTTGCTGCCAAAGAATTATTATTATTATTATTATTATTACTTACTTAGAAACAACAACAAGAAACTATTTGGAAACTCAAGGTTGACAGGTCTTCATCATCATCATCATCATCAATAAGGTTATCATCATCATTGTTGTTGTTGTTGTCAAGTCTCTCTCTTTTTGTTTTGCTCAATTTGATTTCACATTTAAAACATGTTTTTCTGTTCTGTTCTTATTGATCGTCGTTCCAAATTATTATTATTTTATCGATCACTTTGATTTGCTGCCCCCTATTTTTCTTTTTGCTGTTGTTGTTGTTGGATCTGATCTAATGGTTATGTAATATGGCCAATTTTTTTTTTCTTGTGTTTAGCAGCACCTGTAGCAATGGCAGCAGCAACAGCAGCGTAAAGTTTACATTGTAAACTTTACAACATAAAAAAAATTTCCGGTAATTATCCACCGATTGATAATTGCTAATGATGATTATGATGGATAATTTTTATCACCATCATTATCATTAACACATATGTATTGTATCTATATTTCGACCAAAAACAAGTTGTTGATCATTGATCAGTGTTTTTTTTTTTTGCCACCGGAAATGCCATTTTACAATTGGGTATTGTCATTAACTACTATTAACTACTACTGTTACTGTTGAAGGGTTTCCATACAATGATTTGAATTTGAAACAAAATTTACACCTACGATCCGGGAACAGGAAAGTAGCTGTATCGATGTTGATGATGAATTGAGTTTTTTTGTTGCTCGAAACAATCCAAACACAGACACACACACACACAAACAATAAATAATCATTGTCATGCTGTTTGAATGGAAATGAAACATTGAAATCCAAAAAAAAATAAAAAAATTCGTCGTCACAATTAAACCTTAATCATCATCATCATCATCGACGAGAAAAAAAAGAACAATGAAACATGAAAAAAGAAAAAATCAAAATCCAAAAGAAAAACCATTCAAGGAAGAGAATTTTGTTTTTATTCTCAAACCTTCAAAAAAAAATCATAAGATTTTTTTTTCTTCTAAAAACAATCGGATTCGACGAAAAGGAATGTGAAATATTATTATATTACACCTACGAATTTTTTAGTCAGACAGGCAGGGTAGGTAGTGAGTGAGTGAGTGAATGAGTGAATACGGTACAGATGTTTGTGTTTGTGTGACAATATTCATTCACATTGAAATAAATACAAATTTTCAGGTAGCAAAATGAAAAAAAAATTTTTTCATACTTCCTAGTTGGTTATGTTTTTTTTTGTTTTGTTTTGTTTTTGTTTTCGTTGTTGTTTTTTGTGTTTATTGTCCATCGATCTCTATGGATGATGATGATTATGCAACAATAATGAGTGTTTACAACAAAAAATCCATCCATCCATGCATCGTCATCATTTCATTGTGATGATAACGATGATGATGATGATTTCATTTCCTGTCAAAGGTATACAGGTGTTTACAACAACAAAAAAAAAATCCATCCATCCATGCATCGTCATCATTTCATTGTGATGATAACGATGATGATGATGATGATTTCATTTCCTGTCAAAGGTATACAGGTGTGTATAAGTGTATGCGTTTAATTTGTTTATTTATCCAACAACTATTTGTGGGTGTGACTCGAATATATCGATATTTGAATGGTTGGATTTTGGACCAATCGATCCGGAATTTTTTTTTCGTCGTCGTTGTTTCGTTTTGAAACGGATTTATTTTAGTTTTCAATTGAATGGTTGATTGATTGTTTGTTTGTTTTATCGATTTGTTTTTTTTTGCAATATTTCTCCTGGTCGTCTATTGGTGTGTGTGTGTGTGTGTATTTAAGCATCTTTCATGATGACGATGATGATGATGATGAATAAATTTCAGATTTTTTTCCCCTTTTAAATATTTATTTGGCCTCGATTTTGTTGTTGTTGTTGTCGTCTTTTGTCTTTTTTGTGTCTGTTTTGTCTTGTTTGTTTGTTTGTTGGATCAATCATAAATTGTTGTTGTTGTTTTTATCTCTGAAAAAAAAATTTTCAGTAATAAAATGTGTGAATAAGCTGAGCATTTCAAAAAAAATATGTGTCACCTGTATGTTATTATGGTATACCAGGTGACACACATATTTTTTTTTCTTCTTCTTGATCTAATGGATGATAATTAGGGTTTGTGGTTGTTGGTCATCAAAACTTTTTTTTTTTTTTGCCCTCGAGATTCAATTTTCATTGGATTATTGTTTCTCTTTCTGTTATTTTTTCTGTCTGTTTGTTTGTTCTGGATCACTTTTCTTTATTATCATTATCATGTGTTGTGTTGTCATTTTGCTTCAAGACTTGATTTGACTGAAAGGTTAATGAATTTTTTCTTAAAAGTTAGAAGAAAAAAGTATTAAAATCAATGACGTTCAATTGACTTGTTGATTTTATGACTGATTGATTGACTGATGATGATGATGATGATCAAGTTCAAAGTTTAAGAAAAAATTTTTTAATTTACCTGAAATGATTACCTTTAATGAGATTCAAATACACACACACACACACACACTGTCATCCATTTAGCCAGCTGCTAAATCTCTCCTACACACACACACACGGGCAATTATCTTCTTTTTTTCTGCTTTCTGACAAGTAAATTGCATTTTTATTTGTTGCTCAAATCAAATGTCATGGGTCATCATCATCATCATCATCAAATGATGTCACAAAAATTAGTGCGAGCCAAAAAAAAAATTTGATTAATTTTGATCATTTCGAAATAAAAAATGGCAACCATAAGCTAAATTTTTTTTTTCATTTAAAGAACCAAGAAAAAAAATGCAAATTTTTCATCTCATTAACCACCACAATCTGTCGTGCACACATACACAAAAAAAGGGGCAATTTATTCAAATTTCGATTTTTTCCCTGGTTATTTCGATATATAAAAATAAATCACCATTTCCACTTTTTATGGTATTGAAACACACCAAAACGAAACAAACAAACAAAAAAAAAAATCTCCATTATCTTTAATCTTTAATCTATCTGATGATAAAATCATCGTTATTATGATTTAATGGTGACAGATAATCATCATCATGATGGATATGTAATGGATGAATACACATCCTTCCTTGATGTGTATTGTCCAATCCATTTTTGTTGTTGTTGTTTGGTTCGCCATTCGATTATCATCATATAATGGACATGGAGGTTATTTTTTTCCTGGAAATTTAGAAAATTTCCTCTCTCTCTCTCTCTCTCTCTTTTAACCAATTTTAATGAGATAATTAGATTTTAAATTTTGAAGAAATTTTTTTAATTTGTTGGTCGTTTTTTTTCTCTCTCTCTCCCTCCCCCAAATAGAAAGTGCATTATTATTACCACCGGCATTATCATTGAATCAATGTTGTGTTAAAAATGCTGGTCCTGAACCAAAAATTCGTGAATTATGTCATAATGTTGAAGAATTGGATCTGGCATCGAATAATATAATCGACATTGATGAAGTTTATAAAATTGTACGTGCAATGCCTAATTTACGTTTCATAAATCTAAGTGAAAATGATCTCTCCAAATGTAATCGTTATTCATCAAAATTTATTGGTTCATCAATAAATCGACAGAAATTGGAAAAAATTAAATCACTAGTATTGAATAATACACATATACCATGGAGTGGTGTGGAATTATTGTTGAATATAATGCCATCAATTGTGGATCTACATCTTAGTCTTAATAATTATGAATCAATACAATTGAATGCAAAAAAAAGTTATCCAAACATAAAATTCATGTATTTAAGTGGAAATCCTAAACTTTGTAATTGGAATGATATCAAATTATTGATGAAAACATTTCCAAAACTTGAAGGTCTTACAATGGCCGATTGTAATATTGTATCAATACCGGAACATGTATTGATACATTTGAAAAATTTAGTCAGCTTAAATATCTCAAATTGGCCAATCAATGAATGGTCATCGATTGATCGTTTAAATCAATTACCTAAATTGATCAAGCTACGTTGTCAAGGTTTGAATGTATTGAATAAATTGGACACACCGGATGAACGTCGTCAACATCTTATTGCCCGTTTACCACGTGTTACACGTCTTAATGGTAGTGATATTTCGGATGATGAACGTGTTTTTGCTGAACGAGCTTTTATACGATGGTTCATTTCGAATACAGATGAATTGAAACCACCAAGGTAACGTTTTATTTGTTGTTTTTTCGTTTTTTGTTTTTGTTTCGGACTAAAATCAATTAAATCTAATTTTTTTTTTTGATTTTGACATCTATAGATTCTATGAACTACAAAATATACACGGACGTGTTGAACCATTGGCCGAAGTGAATCTATCGCCACCTAAATATGCAAATGTACGTGTTATATTCAACGATCTGACTGATGAACAATTGGAAAATGATCAATTGAGCTATGAATCATTAGTACGACAATGTAAAGATTCACGTTCATTTAAAGTGGATCTGAATAAATCTGTTAGAAATTTTAAAGTGCAATTAAGGTATGTGTATAACAGCACTGAAAATTTTTTTACCTCTTCCATCATTTTATCATTCTTGTGTTCACTTTTTTTTTCTCCCATCTCATTCACCCCGTTGCCAATTATCATCATCATCATCGAATAACACGACAACCAGCTCATTATATGACGTAATAGCATCAAATATTCGTGTATTCTATATTGATACTGAAATGTCAGAATTATTGGGCATATTACATATTGAAGAGTTGCGTTTTGCACAAAAAAAACTTTATACATACAATGTACAGGATGGTGATGAATTTCTTATTGAAATGAAATAGAAAAACAACAACAACGACAGCAACAATTTCGATTCATCCGATCATTTAAACAAAATGAAAAAGAATTGATTAAATTTGATTTCCGGTGTTGGTTTATGTTTGTCTGTGTTAAATAACCTAAATTCATGATGATATAATCGCGTTTTTTTGTGTGTGTGTGTGTGTGTTTTGTAAACAATTTATCGATACGAATAAATAAAATGTCGGAGCATGATGTTTCCGTTGTCGTTGTTGTTGTTGGCCATTTCACATTTCATGATGATTTGGATTTTTATCTAGTTTCGGTCAACTATTTCGACTCATTCAATGTGTTTGTGTGAGGAAATAGGTTTCATCATCAAATCATCAAATATAGCAGAAATTTTAAAATTTTAAAATGTAAATAAAATTCAATTTAAATTTTACAAATTGTAAACAAATAAACAAACAGACACACACACACATCATAGATAGATTCAAACATTTGACATTATTGCTGGTGATCATGTAAAATTTCTATTTACATATTGTCCATGTTTCTGTGTTTTTTTTTTTTTATTAATTCGTTTTCTGTAGTTCTTATTTTCTCGTTCTTTATGTTTGTGATCATTTGTTAATTTTTTTTTTGGTTTGTTTGTCCAATATTCAACACACCTTGATATACATATGACACACACACACACACACACACACAATGATTATATAATGGCCAACAATGTAATTTACTGTACGGTAATTCTTATTATTGAATAAAATGAAAAAATAGAAATTTTCAATTGAATTGTGTAATGATTTAAAAGAGCAAGTTGCAAACCTTTTTCTCTCATCTCTCTCTCTGCTGTTTTATTATGCATGCAATGATAATTATATACGGATATCCGATGATCATAATGATGATAATGGAAATGTTTTTTTTTCATTTATTATTATTCGGGTAAAAATCCAAACGGAAGAACTTGTTGTTGTTGTTGTTGTTGTTGTGCGATAATTTGGTGGATAATTGAGTTTTTTTTTCTCTCTTTTTTTCCTCACTACACGAGAGCACCAAACAAAACCTGGCGGCCATATTATCATCATGATCATTAAGAGAGAAAAAAAAATTTGAAATTCAAAAAATTTTTGTTGTTGTTTTTGTTGTTGAACAAAAAAAAAAAACATTTACCATCGTCGATTTGATCAATGTGTGTTTACACCAACATCACTTGTTGTTGATTTATTGATTGATTGATTGATTGATCGATTAATTGGTTGTTTTTTTTTTTTTTTTTTGAAAATGTGAAGCTGTGTGAATAGAAATTTTCTTGTGGAAATTTCGACAAAAAAAAAAGAAAAAGTTTTTCACCGACTAATTTGTAATGTAAAAACAAAAAGTATGCCAGGATTATATTCATATAATTTATCATTGAAGAACGAAGAAAAAAAAATGAAGAATTTCAGGGAACAGAATAAGAAAGTGTGAGAGAGAGAGAGAGAAGTTTGAAAATGAAAAAAAAACTTTCTCTTAAAAGCACTGGAAGAAAGATTTTCGGAAAATTTTTTTTTCTTGTTCATTCGTCAATGGTCCTTGTGAAGTTTTTTTTTTTTTCCCACTTGAAACGGAAACCGGATTGATTGCGCAAAATTTTCTTGCCAGAAAAAATGACAATTGAACGAAGCGAAATTCCTTTCTCTTCTTTTTTATTTTGGTTAATTTTGAACAGTTTAATTAAGTAGTTTGATTTAGCGGATTTTTTTTTTCTGATTGAAAAGATTTTCCAGATTCCAATGAAATGTTTTTTTTTTTTTGTTGCTGTTGTTTTTTTTTGTGTGTGTGTGTGTGTGTATGGCAATCATTTCATCATCATCATCATCATCATCATCATCGAAAATTACCCAGGCACCAGGGAAATTATCAATGAAAAAAAGAGATGTCTAAATAATAAAAAAAAACAAAAGAAAATCATGTACTACAGAATTTTTTTTTCGATAAAAGAATGAAATGAAATGAAATTCTTCTTCTTCTTATGGGATTCAGTGATTTATTTCATTGTCTCGCATTCGCACACACACACACACACACACACACTATTCTCTAAAGAGAATTGGAAAATTCTACATGGTTTATTTATCATAAAAAACACAACATTTAAGAGAAAAAAAATCAATCACTTAATATTCAGAATTATTAATCATCATCATCATCATCATCATCTTAGTCAATAAAGAATAAAGAATTTGTTTCAGATATTGGCAACAAAGGAATGCACGAAAATTCATATGCCATAATAATACAGATTATAATGGAGCATCAGTTGGCTAATTTTTTTTTTACCCAGATATCTCTCACGGTATTCTGTTTTTTTTTTTTTTTTGATTCTCGCAAAGAATCTCTAGAATATTCATTTTTTTGAAAGATTCTATATATATGAAAAAAAAGTGATCAGAATCCATAAGTGATCCAGAATGAAACAAAAAAAAAAAATTTTTTTGATAGTGCGATAGACACATATAGACGTAAACACCCAATACCAAGTAGACTACTGTTGTTGGATTTTTTCTGGTAATTTTTTTTTCTTTCTTTCTATTTGTTTTTTGTTTTTTTTTCTGGTAATATCGTCATCATCATCATCATCATCGACAACCGTGATACACACACGCACACACTTACACACATTTAACATCATTTTCGTCGTCATCATCATCATCATCATCGTCAGTTTTGTTTTTTTTTATTCGCAGCAGCAGCAGCAGCATCAATAGTAGTAGCCAACATGCGCATCATTTTTATATACATAAAAAAATGTACCCGAATAAAGTGCAGTAAATGAAGAAGATGAAAAAAAAACCTAAAAAGATTCCACTATAACCAGTACTACCAATAACTATCAACAGACAGAATCCAAATAAAAAGGAACAAAATGATAACCAGACGAATGGAATATTTTTGGCTGTTGTTGTTGTTGTTGTTGTTGTCGTTGTAGTTGTTGACTGCTTCTGACTGGTGGTTGTTATTGTTGCTGATGCTGCTGCTGCTGTTTCACTGTTATCGTCGTTTTGATCTTCGTTCCCTTTTTTTTTTGCATTCATTTCTCTGGTTTGGTTGCATTTTACAGGCTGTCTGCCTGATTGGTTGTGTGTGTGTGTGTATCGGTGTATCGTTGTACATGAGAATCGCATATGCCAGCAGGCATTCACGTTGTAACTATAAAACACATCATCATCATCAGTTTGCTGTATTTTTTTTTTTTTTCTTCTACCACTCTTGAGGTTTCCGAAATAATAACCGGATAATCAATTTTCATGATTCAATTTCCCATCATCATCAATGTGATTGTATCAAAAAAAAAACAAGGAAAAAAAATACATGATTCTTGCATTCTCTACAGATAATGACTACAAGCCAATATCTACACACACATCGCGATTAAATTGATTTGATTTGTTTGATTCTTATTTTTTTTCCTTTCATTTGTTTGTTTATTTGATGGTTTTTTTTTGTCTACATTCTGTGTAGTATACACAAAGATAACTACCACATAGTGTTTGTCCATGTCAATGTGTGTGTGTGTGTGTGTGTGTGCGATATGGATATTTAGATTCGATAATTCTACATCCACATCCACATATATCAATGATGATGATGATGGTCCATTATCGATGATTGTATTACTTGATTGTTTGCATATGTCATCATCATCATCAAAAAATGCTACTTACTGCTTTTTTTTTTGGTTGAAAAAATTTATGTATACGGCATCAGTTTGCACCTAGCAACTGTCAAATGAATAAACAAACAAACAAACCAACAAAAAAAAAATGGATAAATAAAAATAAATGGCATCCGGTTACTGTTTGTTGTTTTGTTTTTTTGTTTTTTTTTTTTTTTTTTGATTGAATATCACGTTTGTTCACAGTTGTTGTTGATGATTGTTGATGGCCACAAAACAACAACATAAATGACAATGATTATGATGACGACAACCGGAAATTGTGGATAATTTTTGCATTGATAAATTAGTTCAATGTGATTCAAGTTCATCTCGATTGAATTTTTTTTTCAACATTTTCTACATTCATTTTATTCATGTTCAAGAAATTAATCGTAACTGTTCAGTGTGCGCAAAGAAAATTTCCGTTTTCACACACACATATCACTTAGGTAAGTGTTTTTTTTTCTTGCAACAGATTATTTATGAATGGCCCCATTATTATCATGATGATAAAATTAATTGATTGATAATCAATCATTATGCTCTAATTGTGTATGTGTGTGTGTGTGTGTGTGTGTGTGGATGTGTGGGTGTTTCTGGAATGAAATGAAAAAAAAACCGTATAAAGACCGGTATTAAAGATCGATTGATTGACGTGAATACAAAAGGCGACAAGAAATGTACAAAAAATGAAAAATATGATTCTATGTCCAATTTATCAAAATTGAAAAAAAAATGAAGAAAAAAATCAACTAACGAGAATTGATGATTGGATCTGGAAAATACTCTGAAAAAAATTCTGAAATTCAATTCAATTCAATTGCATTCACAAATTCCATTCTATTCTATTCTATTCAATTCTATTTTTGAATTTAAAATTCAAGAATCAAATTATTTTTTTTCAAGCTATTTATATAAATTGGGTACAAAGAATTCTCTCCTATTCATTGTCCGAATTTTTTTTCCGTTATTTGCCGGAAATTTGTTCGGATGAATTGAGAAAAAAAAATTTAAATTTCAGACCAACTGGTAAATTTGTTTATTTCTATAGAAAAAAAATCATCATCATCATCATCATTCTTCATACACAAAGTGACTTTATTCAAGTTAAAACTTTTTTCGTGTGTGTGGGTGGATGGATGCCGGTAATAGGGTATTTTTTCCCATTTTTGCTCAAAAATAACCACACTCCCCTCACCCACTCAACTAGCCATAATAAATTTCATTTCAATTCAGCGGCTAATTCCGATTAGTTTTACTTAGTTTCACTTAGATGTGTCTATGTGTGTGTGTGTGTTGGCTTATTTTTTTCTGATGTTTCTTATTTCAGAATCAAAAGAAAAAAAATATGCAAAAATAGAATAACTTTTTCTCTCTCACGCACACACACACACTTTTTTTGGTTGGTTTTGAAAGTGTTAAACAGTAAAAGTAGTATCCATCTAGTTGTTTAGCTTTACCATGGAAAAAAAACGAAAAAAAACCGAAATAATAATTCAACGGATAGAAACCAAAAACGTCTCCTGGCAAAACAAAACAGAAAAACAAACAAAATTCTGGTATCCGGTTACTGAAAAATGAAAATGATGATGATGATGATAGGACAGAATTTTTAAAGAAGAGTTGATGAAAAACACACACAAAACAAAACAATGATGGTGACCATATATTTTTAAAACATGATAAAATCTCAAATTTCCATATGTAGTTTCAGCAAAAACATAGAAATAGAAATGGAAATAGGTAATCTGATCTAGATTGATCTAAATTCAATAAAAAAAAAAAATGAAAACGAGAAAACACATTATTGGATTTTAGTTTGATCCAAATAATTATTAACAATCTACACACACACACATACGCATTAAAATGAATCATCATCATCATCATTGTGATTACAATTTCATATAATCAAATTACGTTTGTTGTGAATGGAATTTCAATTCGGAAATAATGAAATAATGGACGCTCACCATGATATATGATGATTTGAAACAAACAAACAAACAAACAGAACACGAAAGTGAATTTCATTATCAGATTTACTTGATGGTTTTTTTCAAAAGATTTTCCTTTTTTTTTCGATGATTAAAATCAAACAAACAAAAACGCCATCACGATGATGATGATGATGATGGAAATGATTGAAAAAAAAAGTTTTTTTCACATCAATTTTTTTTTGTCAATGTTGTCGTTGATGTTTGGTGAAAAAAAAAGTTTGCTTCGTCTTTTTTTTCCATCACCAGAATCAATGAAAAAATGTCGATCAGAGAAAAAAAAATTCTCTCCAAAATGATTCGAATGTTTACATTACACAGACACACGCACATAGATTCTAATAATGAATCGATGATGATGATGATGATACCGGAGGATAAATTAGATAAAAAGCTGGTGAATGAATGAATGAATGAAAAAAAAATTCTGAAATCAAAATTAAAAAAAAATCCATCATCATATATGATTGAATGAACAACGAAAATGTTTTTAAAATGAAAATTGAAATTAGGATGATTCGTTTGGCGGTTGTTGTTGTTGTTGACATAATCGATTGTTACACACAATCGATTCATTCGAATGTAATATTTCAGTATAGCGATAGTGATGATGATCAAAAAAAATTTTTTTTTCTCTCCACTAAAAAAATTACAATAATTTGATCGATAATCATCATAATATATATCGTTGATTGATGATAATTGTCAAAATGATGATAATGTCTACAGTTGACAAAACAAAACAAATGATGATGATTTTTTTATCGATTCATCAAAAACGATAATAATGAAAAAATCGAACGTGTGTGTGTGTGTGTGTGACAACAAAAAAAAACTCAAAATTCGAATGTTTATGAAAAATTTTCCTGAAATGATTTCTCAGCTCATTTTAATTTTCAAAATCAACTATTCAATCGGATTCTTTCTCGCTCTCGTGATCTAATGTGAAAATATTCATCAAAACAAAATAATGAATTCGTTTTCGTCTTATTCTTGTTTGAAATATATATAAAATATTCATTCATTCTGCATTCACAATGGTTCCCATTGGGACATGATGATGATAATTCAGCTTATACTGTTTTCAAGTTTTGAATAATTTATCATTCAAATGGAATTCTTTCTTTTCATGGAAAATTATCCATGATTTTTTTTCTGAAATCAAAATTCATTCATTCAATTTTTTTTCCCTGTATTCATGATGATGATGATGAATTTATTGAAATTGGCATTTGTAGCCAATTATGAATATTCTTTCTTTTCTTATATTCAATATGTTATCTTCATTGTCTGTCGTTATCATCATTAATGATCTGAAGATGATTTATAATCGACTTGAGATTTCACTTTTCATTATCATCAATATACGTACAAGATTATTATGCTAAATGATTCGATCAAATGACTGAATGAATTGATTTTTTGAATCAGAAATTTTTTTGCGAAAAAAACGCAAAAATTTTCCGATTAAATGATTTTCACACACACACACACACATCACATCACAATCAAATCAGCAAATGTTAAAATGACAAAAAAAAAATTTTTAACCAAAACGAATGATTCGAAAGGAGAAAAATTGCAAATAATCATCATCATCATCAACGGCAATATTTACCTAAATTGTTCAAATGTGTGTGTGTTTATTTGGTTTCGAATGTCTAAATTTGGATTTTCCATGCAAACACACACACACACACCGTGACCACAACTAATCTTTTCCATGACCAAACAAAAAAACAAATAAATAAATAAATTTTTAAACATTCAAATAAATAATTTATAATCGTGATATCATCTTGGTCGTTGTCGTTGTCGTCGTTTTTTTTTTTTTTGATGAGAAAATTTCCCACAAACAAACATCAATTTTGATAATCATCATTGTTGGGATTATATAGTTCCTTTTTTCTTTCCTTAATTAATTACCTATTGGTGATGAGAATGATGATTTTTTCGGTTGGAAATCAGAAATGTTATTTTTTATTTTTTGTTTAATTGAATCATTCGTTGTCCCAATAATGGGAAACATGTGTAATTTGCAATTTAAATTTTTTTTGTTTTTTTTTTTGTTTTTAAATAGACGATCTACGATTTGAATTCAATTTGTGATCAACAACAATGCCATTTGGAAATGACAGAAATCTGTTTGATTGAAAAGCATAAAACATATACAACAACAACAACGACGACGATAAAATTCAACAAACACAAAACGAACGGAAAAAAATGACGTCCGAACATTATTACCACCATCAACATCAACAACAACAACAACAACAGAATCCTAATTGTGATTATGATTATCTCATCAAATTTATGGCTCTAGGTATGTTTTTTTTGGATGTGTCAGTTTTATTCTCCTATATTTGTTGTTGTTTCTTGTTTTGGATAAAATGACCATATCATAATTCATGATTTTTTTTTTATTTTTATTTTCTTTTATTAATGATGGCTATATCTATGTGTATGTTTTTTGTTTGTTTGTTTGTCTGTGGACGATTCATTCATCATCATATCGTCTGGCAAATGAAATTCCCAAAACGAACATATTTGTTTATGATACCGAAAACAAAAAAAAACAACAATTAGGCGATTCGGGTGTTGGTAAAACTAGCTTCTTTTATCAATTTACTGATGGAACTTTTAATCAAAAATTTATCTCTACAGTTGGTATCGATTTTCGTGAGAAAAGAATTGTAATTATTTTTTTTCATTGGAAAAAAACAATCATTTATCATTTAATATTTTACTTAATCAAATTAATGTGTTCATATGTGTGTGTGTGTGTGTGTGGGATCATTTATGTGAAATGTTTATTGATCCATTCATCTGATAATGAATTTTTCTTTTCTATGTAAATAGATTTATCGTTCAACGCATAGCCGATCAATGGGTCGTACGCAAAGAGTTCAGCTACAATTATGGGATACAGCTGGCCAGGAAAGGTTTGTTTAATATATATTCATAATCCGATTCTAACAAAATTAATCAATCAATCTAATCTACATATAGATTCCGTTCATTAACAACAGCCTTTTTTCGTGGCGCAATGGGTTTTCTTATTTTATTCGATTTAACAAATGAAACGTCATTTATAAATATACGTGATTGGTTAGAACAGCTTAAAACACATAGCAATTATGAGAATCCTGAAATAGTATTATGTGGTAATAAAGTTGATCTTTATGATCGTCGTGTGATAACACCGGAACGTGCACGTAAAGAAGCAGAAAAATATGGGTAAAATCAATGAATGAATATATTTTATGATCAAATTATTTCAATTTTTTTCTTTTTTTTTTTTATTGATTTTATAGATTTCCTTATTTTGAAACAAGTGCAGCAACAGGACAAAATGTATCAAAAGCTATTGATACATTACTAGATATGGTAATGAATCGTATGCAAACATCAATTGAACAATTGGCCTTCAATCATCAAACAAATGATAAACGAATGATCTTGAATAATAATAATAATAATAATGCTGTTGATAATACGAATAACATATTAAAATTGGATCAACTACAATCCAATAATAATAGTGATATTGGTGGCTATGCCAATTATGGCTATAATTATATATCTTCCAATTGTAGTGGTTGCTAGCATTTGGCCAAATTGAATATCTTTTTTTTTGAAAACAATGGTGTTCATATTCATCAGTCCATCAACAGCCAAACAAAAGTCATAATAAATTCTTCTCATAAGAATGAAAGACATACGCACACACATGGGACATATTTCATTCATCCATTCAAATGATAATGAGCTTCTTCAAAGGTTATGAACAAAAAGTTGTCCACAAACGCAAAACAAAAAATCTGGAACAAGTTTGTGTTTGTTTAATAATAATCATCATCATCATTAATTAATTGATTGATTAATTGTTTAAAGTTTTTTTCCAATCGGCTTTACTGTAATCTTTTTTTTCCTTTATCGTTGTTGTTGTTGTTGTTGTTGCTGTCATTAAATGATTTGTGTAAATAAACGAAAATTGATGATATAAATCTATCGAATCGAATAACAAAACCAGATTCATTCTGAAATCGATGATGATCATGATCATTATCGATTGATTTTTGGAAATTTTCATTCATTCTGATTTTTTTTTTAGTTTCAAATTAAAAGTTTTTAATTCATTTATTCATACGAATTTCAAGAGAAATGGTAATAGAAAAAAAAATGTCAAATTGAACAAGAAAAAAAAATTTGGAAATTATTATTGTGGTTCACAGACATAGACATAGACATAGCAGAACTTTTTTATGAGAGAGCTGAAAATGATTGTCCTGTTTTTAATTGTCTTTATTATTATTTTTAGCATAATGACGAAATTGTGGCTTCAATTCCCACATATTTTTATGCGGATTTTTTGCATTATAATTACATATTTCTTTGAGTATTTCTTTCAGATATGGCTGTATTAAAGAATTAAAGATGTACATTAATTGAATGGAATATTATTATATATACTTACCACTGGTTGTTTGGTTAGCCGTTCCAAATCTTTAATATTATAATATTGATGTTTTTCAAATGCAGTGAACAATGTATTCTGTACAATTTCTTTATCATCACGCATCTTTTTACCTTCATTCATTTTTTTCCGTTCATTATCGAGCTTTAAAAATGTAAAAGTTTAGTTTAGGAATTGATGATTGTAAAATTTTTGTCAACATTACCTCACTACGATGAAAAGTGATTGGTTTAAAATTATTGATGGCACGATCCAATTTTTGTACTATTTTTGTTGGCTGCGATGCACGACGTATTGTCTCTTTTTTCAGATTCATATAATGTGCATCACCAATTGGACGACATTCACCTTTTTGTACTACTTGTCCTTCTAATGCTAATTTATTATTTTCATCTATAGATTTTTTTTTTTTTGAATCGAGATAATAGAATAAAAATAAAGCCATTTAAATCAGCCATTTGATTTACCTTGTGAAAATATGGCCAATGTTTGATGATTGATATTTGATACGGCAAATTTATGTTCAGCCGGTATACTTGTGGTTGTTGGTTTATTTGTTTTTCCTATTGTTGTTGTTGTTGCAGTTGTCGATGATGATGATGACGATGTCGATGATACGGTCGTTATTGTTGTTGTTAAAGCCGATGTTGTTGATGATGATTTATTATTAGTGGATGTTTTCGTTGTCGACGTCGATGATGATGATGATGATGGTGCCGAATCTTGATTTGGATCTGTACGTATTACCTGATCGGATAGATTGAACAATACTTCCATTTTTCCTAATGAATTTCTTTTTTTTATATGATAGCAGAAGAAAATGTTAATGAAATGAAAAAATCACACAAAAAAATACCTGGTAATGTTTAATCGACCAATTTCGGTCATTGGTTTCTGTTTTGACCATCGTTGTGAAATATATTTCGGTACTTTGACTAGCCAAACACCACGAGCAGCATTTTGACAATCTAATTCCATTGTTTATCGTTGGTAAAAAGATAGCAATTTAAAAAAAAAATAGATGAGAAAATTCTTGCAATCAAATCAATTATTATGTGACCATTAAATGAACACGCGTGTAGATTTTTATTCGATTATCGAAATATCACTAGTTATGACCACACAAAACACAGAATTATTAATGACCAGAGACAAACAAAAAATGTCAGTCAACAGAGCAACAACAAAAAAGAACTTTAACAAATAAATCGAAAATCTGTCCATAGATGGCAGTCTACGAAAAAAAAAATTATTTTTTTAAAGAATTTTTTTTTTTGGTTCAGAATTTCAAAACAAAAAAAAATGAAAAGAATTTATTAAAATGAATTGAAAATTTACAAATAAATGAGTGAAATTTTTCTTTTACAAAATAAGAACTGTTCGAATATGTATGATGAATGATCATTTTGTCATTTCTTTTTCGATGTTGAACCAAATGATGCAAAACCCATCATTGATGCCATTTCATCGTGATCATCATCATCGCCATCGGATTTTTTCTTTTGCTGTTGTTCTTGTTGTTGTTGTCGTTTTCTTTACGTTTCTGTTTACGATATGCTTTCAATTTTTCTTCTTCTTCACGTAATTCTTTCATTTTCTCTTCAATATCATATTCATTTTTCTTTTCCATTTTCTCCTTTAATTTCATTTGAAAACGTTCTTTAACATCGTCCAATGTACTACGTGATATACGCATATTCATACCAAGATTTTTTTGATGTTTTTTACCATTTATATGGTCCAAATAATTAATTGAATCTTTTACAACACAATCACAAACCGGACAATGATAGCCACCAGCTTGTGATGATGGTGTTGCTTTCGATATGACAACTGTTTTGCCCAATTTTGATTCCAGATCAACTTTAAATGAACGTGCTTTAAGATTTTCACGTTTTTTAGCCGCTATTTGTTCCGATTGTTTATCATCATCATCATCATCATCATCACCATCGATTTCATTATCCAAATTTTTTTGGTCATCATTTTTATCATCATCAGGATTTTTTCTTTTATTCTTCTGTAATCGTTCCTGTGCTTTACGTTCATATTCATCACGATCCCAACGACGACGAAAATCATTACCGGCACTATTATTCATTGTTTTTTTTCAAAACTAATCAATAAAAAAAAATATAAACAAAAATGAAACACAAATGAAAAAAAAAAAAAACGATATATCGAAATAAAGAATATCGATAGTATACAAGAATCGATTATAATCGAAAAAAAAACACTGTGTGTGTGTGTAGCGAAAGAAACCAGAAGATCAGAAGCAGCACCAATCAAAGTGGAGCAATATTGCATTTACTCTTGTGATTTTTTTTCTTTTTCTTCTTCTTCTTTTTCATGAGGAGGCGGTCTTGTATTCATTATTTCATTGGCTTCTATTTTTTTTTTTTTTTTTTTTTTGGAAAATTGAAAGCTCATCCTCACCATCATCTCCTCATCGACAGCACCACCATCAATAATAACAACAACAACAACAACAACAACATTGAATATAATTTTGATGATTCGATTCAATGAAAAAAATTCTTATTCTGTAACAATCAGAATCCAGATTCTTTATTTTCAAGTGTGGCTGTTTTTTTTTAAAAAAATTGCATCGTGTTTTTATATAATTCACATGTTGTGCACTATTCTATGTGAAATTTGATCAACCTCGAAGAAATAAAATGATCTAAACACCCTGGTTATTGGTTTTCGATTTGCAAATATTTTTTTTTTTTTTTTTTTTAATTCGTTTTCTTTTTCGTTACTGGTGATGGTAATGGGTGATGAGATAAAGGTAAAATTTTTTTTCCTATTATGACATCCAATGTGGTTACAGTATACAAATGTTTATTATTATCAATCATAAAACAGATACGTTATCATAATGGGTTCGACAAAATAAAATATTCTGATAATTCAAAAGAAAATTTGGCCATCATTAATCGTACGACAACAGTGACAACGACAACATCTGTGTATCAGGTAACAAAATGTAATGTCATTTTTGTTCATTCAATTAATTGTTTCCATCTGTTTTTTTTTATTATTGCATTTCATCAGACATCAACAGTGAATATATTAGATGATTCCTGTAAAATTATCAACAATAACAATAATAATAAAACATCAGCAACAATCACATCATCATATCGTAAAGATAATAATAATACAAATATTAAACATTATCATCAAAACAATAATAATATGCCCGATGTTGATGATGCAAATATGCAATGGTTTCATGGAAAAATTACCCGAGAAGAAGCCGAATCATTGCTAACACCAAGAGAAGTATGTGTGTGTGTGTTTGTTTGGGCGTATGATTCAAATGTGCAATTTTTCATTTTATTTTGTAAAATAGAATGTAATATGAATGAAATCATCTCATCTTTGTTTTTTTGTTTAATTTTATTTATAGGATGGACTATTTTTAGTACGTGAAAGTACAAATTTTCCTGGCGATTATGCACTTTGTGTCTGTTATAATGGTCGTGTTGAACATTATCGTGTCATCTATAATGATAATAGATTTACAATTGATGAAGAAGAATTTTTCGATACATTAATCGAATTGGTTGAAGTATGTAACTTTATGTTTTTTTTGTTTATATGTTTTGTTCATTTCCATTTTTTGGTTTTCCATTCTATCCAGCACTATTGCCTTGATGCAGATGGTCTTTGTACAAGGCTACGTGATCCGGTGGTAAACAAGTTAGTCAATAATAATTTAACAACCAACAATAACAACAACAATTTCAGCAACAACAACAATAATAACAACAGCAGTAATAATAACAACAGTAATAACAATAACAATCAAGCATCATCATTATTATTGGATCCAAAAGCATTTGAAGCTGCTGGTTGGGTAATACGTATGAATGATCTGAAATTAGGTGAAATACTTGGTAAAGGTGAATTTGGTGATGTATTACTTGGTTCATTACATGGACAAAAAGTAGCTGTTAAAAAATTAAAAGATTCAAATTCAAAAGCTGCACAAGATTTTCTAACCGAAGCATCATTAATGACATCATTAAGACATAAAAATCTTGTACAATTATTGGGTGTTGTATTTGATGGTCCATCCATTTGTTTTGTTACCGAATATATGGCTAAAGGATCATTAGTTGATTATCTTCGTTCACGTGGTCGTTTACATGTAACAAGAAAAGATCAAATAGCATTCGCTGCTGATACATGTGCCGGTATGGCATATCTAGAATCAAAACAAGTAATACATCGTGATTTAGCCGCTCGTAATGTACTTATCTCCGAAGAAGGAGTAGCCAAAGTTTGTGATTTTGGTCTTGCACGTGATCAAACACTTGGATTGGATGGTGGAAAATTTCCAATCAAATGGACGGCACCAGAAGCACTTCGTTTTGCAAAATTTTCCAATAAATCTGACATGTGGAGTTTTGGTATTCTACTATGGGAAATCTATTCATTTGGTCGTGTACCTTATCCACGAATTGTAAGTGCCAAAAAAAATTGATTGATCACCTGGGAAAGATTCTTATTAATTGTTTTCTCCATTTTATTTAGCCATTAGCTGATGTTGTTAAACATGTGGAAAAAGGTTATAGAATGGAAGCACCTGAAGGTTGTCCAAATGAAATCTATGATATCATGAGACAAGCATGGCATTTTGATCCAGATTGTCGGCCAACATTTTCAATAATTTCACAAAAACTGGATCAACTTCGTGCATTGACCACCTGAAAAAAAAACAATCAAAACATTTTTTTTTAAAGGAATTCCAAAATGTCACAAAAACCACAAAAAATTTTTTTCTTTTGAATTGATTCACACATTTATTTATTTAACACACACATACACATGAAAATTAATAGTCGCGCAATCACATTTACATTTTTTCTCTCTCTCTTACCCTTTCATGTTTAGAGGGTGTGTGTGTGTGTGTGTGTAGGTGTTTTGTTGTCCATTTTTTTCCCGAATTTTCCTAAAAAATCCACTTGTAAAATTTCTTTTCTTTTTTTTGGCCAATCTAATTTTTTTTTTTTTTTTTTGTACAGTTAACCGTATTATCTGTTAATAAATGAAAATTTTTTTTTCAAATTCAATTTTGTGTGAAATTGTCCAGAAAAACAAAGTTCTTTTCTCTGTCAACAGAAGGCAGCACTTTCACATGATGCCTTTTACTTCGAAAAAAAAATTATCGAATGATTGAAAATATAGCAGAATTCAATCAAATCACACAATGGACAATTTGTAATTGATAATTGGTAATAATAAATAAATAGTGATTTGTAATTAATGATAAAATGTTCATTAAGAATTAATTAGTTAATAATAATAATAATAATTTTTAGGGCCTGAAGAATAAAATTTTTTTGTTTCTTTTGTTTCAACCCAACAAACAAACCCCATCAAGATATTTTTTTATAAATTTGTTTTGGTGCTTGTTTGTCAATTGTTCATCAATTCAATTATAATATAATTATTAAGTTATTAAGTGATCAATTAATTTGTTTATAAAATTTTTCGAGTTATTCATTCATTCAATTTAATAATTGGATTAGAAAGTTCCTAGAGTTTTTTTTTTTTTGCTTTCAGTTGTTGCATAGTAGTAGGAATATTTACAAAGGCTGTATTGATTTATTTTGTTGTAATCCAAAATGAGTATATATGGTGTGTGATGGTGTGTACTAATTTTTAGTAGTAGTATCCATAGATTGTTGTGATTCACCATCACCATTTTGTTGTTTACGTTGATAGAATAGTACATATGCTGCTTTGGTCATTACTTTATTTTTATCACCAATCGGTGTGACAGAATAATCATCAAACAAGAACCAATTGTTTGATTGAAAATTCTTTCCATATGCTGTATAATGGCCGGCACCAAGTTCACCATAATGATTTGATACGGCAATCAAATCATAAACAAATGATTCATTATTCGGATTATGTAATACATATGGTGACATATCCAAATTTTCAATGGGAAATTCCACCAAAACATTTAATTTATCACGATGTAAACGTGAATAAGAGAATCGTTTCAAATGAATAATCAGATTGTTTGGTAAAGACCTATTTTTTGTGATGGGAATTTAAAAAAAAAATTAGATTTTTTTTCATCAAATAAATTCTACACACACAAACTTACCATATATCGAATTTTTTACTTGCCATCTGATGTTTCTTACATCTAGGACAATACCATGGATCATTTTCACCCAATTTTTCTGTCAATGTAAATTGATTAATACATTCTTTCAATGTTAATAATGAATTTGCATGTGCATTCGATGCCAAATTTGGTAATAATTCTGAAAGCCGTAAAAGACCTGAACGATTTAGATTGGATGGAAAAAATTTCGATACAATCCGATAATGTATATTAATAGCAAGATAATCATCAAATGATGAATCTAATCTTGTACCGGGTTGTATTGTTGATAATTGACATTGGGCATTGTTATTGACCGTAACAATTGAATAAGCAGGATATGTTCGTGTTCGTTGTTTACCACTATTACTATTATTACCACCATATATTTCATCTACACCTTCATCATTTGAATCATTATTTGAATTTTCATTACTACTACTATTATTATTATTGGCAATCATATCTTCTTCTTCTTCAATATCGGATGATTCACCATCCGATCCGGCACTTGATCGCCGTGTTCGTTGTTTTTGAGCATTTGTTGTTGCTGTTGTTGTTGATGTAATCATATTCTTATCTTCTTCAATTAACATTTCTTCCATTGCTTGTAGAAAACAATTCAATTTATCTGGATGTACAAGACTTGTTAATTCTTTGAAAATAGCTTCACGTATATTTTCATATGTCAATGATTTAAGATTAATGAAAAATGGTCGACTAATAATGCTTTCTGAATGATCGGCATTAATTTGACGTATGAATACCGGCAATGGATAGCCGGCGAATTTTGTTGAACTACGTGTTTGACAACCTTGGGTTTCGGAATTCTGTGCTGTTTGTGGATCATCCAATTCATAAACAACAATATCATCCAGATGTGGATTATAATAATCTGTTGTCGAATAGATTTTATTCATTCGACATTCCATAATGTTAGCGACAACCATTTTTTTTGGATCAAATTTTCGATTAAAATATTGTCGATGTGGACTACTACCGACCATCATCATCATTATTATGAGGACCATTATTACAATCATCAAGAAATTTAGCAACAGCAACACGAATATCGGATGCACAACCAGTTTTTGGTATCATTACATTTTCCAACAATATTGATCGTACAGGTGTTGCAGTATTGCAGGTTGTATTCATTAAAAATTTTTGTGATGATGTTGAAGTTGCACTAGCCGAAATTGTATTCTTTTTATATAATGGACGTTTTGAAATGGCTGGTATAAATAAAATATCCACAGGTTTTTCAATCTAAACGAGTGAGCGAAAAAAAATAAGAATAAGTGGAACAGTTTTATTTATTTAGAATTCATTTCTCCTTACCCGATAAGGCAACGGCAAAGTAAGATAACAGAATGGATCGAATGTAACTGAAACCAATTCACATTCTGGACAAACCAATGTACTTTTCAATTGAGCATGAAATGTATCGACAATTATTGAATCATTACGTCGTTTATAATTGGACCATGCTTCTTTTGATACCAATTCATCTGGACGCCTTTCAATATCGTTTTTCATTTCAATATATGGTTTTACTTTTACACGATTTAAATCTTCATGTAAACCATCCAACAAAAAGGCCATCAATTCTTGACAATCATGATGAGCGAATCCAGAAAATTGTGGTGCAAATTGTGTGACGGCAATTTTAAATTCACGTGGTGCAACATTCGAATGAAATCCTGACCACATGGTTTTTATGAGCTCAGCATAACGTCGAGCAATTTCACCACGCATTCCCAATGGATTATCTGGATTAATGTCAACCACATGTTGATCGGCAAGAAAATATTTGGTCAATGGTGCCGTATTCGATAGACATTGAATTGCGGCATTCATGAAACATGTATTGCCAAGATTCATTAGGCCACAAACGCCAGGTGGACAATTCGGTATACCACTTGCATATTTAGAACGTGTTATAGCACCTAATTTTGTCTTACTAGAAGGCCAAGTATGATCAGGATTTTCCACTTCAATCGTTAGCACGGTATTCGGTGCTTCCAATTCGGTAATATCCAACAGACGTTGATTTATATCAGATATAGCGGCTTTTGAACCGCCCGATGATGATGATGATGATGAAGATGGTGGAGGAGGTGGTGGTGGTGGCGCTACAGAAGGCACGATTGTACTGTTACTACTACTTGCATTCACATTTGTATTATTCACGGTTAATGTATTGTTCATCATTGTCGATGATGAGGAAATCGGTGTTGATGAATTACAATTATCGACATCCTTATATGAAACCAATAATGTTGCATTATTCCATAATTGGATTGGTTTTGAATCATCAATATTAAACAATTTTCTCATATCATCAATTACATCACGTAATTTACAATTACGGCTATATTGTTTCACCAAATCTTCTTTTGAACCATATAATGTTAAACGTAATTCAAGTGGATTTAATTCTACTTGAAAATATGATTCTGTACGTTGTATAATTGGACAACGAATCGGATAACCGCCCATACCATCGATAAGGCCAAATTCTTTACAAAATAGATTCCATACCATTTCTGGTATGATAACAAAATCTTCATTCTCTCTTGCCGTGGTCTTTAAACGATATGTTTGTGTGGCCGATTTATTTGTTGTTTTATTATTATTTGTTATTGTTACATTCTGTGCCGGCCGTAATAATTCTATAATATTGGAATGAAAAAAAAAACAGATTGAGTGAATCCACATTTAAAGTCAACACCCCTCTCACAAACCTTTATTATCAATTTTGCCCGGATGATTTGCTTGATCACAACCATTTTGAAGATAATTTAAAAATGAATCATACCAATGTTTATCAAGAATATACCAATATTCATTTGGTTTTAACAAACGTTTCATCAATGTTGGAACATCTTGTAATGTATATTCTTTTTGTTGTTGTGGTGGTGGTGGTGGTGATGATGATGATGATGGTATAGTAGTATTATTAATATCACTCATTTCGTATTCTTCAATGGTTGCTGTTGTTGATGATGGTAAATTATCTTCAACTTCCATAAACTCAACGGTATCTTCTTGTTGATCAACCTGTTATAGGGAAAAAATGAATCGAAAATTAAATTTAAATTTCCGAGAAAAAAAAATCATTTAACCTTATTAGTTGATGGCGATGATGATGATGATACCACACCGTTGATTTGCTGTTGCTGAATATTATACTTGTGATGATGATGATGATGATGATGATGCTGTTCAGATACCATATTCGTTGTCGTTATTTTTGTTGGCGATAATTTTTTTGCTATAACCGTTGATGATAATGGCTGTAGTGGTGGCGGTAATTGTATTCTTTTCTTATTATTAGAATCGCTATTATTATTGATAGCAGCAGTAGCAGAAGAAGAATCGGTTATTGTTTGTCGTCGTTGCTGTAGTGATATTCGTCGTCGTCGTTGTTGTATCTTTATTGCTGTTGACGAATTCTTTCATTTTTTTCTCTCCTATTGGCTTTATTCTTATTATTTGTATATATCGGAATTAACAAAAAAAAAAATTCTTCTAGATATAAAAGAACTATGTTGAGGCCAAGCAATGATGATGACGAAGATTTTTGACGATGACGACAACCAGTTATTATTTATTTATTCTGGCCTCAATATGACGTTTGATTATTAACGAGAAAAAGAGAAAAAAGGTGATGGGCGGATTTAGATTCCTGGAAATAAGAATGAAATCAACAACAACAATAATAACAATGACGATTATTATTATTATTACAGTATGCAATGGAAATTATTATAGAATTTCAAATCAGAAAATTGTGAAATGTTATGTTCTAGTTTCTTGTTTGTTTGTTTGTTTTACACACAGTTTACAATACAATTCACTGATGCATCACTAGAAACTGAAATTTCTTCATTTTTATTTATAGAATTCTTCTTGCTGTATTTGTAAATGGTACATATAGCAATTTTTTGAACAAACAAACAGGCAAGTAAATTGTTGAGTGAAAATAAAAATTCGAATTATATTATATTGAAGATTTATGCATAAACACATGTCATACAGAATTGTATGAAACATGTGTATGTTAGAAAAAAAAAGAGAATCCAAATGATGATGATAACAAGTGGATTTTTTTTTCCTATGTCTATTCTCTTCAAAACGAATTCTTTATGCACGTGTAGTAAACACAATCGGTAATGATGTGAATGGAAGATTGATTGCAAGAAAAAATAATTTGATTAGGGCGAGAAAAAAAATCGATAGGATTGATTACCACCTACCAGTTGGAATTTTTCGTTGTTGTCGCTGTTGTTGTTATTGTTGTTGTTTTGAATTTGAGAGAGAACAAAACAACCAGGTCAAGTTTAATCTTTAACCCGGTGGAATTGTGTGTTTTGAAGCTGAGAACAAAAAAAAAATTGAGCCAAAAATCAAGCGCTAAACATTGAACAAGAGAAAAAAAAAGAGAATTGAACCGTGTCAGACACACACACACAAAGAGCTGTAAAAAAACAACACACACACACAGACAGAACAACTGTGAGAGCGTCAGGTTTATTGCCCAAAACCGGCAGTATAAATTTTCATTTTACGACCATTTCGATCCAATTAAAAATCAATCTGTTGGGTGAAAATAGTAAAAATAATTTACGGTTTTCAGATTCTCAACACTAGATGGTGTTAGGGAATGAAAATTTTGTTTTTCGAATCATAATTTTTTCAGTTTCCATGGAAACCACAATTCTTTATTCTTTATTTTTGTTGTTGTTTTTTTTTGAGGACAGCTGAATTTCTGAAACACAATTGTATTTGATTGATTAAACAGAATTTTATTCAATTTCCTTTGCCATAATAATAATCTAAATTTCCATTTATCCGGAAAATGCCTCTATTTTCATCAAAATTTTCATTTAAAAAATCTCAATCACGACGACGACAATCATCTCGACCAATGATTGTGGAAAATAATGAAGACGACAGTGATAAATCGATTACATCGAATGAAGATGATGAAGATGATGATAAACGACAAAATGTATTGGATAAGAAACAATCAAAGATAAATGATCATGAGAAAAATACAGAAATTATTGAATTACCAAAAAATATTACGAATAAACGAAGAAAAAAACAATCAAATAATAATCAATTGATGTCGCCAAAAACTAAACAACAAACACAACAAGGTGATGATAGTGATCAAATGATTTTAATAATCAATACTGATCATCGATATCGTTTTGATCCTCGTCATGGTATATGGAATGATTTAAAAGCCACCATGATGATCACTAAAACTATCGAAGATGACCAATTGAAAAATTCAACAAATTCAATTGATAATGATTCAGAAAAACAAATTAAAAATCTATTAAAATCAATAGAAACATTACAGGAAGAGAATCGATTATTGAAATTAAAAATTGAAATTCTTATCGAAATGGTTACAGAAACAACAGCTGAATTAAATCTTAGCGGTAATAATAATAAAAGTACCATTACCGCTACCACCACCGCTACTGCTAAGACAAGAAAATAATGAAACGTTCGATGGTTTTTTTGTAAATTTTCAAAAAATTTTCTTTTTTTAATAATTTTCCTGAAATTATATAAATTATAGAGATTCTTATAAGTTTTGTTTTCTTCATAATAATAATAATAATAATTCTTAATTCTTAATTATAAACGTGTAATTAATTTTTTTTTTGAATTTTTTCGACTATAATTTGTTCACATCATCATTCATCATCATTCACATGCCAATTTGGAATCAAAACTACTCAATGCAATAGCGAATGCTTGCAACAATGATAATGGCCATGAAACATCGCAAGAGAAATGTGTATTACTAACACGACCAAATTGTAATGAAACTAGATCATTTGAATGATCGGCAATTTGTTTTGCATCTTCGGATGATGTTGCCATTAGATAGCCAGATTTACTAAGTGGATGATTTTTACGCAAAGATGATGATATTGTTGATGATGATTTTGTTTTATTTTCACCATTTTCATCAACATATTCATTTGAATTATCAATAGAATCATCATCAGAACCATCATCATCATCATCATCATCGGAATCATCATCGTCATCATTATTGAAATCATTATTATGACGTAATTGATGTGAACTAGCTGATCGTCTTAATATTGTTGCTGTTGTTGTTGTTGATTGATTATCACCGGCAGTATTGTTGTTGGATTTTCGATTATTGCCATCATTATTGTTGTTGTTGTTGTTGACTAGATTGAAATTCTGTACGACTAATTGAAAATTCTTAACACTTGCCTGTGTAACACGTCCATGAAAATTCAATACATATGATTGTGTTTCTAAAAAAAAAAAAAAATTCAAATCAAAACAACCATTCAATCAATCGATATTTATTGCAAACCTTCATTCCAGATTGGTGTTTTATTCTTCAACAACATTATGGCTCTTGAATTTCGTTTCAATTCTTCTTGCAATGATAGATTACATAGAGCATTTGTTTTCTGTGAAAAAAAAAATAAAAATAAATCAATCCACTGACCCATAGTAAATGTCATCATTTTACCTCATCCGGTTTCGGTATAATAATTGTCATTTTTCTTGGTCCTTTAAATCCAAGCACATTTGTTTCCTGTGTGTGAAATAATTTTTTTTTTACAATTTTCAGATCGATTTTTTCAAACTCATTAAAAATACATACATATGTAATGGATGAAATTTCATAACGTACACCATTCGAATGTAAACGAATGGCAGTGAATTGTGTGCCCAATACATTTGATTTAAGTTTTGCAATACAACGATCACGTGATATATCGAATGCATTATTACCAATTAGATAGGTTTTACTTTTTTTTCGTCGTCGTCCTGATAATATGAATACTTTTTTCGTTGATGTTGACGATGAATTATTATTAGCAATGTTTATTGATTGTTGTTGTTGTTGCTGTTGTTGTTGTTGTTCATCATCGGTTGTTGCAGAATCTTCATTTGTTGAATTAATACTTTCCATACTGTCCGACATCCAAACAGTTGCTGTACCTTGTTGTTGTTGTTGATTATTACGTTGATGGTTATTTTTATCCAATTGTCCACCAACGGATTTGTTGTTGTTATTGAATACAATTTCTATGAAAAAAAAACAAAATTGACAAATGAAAATTTAAAGAAAAAAAAAGTGATCAATTTGCACGCAAATTTTCATTTATGATGAAATGAAAAAAAAAATTCGGTCAAATACAGCCAAATTTCAATATTATTAAATCATCATCAAATGACTGATGACATTTCACACACACACACACACACACACACCTAATGAGTCAAAGGTCATAGGTTATTTTTCTATTTCTCTCTCATTTTATTTTATTTGAATATTGCGTGTCAAAATCGGGTGATCATCTCATCATCATCATCATCGTCATCATCATCAGCAGTAGCAGCAGCAGCAGCAACAGCAGCAGGTCAATCAATCATGACAACTGACAACTGATGATGATGATGATGATGATTCAAACCAGAAAAAAAATTGGTATCATTTAGTAAAATCAACAACACAATCTCAACAATTATTATTGTCATCAACCATCAACAAAGTTCCGATTATCATCATCATCATCATCGTCATTCGGTTATGTATATAATTAAATAACAATCAAATTTCAACACGTGGTCATCATTGTGTTTGGTCATTTATTATGATGATTTCGGTTTGAAAACTTTTTCTCTTCTCCTCATTGGTAATCATCACATTGATTGCAATCATTCAAAATTTTTTTTTTTACCACCAGCTGTGTGTGTGTGTGTGTGTTGTTTCCATTTGATAACAATTATTGGGTATATGTGTGTGTGTGTGTAATCAATGATTTTTTTGTGGTGGTGGCGGTGGTGGTGCTGGTAATAATTTGGAACTAATATTACCAATGGTTACATACCTTGTAGATGCATATAATATGTTGGATATAATGAACGATCAAGTCCTTTTTTATCTCTAATAATTGTACATTGTAATGTAACATCCGGTGATATTGGTTGTGATACAAATTTTAATAATTCTTCATCAGTCAATACAGTTTGCAATGGATTGGGCATTGATAATTTTTGTTCAACATTTGCATCCATTGTGGTTGTCATTAATTGTTGTAGATTAACTTCCGATTTACTCATCATCAACATATTAGATCGTTGTGATGATTTGGTATTTGAATTTGATAAAAATTTACCATTTTTTTGTTCTTGATTAAATTTTGTCGATAATTTCTGCTGCTGCTGTTGTTGAAAATGATTATTACTATCCATCGATGTTAATATTGGTCTTGATCCAGGAACCGATGTTCTTGCACGATTTTTCATCATTAAATGACGATTCTTCATCATTATTGTTGAATCACGATCACCATCATCATCATCATCATCATCATCGGAATTATTACGTTGAAATATTGATGATGAATCTGATGAATCTGTTGATAAACGTGGTGGTGGTGGTGGTGGTTGAATGGCACGAGAACCACCAACATAATCACCAGTGATACCAATACCGGATCTATAAACATGAAAAAAAAATATTAATGCATCAATCAATCAATGAATTTTTGAATATTTCATATCTCAAACAAAAGAAAACAACAACAACAACAATCTATGGTATTTGAAAAATTTTCAAAAAACAAAAAAAAATCTTCACCCTCATCATCATCATCATGATAATCAGGATTATCATGATTCACACACACACACACACAGAATTTCGCCATTTACTACTAGGATACGCATCATCATCATCATTACATGATGTGATTTTCTCAATGAAAAAAAAATTGAAAACAACAACTGACAAGCTTATAAACAGCATTCCTGAACGAAATCAAAAATCAAAAAAAAAAAAAAAAAAAAACAACACACATCACAAGCATAGCTACTGAATTTTTTTTTCTCTTGTATCATGAATTCGTGATCTTATGAATGAAATTGATTCGATTCGATGAAATGAGATGGATGGATGGATGGATGATGTTCATCCTTATCATCATCATCATCATGATTCACATTCAGCAGCAGGATGTCTAAATTGTGAATTAGTAGCAGTAGTAAGTTTTTTTTTGCATTCATTCTTGCTTTGCTTGTCAAATATATCAATATCATCACATACGTAATAATCGATCATTCAACCGAAATAGAAGAGAGAGAGAGAGAGAGAGAGAGAAAAAAATCCGCAGTAGCAGTAATCAATTACTTCCGGCCAGAATGTTTTTCACACACACACACATATTCGCCTCACATTCATTTGAAATGAATTCAATTAATTAATGGCGGAAAAAAAACTCTATAAGCCTAAAGAACCACATCATCATCATCATCATCATCGCACACACCTGGGATTATGTTATGTGCAAAAAAAAATCTCTATTAATCAGATTGATGATCACCGGAAATTTGTATTTAATTTTATTTACAAACCTTAAATTGCCAATACTTGTTGCCGGTCGAATTGTTCTGGTAGTTATTGCTGTCGTTGTCGTCGTCGTTGTCGATGTTGTTGATGAATTTATCTGCAATAAAGATGATGGCGATGATGGTATAATAATATTTTCATTCTGTTGATTCAATTGTCGTCGTTGTAATTTTGTTTCAATCAATTGTCGTTGTCGTTCAAGTAAACGTAAACGATTTGCTTCACTTTGACAATCTTGGCTAATTTTGTGAAATGAAAAAAAAAAAAACAAAACTGATAATCTGACCAAATAAATTAATCATTGATCATCACTTACTTTAAATTTCTTGACCATTTTGCCGATGATAAACGATTACCAGTTGTAGTTGTTGCCGATGTTTCCATTGTGTTTGCTGCTGTTGTTGTTGTTGTTGTTCGATTCCAAGATTGAATAAATAGATTGAACTTTTCACTTTTGAATTGAAATTTGAATTTTGTTTTTTCGTTTATTATTGAAAAAAATTATCCATCATCATTGATTTGACAACAATTCAACGAATGAAAAAAAATCAACGTTTGTAGTCAACAACAACAACAACAACAACAAAGACACACACACACAATGAAATATCCGATAAAAAAAACAACAACAAAACATGTATATCTCGTAACTAATGGTGACAAGAATATTCTCTATATGTGTGTGTGTCTAATTGCAATATATACCAACTAACCGACCAAGGTGAACAACAACAACAACAACAACAAAACAAATTCGATCGGTGAAACAATTTCGAAAAAAAACGATAACAACAACAACAATAAAAGAAAAAAAAACGGGAAATATTCTCTCTACATACATTACCTGTATGTATATATAGAGGACGCATTATTACAATGAAATGAAATTCTTTTTTTGTGTCTGCGGGTAATAACAAAAAAAATTATTCTTCAACTGAATCTAGATCAAGATCGTTACCATAAATCTCTCTCTATGTGTGTGTGTGTGTATGTATACGATTGGTAGCTATAGCGATGATTGTCAGACCAGAAAAATATGGCTGAAAAAATTTTTCACCAAAAAAAAAATAGAAAGAGAAATTGATAGATCAAAACACCGGAATTTTTAATACCAAATTTTCTTCTCTTTTTTTTGTTACATTACATTATTCATGAAGAATTAATGATAATTCCATTTGATCCAATTTTGTTGTTGTTGTTGTTAATGAATTTTTCTGAGAATTTATAAATTATATGGATCAAATCCAGATGAATCCAAATAAAGCCGGTTATTTTAGCTATTTATTCTTAGTCAATGTACGTTGTTTTTCGGCATGTTCGACAATTTTTTCCTCCACATGTAAACCTTTACGTCGTCGTACAGCATTTACATAACGTAATGCACGATTTTCAGTGTCTGCTTTTTCACCATATAGTTTATATTCTTCTTCCGTTGTTGGTGTCCAAAATGGATCCAAATCGATCACCTTTGATTTTATAGAGAAAGTGAAAAGAATGGAAAAAAATTAAATTTCAAATATCTGGTCAGTGGAAAAAAAGTGCAAACCAAAAAAAGAAAATTACCATAAGCAAAAAAAAAGAAAAGAAAGAGCAAGCCTAAATTTATGGAATATGAACATGAATAGATAGAGACCGGAACAGGTGTGTCAATCAACAGGTCAATTTCTTCTCTCATCATTCATTTTTTTTCTCTCTTTTCATTCCATCACATTCATAATTCTGTCCACAATGAGTATCGCTAACCCACTGTGCACTAAATTTGAAATAAATTTTTTCAATTTTCAACCAAAAAGAAAAAAAATCGATTAACTGGACAAATATATGAACCACAAACAATATATTGGGGGAGCCTTTAACCAACATACACACACACACACACACAACACACACTATTAACACATTTGTACATAGTCACACGTGTACAGAAGAAGAAAAAAAAATAGCAAGACAAATAAATCAATAATAACTTATGCAACCAAAACAAATGGGCCAATCCTTTTTTTTCCTACTGCAACCCCCCACTGCCCATTACTTAATTCTTCGACAGACACACATACACACATACACACAGGACATATTATAGAACGGAAGTTAACTATCATTTTTTCTTTCTTCTGTTGTTGTCTGAATCATTAAATCAAAAAAAAAAATTCTAAATCACACTAAATCGGTAGCCATCGGAAATGAAAATTCAAGTAGCCATCATTATCTCATTGTATGAATTAGCCTCATCATCATCTGGAAAGCCATGGGTAAATTCACGGTGTAAATTGAACGTGCAAATACAAAAAAAAACATCGAAAAAAATGACCAGAAAATAAAAAACAACAACAAAAAACTGGGTTTGGCACGCGACTAACAACAACAACGAAACGATATTGAAATGTTAAATTAAGAGAAAAAACTGGGTAGCTCTCTCTCTTTTATTGGAGAAAAAAAAATTACCACCACCACATCAGAATTTGTAATAAACAAAAAAAGATTTGATTCTAAAACAAAAAAAAAATGTCTAGAAAATTATCATTGAATAAACAGACACACACACACACAAACAGAGACCTAGGCTGGCCCATGAATTCGCATTTGAAAAAAGGGCCCGCACAAATAAATGACCAATATGAATAAAAATTAAAAAAAACTAGTAACCGGAAAGTGATTTTTTCGTGGTGGCCACATCACTAAACACACGTGGTCTCTCGTTGGATTACCGTAAAATTTTTCTGTAAATGACCCTATAAAATTCTACAAGAAAAAAAACTGGGTGCAAAATTAAAAAAAATTTTTAATGAAATGAAATGATAAAATTCGATGCAATACCTTATTCGTTCGTTCATTCATTTAATCTTCAAATGAAAAAAGAATTTTTTTCTTATCAATGAATCTTGATCATCGTCGTCATCATTATCATCATTATCATCATCATAAACATAGGTATTAGTATCAATTACATTGCTAATGGATATTATTGATAAATCATGATGCTTTGAAGCAATCTAGTAAATCGCCCCTCTTATTCACGAAAGTGATTTTTTGTGGTGGCCACATCACTAAACACACGTGGTCTCTCGTTGATTACCGTAAAATTTTTTCTGTAAATGACCCTATAAAATTCTACAAGAAAAACTGGGTGCAAAATTAAAAAATTTTTTAATGAAATGAAATGATAAAATTCGATGCAATACCTTATTCGTTCGTTCATTCATTTAATCTTCAAATGAAAAAAGAATTTTTTTCTTATCAATGAATCTTGATCATCGTCGTCATCATTATCATCATCATAAACATAGGTATTAGTATCAATTACATTGCTAATGGATATTATTGATAAATCATGATGCTTTGAAGCATCAGAAGCCGCATCATCATCATCATCATCAGCATTTCACATGTCATCATCAATGTTTTTCTTTTCCCTATCCCTCTTATTCAAAAATCATCAATCAATTTGAATTTGAAAATACTACTTATACTCGCAAAAACATACACACACACACACACACACAAGGAGGGAATTTTGTATTTTTTTCTCTCTCTCTCTCACTGAATGATGATGATGATCTTAAGATGATGATGATGATGAGAAATTGTATGAATGAAATGAAATCATTTCGGTTACGACGACGACGACGACGAGAGAATTCTCGAAAAAAGATTTCATTCATAAAAACCAAATGAATGAATGAATGGGAACAAGAAGAAAAAAATGCCGACAAAAGTACACACACACATAATAAATTCGTTTCTCTAGCACTCAAATTCAAAAATTCATTCATTCATTCATTCAGCTGAAAAAAAATCCGATCTAAAGTAAACCTAATCTTTTGGCTAAATAATCGATTGATGATTGCTGAAATGTATTGGACGTAGTATTTAACGAAGGGGATCCGACGATGATGTTGATGATGATGATAATGTTGACCACCAAATGATGGAAAAAAGAAAGAAAAGAAAAAAAATCCGATCATCATCATCATCAATCGAACCGCGAATTCATAGAAGTGAACACTTTTCAAAGTCAATTCACAATTTTGTTTTTCTATTTCATTTCATTCAAACAACAACAAAAAAAATGAATGGCATGCATGGAATTTGAAAAATTCGGATGCTAGTTGATTACATCACAATGATGATCATCATAATCATGATCATCATGATCATGATGGTATCGAATTTCAAATTAGCCAATCATGCATGTAGATGGATAGATGGAGAAGTTAGAAAAAAAATTGATAACCATCATCAACAACAACGAATGGAAAATTATCAATGATCAGTGGATGATCAACAATCGAGAATAGAGATATTAACAGCAGAAAAAAATGGATCAAAAACAAAAACGCCCACACTTACCTCCCAATGGCTAAATGACAATTGTGGTATAGCTTTACCGCTAGTTTGTTTACGTATTTCATTAACAAAATTAAAACTTTCAATAACAGGCAGTACAGCATTTACGGTAAATATTTGTGATCCTTCCTGTACATCGGCATGTAATATACGGCCATTTCTACGTCCAATTACGGCGTACATTTTACCTGCCATAGCAAAAAAAAAAAAATCAAAGAAAAAAAAACATTAAAATGAATGAAATCTGAATGATCACCATCAACGACAAAATAAACGATGAAAAAAAAACACCAATAAATTTTTCTTCACCATTTGAAGAAAAAAAAACCACAACGAATTGATCAAATTGATTTGATTGAAAAGAGAGTGAAATGAAAAAAAATTTCACACAATTTCAATCACACAAAATGGTAATAAACATTTTTTATTTTTATTTTTTTTTCTGGTAAAAACAAATTCACACGAGTTCCAAAATTGAAAATTTATGATTATGACCAAAATGTCGATTCCAACGAGCTACAACGACAACAAAACGGTATTGGTGGGAAATTTACGTGTTTTTTTTCTGGTTTATTTGTTTGTTTGATTTGGGGACAAACAACAACAACAACAATCCATATGATTATGCAAAAAAAAAACGCAAAAATTGTTCAAATTCAAACAGAAAAATTTCAAATTTCGTGAAATGAAAAAAAAACGACAAACAATAAAGATGATCATCGTATGAACTTTGAACTTTTTTTTTCTTCTAGTGAAAAATTACTAAACATCACGAACCAAAAAAAAAAAATCATTGAACGGAACTAAATTGAAAAACGACGCACACACATGACATTCGATGATGATGACCAAATTTGATGGAATGTAAAACACGCGCCACGAACATATATCGTCATCATCATCATCATCAACATCGGTATTTGAATCAAAAAAAACCGGATAAGATTTTTATGGTCACGTTTTTGTTTTGTTTGTTTCGAGAGAGAGAGAGATGAAAAAAATATCTCGGAATCTTACATGTCCATCCATCAACACTATCATTATTCCATCATTATCTCATTTTATCAGCAAAAAAAAAAAAAATTTTAAATTGAAAACAAAACAAAACGAAAAAATTCACAAAATCTGAATAAAACACAAATGAAAAATCTAGACATGAAAACAAAACACAAAAAACACAAACGAGACGACAAAAACACATAAACATTGAAAAACGAAAATCCAGAAAAAGAACAAACAGAAAAAAAACTTTTTGCCGGCGGAAACCAGTGTGCATGATAATAATGTAATTAGTCACAAAGATCACCAGCAACAACAAACAATAAACACGAATCTTAACAAAAAAAGCGCAAGAAAAGGTTAATTTTTTTTATCGTAACAAAAAAAAATTCGGGTCTTTGTTGTCGTTGTCGTTTTATTACACCACATACGCGTGGTATATGGTATTCGGTGTTTTTTTTTTTTTTTCATTTGCAGCAAAATAACCCAAGAGAATAAAACACAAAAAAATCGAACAACAGACAAACTACTATATAGACAGACAAAGACCATATTTCGGGTTTTTTTCTGATCATGAATGATGATGATGATGATCATGATTGGCGGTAGATTTTTGTCCAACACAACCGAGAATTTAGAAATGAAATGATGAAAAAAACGAAATATTTCGTGATTCAAAGATCCAAAATAAAAAAATAAACACAACTTCCGTTATCATCATTTTTTAAACCTCAAAATCTCAAAAAAAACACAACATCTGAGAAAGTAGATATAGACAGATAGCCTATAGCCTATCTATCTTCTTCATCTTCAATGTATATATATTGGCAACCAAGCGTAACCATTCTTGTGCAATATTGTTATTTTTTTTTTTTTGCTTTTTCTGATGAATGATAATTGCTACAAACATCACAACCAGACAAAAACAACAACAACTACAACAACAACAAAAGAAGACAAGTGTCTTCAAAGGAAACACAGAAAAAAACGATTCTCATCGAGATCGAAACAAAATTTTCCCATAGTTTAAAAAGAATGGATCATTGATGATGATGATGATGCTATACAACACCACCACCAACAACACCAGAGACATGGTGAGAAATGTGAACCAAATTTTGTTGTCAAAAGACAAATTGGTTTTACTTCCGTTCATCATCATCATCGTCGTCATCATTTACAAGACAGACAAAAAAAAATGACGATGATGATTGTCAAATGTCAAAAAATTATTAAATTCTCACCACCAACACCAAAAAAAATACGATATGATTTTTACATTTCATTGAAAAGAAAAATCAATCAATCAATCAGGTTACAACATATGTGTGTGTGTAACAAAATTTATGATTTTTTGCAATTACAAAAAAATTTTATTTACTTACAAGAAAAAAAACCCGCCAGCAACCAGATGTCATAACTGACCGAGTAATAATAATCCCATTTATTTATATGTATGGATGATGGGTGGTCTTGTTGTTTTTTTTTCACATATAAAATAACATTTTGTAGGTGGTCCTAGGACAATGATGATGATGATGATTAAATCATAAAGATTAGATCATCATCATCATCATGTGAAACTAGAACCAAAAAAAATAAATAAAAGAAAATCTGATAAACAAACACACACACACCAGATGTATGATCTAATCATAGAAATAATTCAAGAAAAAAACTGAAAAAAATCCAAAAAACAAATGAACAACACACAATGACAATTACAATTTTTCCAGGTGAAAAATGTCAATCAAAAACGCAATAAGATTAATTTTTTAACCGGACAAATAGAAAAAAAAATTTGATCTGATTAAAAATTTTCTGTTTGTCAACAACAACAACAACAACACACATCCAACCATTCACCTACACAAACACAAACTTACATAACGAAAAAAAAGGTCATGACCAGTATGATACACACCCACACACCCACAGATCATTTCATATGGAAAAAGCCGAACAAACAAACAAAAATTCATCTCCAAGGTCAATTTACATATACAGACAAAAAAACACAAAAAAAGCGAAAACAACAACAGGAAACATCATTTATCAAAAATCGATCGAATATTATCATCATTATCATCTCACAAATTTAAAGAATTTAAATTTTTTTTTAAAAAAGAGAGATTCGCCCTTAGAAAGATAATGGTAAAAACGAAGTCATCATCATCATCATCATTGAATGTGAATCATTCGTTTTTTCGTGTGTGTGTGTTATGTGTGTATGTCACGATAGTAGACCAACCAATATAGAACGAAAATGAAAATGATTCTTGATGATGATTTGCCGAGATTCGAGCCATTTTTGTTCATTCATTCAATCATTCATTCAATAAAAATGTTCATATTTGTTTGAATGAATGAAGCAACAACAACAACAACAAAAAATGAAAAAAAATTTGAGTGGGAGAAAGAAACAAACGTACTACGTTTACTACGTTCAATTGAATGAAATCAAAAAGAAAAAGAAAAAGAAAAAAAAGGTCAAAGTTCATCATTTACTACTACGATGAACATGTATAAATATCATCATTATTACCATCATCATCATCATCATCATCATCATCATCAGGAACAACAGCAACAATGATTGTAAAGAAAATTTTCTTGTGAATGAATCGAAAAAAAAACGATGAGAGAATGAAAAGCAATTGTGGGAGAGAGAATGAGAGAGAGAGAGAGAAAGAAAAAAAAAAAAAATCGAAAGGAAATAAGTAATTAGGTCGGTGAGCCATATATGATGATGATCACATCATCATAATGATCATGATCGACACAATTGCCAAATCAAATTGAAAATCCAAGATCCTGAAATTGATTTGACTCAAATTCCATGGGATCATCATCATCATCATCATCTCTCTGGAATTGTTCCATGGAACAATAACCTTCACCACTTGTTGATGGAACATTGAATTTTTAATTTTCTTCATCAAAAAACCGATATAAATCCCATTTTTTCCCCATTCATATTCAACGTGCAAATGGGAGGTGCAACATGTGTGTGTGTGCGTGCTTTCATTCATACAATTTTTTCATTCATTCAATGATTTCATTTGGCTTCTGCTGCTGCTGTTTCTTCATTCATATTCACAATCGATCATAGTTGTAGTCGTTTTTTTTATGGTCGTGGCCAAAAAAAAAACAACACTTTACAGGCAAAAGAAAATTGAATTCACACACACACACACACAGTGTGTAAAAGCCATGGATGGCCATGATGGCAATGATGGTGGTGGTGGTTGCTATAAATTTTCATTGAAGAAAAAAAAATCAGACATTTAGCTTCATTTCATTTCATTTCAGTCAGTCCATTTGTTCAGTTCACTCATATTCACATTGTTCACAGTGTGTGTGTTTTTTTTGTGAATGAAAATTTTTTTTTCTGAATTCAATTTCATGAATGAAACAAAACAAAACAAAAAAATTAAAATTATGAATCAAACGACAACAACAGCAACGATTGAACCGGAAACGGGATCGATAACCAAAATCAATAAATCAATTACAAATCGACAATCATTATTTAGCCATCATCAATTACATATCATCAATAATAATGATAAAAATAAAAATAAAAATAAAAACACCGATATAGACCTCATTAATCAGGAAAAAATTATACAAAGAACAGAATCATCATTATGTAATAATAATTTAAATTGTAAACCAAAAAAATTATTAAGTGATATGATTACAATGATGATAATGTCTGCGACGATGACGACCACGACGACGACGACGACAACGACGACGATGAATAATGTTAATCAGTGCAAACAACCATTATTGTATTCAACAAAAACACGAAAAACATCAATTAATAATGATGATGATGATGATGAAGATGAAAATCTAAATTTAAAATCATCATCATCATCATTAAATGATAATGTTAATAATCCGAGTGAAATACGATCATTATCGTCGTCATCATTACCATTGCCTAAATCATCATCAAATTTTATAATCATCATTTCAATCATAACGATTATAATTTTATTAATTATATCAATGTGTTCTAGAAATGTTTATTGTATGAATGAACAACAACAACAACAGCAGCAGCAACAACAACAACATAATCATCGTCATCGACATCATCATAATCATCATCATCATCATCATCATCAACAACAACAAAAACAACAAGATCAAAAACAAATACAAAATTTAAATTCAATTATACAACGTTTAAAATTATTATCAAATCCATTGATTTATAATCGATTAAAACAACAGCAGTATATACAAAATAGTCATCAATATTATCGATTATTACCACCGCTATCATCAAAAATAATCAACAAACAGAAGCAATATGAATCTAAAAATCAAACAACAACAACGATGAAAAAATCAGAATCACTACATCAATTATTATTACAACAAATGATTAGACAAAAAATGTTGACAGTAAAACAACGTAAACATCGCCATACATATTATCATGATGATCATCAACATCGGAATAATAATCATCATCGAATAAAATCATCATCATCATCATCATCATCATCATCAATTAATCAACGACAAAGAAGTGCACGTTTGATTGATTATCAATCGATATCGACAAATAATAGCATGGTATCATCAGCGCCAAAAATTATCTACGAATTAGAATGGGTAAGTCAATATGTAACAAAAAAAAACTCGCACACAAACACACACACAAAAAAAAGTCTTAAAAGCCAAAAAAAAGCGCGCCAAAATTTTTCAGTGTAAAAAACACGAACCATAAATGTGTGCACAAACAAAAACACTAACCCCTCGAATGAATAAAAAAAAAACATTGAGAGAAAAAACCGCTATTTTCTTCAAAATGGCCAATGGTCAATGAGTGTTTGTCGTTTAAATTCAAACAACAAGCACACACGTGTTTTCTTTAAACAAGAAAAAAAACCTTGGACTTCCACACACACACACACACACACAAACAAACAAACGATGATTATGGCCATTGATCAAGTTGAACATATGGCCAGCATGGTCAATGTCGATATATAAGAAAAGAAAAAGAAGAAACGAAACAACAACAAGTGTTCATCAATCGACGACCAAAGACACAAGGTGTTTGGCCGTTGTTGTTTTTTTTTGCATTTATGGACAAACAAATCAACCCATAGCAAAAAAAAAAAAAAAAAAACCAAGGCTAGGCCAATCTTTAAATAGTGGGCCCCTTCTGCTTCTTCTTCTTTTCACAACCAAAGATCAATTAGGTCAAACAGTAAAAAATGAAATGAATTCAAAATGGATGGATAAACGATAACGACAGGTGGCGGGCCTAATAAAAAATAAAAAATATCAAAACAGCAGCAGCAGCATTTAGTTTGATGCAAATGTATAAACTTTTTTTTTGTCGAACCAAAAAAAAAAAAAAAAAAAAACGATTCCAAATCACCACCTTTCTTCATCATACACTACATCGTCTCCCATTGATCATGATAATCATGATGATCATGATCATGATGGTTGGGTGGTGGATCTTAAAGTAAAGCGTAAAAAAAAAAGAAAAGAAAACTCAAAAGTCTAATAGGTCTCCCTGCTGTACATGCTGCTGCGTTCTAGTCCATTCATTCACATTCACATTCAAATTCAATACAATTCAATATATGAAAATAAAGTTTCACTCATTCATAAAAATAATGTAATGATTTCCAAGAAAAAAAAAAAGAAAGAAAGAAAAAAAACTTTTGAATAAAAGAAAACAAACAAACAAAAAAATGGTCTTTGGTATTGTGAATATAAATGAAATTTTTTTTTTTACTGAGCCAAAGTTGGCAAATGATCATGATGATGATGATGATGATGATCGTCATAAATAAATAATTCGTGGTGCATGTGTATTCGTTGTTTACACGTGTGTTTGTGTGTGTGCTCGAAAAGAAAAAAATCGAATCGATTCGAATGATCCATTTGGATCGTTTTTAATTGAAATTAAAAATACAACAACAACGGCGATTGACTTATTTATTATCTTCTTTTTTTCTCTCATCATGTTCATTCACATTCAATTATTGTTTGTTCATAATCATTCAGAACAAAATAAACAATCAAATACACAAAGGAGAGAGAGAGAGAGAGAGAGAGAGAAAAAACCAGACAATATCAGACACGTCGAGACAATGATGATTATACTTATGTCACCTTCGACCTTCAAAGATATTGTTGTTTGTATTCACAGGAGTAAAAAAAAAAAATTCTATTTCATGATGACTCGTCGCGTCATATTACTGTCGTCGTCATTGTAGCCGTCTACAGTCATAATCATCATACAATATTTGTGGTGCCTTTAATTTAAATTTTAAACAAGGAAGGGTTCAAAAAAAACATTGATTGAAACACACGATACAATCGATATCGATCTTTAAAAAAATTTGACTTTCAAGAAAGAAAAAAAAAGTTAATAAAAGTAAAAAAAAACAAACAAACAAACAATAATTCTGTATAATGCAATTGCAACTACAACTTGTTGAATAATTGCAAATTCATATATGGAAAATAAATGGATGATGATGAATCGATCCACAGGTGTGTATATGGAGATTTGATTGATATTTTCCGATTCACAACCAGAAAAGAAAAATTACAAAAAAACAGCTGTCCAATTCATCAAATATAGCCGCGATATTATAATAATAACAACAACAAAAAAAGATTTAAAATTCAACAACAACTGAAAACAAAAAAAAAATGAAAAAATCGATTCATCAACATCGATCATCATCATCATTTCAATTGATTTGATTTTTATCTTTATTGTCAAATGTTATAATACAAACATACAGGAAATAGAAATACATCATCAATACGATCAATCGGTAATCAATCATTTTAAATGAGTTTTTTCATCTTGAATGTTATGAAAATGAATGAATGAATGAATGACAATAAAAACCGAGCACCCATCAAATTGACATTTTGAATGAATAAATATTTAGGTGAAATCAGACAAAATTATAAAAAAATTATCAAAAGCAACACAAGTAACAACAACAACAACAACAAGAAAAAAACAACTGAAAGTCTTTTCTTTTTTATACACCAAATAAAAGAAAAAAAACTAAAAAGGGTTCAAAGGTCAAAGGGGTTGTTATTAGGTAAAAAAAAAAGTTTTCCCATCACCATCATCATTTTTTTTCGTTTATTTAAAAAGTTTGGACAGGTGTGTGTGTGTTACACGTATTTATTCAAACAGGGTAGTGATGCTGATAGTGATGGTGAACAGGGGGGAAGCAAATGAAATCATCAATGAACCAGGGTACCACCACCACCACCTGGTTATACCAATTGTAATCATCATGTACAGAGCAAGTGAATTGACAAATAATAAAAAGAACAAAAAACTAGAGCAAAATCTCAAATATAATAATCATAATGACCACATAATAATGGGCAGGTGGGCAGGTGTGCAGCACTAAACTGAATGATTTTCACTCGCACTCGCTCTCTCTCTCTTTCTTTGATTTAATCACTCCCATAGATACCATAGATAGGTAGGTAGCAAGAGAAAAAAAAATCAATCAACGTAGGTGGTGAATCATTGAATAATTAGGAAATGAAAAACCAGAACACAAATGAAACGAAAAAAAAAAAAAAAACATCGATACAATGTGTACAATTCAAAGATTTAGAGAAAGCAAAAAAAAACTTTCACATTTCACGTTTCATAATAATCTAATCTTGTTTATCATTCATGTTAGAAAAATTTTCTAAACGCCCACACATTTTTAATTAGAAATTCAAATGAAATTTAAATAGCCAGAAAAACAAAAAAAATGTCACACACACACACACACACACACACACACACACACAAAAAAAAAATATAGTCGAAAGATAATGTGTATACAAAACAGACAAGACAGTTAGAGCAAAGAAGTTTATTTGGTCAAAAGAAAGTGAAAATTTTTTTTTTTAAGAAAAAAAAAAAAATTTCCTTAATTGGTCACATCGACATTTTTGTTTTTTGTTTTTTTTTCTCACAAAAAAAAATCTCATCACTCAGGTGATCATCATCATAACAGTCGTTGGTGGTGGTGGTGGTGGTTTTTGATAGTGATAGAAAAAAAAATAGTAATGAATGAATGACACGACAACCACTTTCAATTTCCTGTTCAACTACAAACAACAACAACAACAAATGACGCCTACAATAAATTTTTTAAAAAAAAAAACGGTAATTCGTAATTCATAAACAAGTCTCGATCGTTCCATATAAAGTCTTAGTACATCAAATCAAATTGTCCATCATTGGATGTTACTTTGGTTGCTTGTTCGTAAACACATCCTACACACACACACAGATAGAGAGAATACTTAAATGGCCAAAATCAACCTACACATACACATGCACACATTGAACGTGCAAATGCACGTGTAAAATTTGCAAAATTAAAAAAAAATTTAATTTTTTATTGAATCCATATATATAGATGAAATCCGATAATGATTTACCAGAATGTGAAATAAATCAAGTTTGTAATAAAATTGATACATATTCAACACCATGGATACAGAAATCATGTCGTTGTCATTCACAACAACAACAACAACAACAACAACCATGTTCATTATCATTGAATCCAAATGATGGTCATACAATTAGTGAAAAAAATAAACAATATAAGGTATGTGTGTGTGTGTGTGTGTGTGTGTGTGAATTTTCAATTTTATAACCCATCATCATTCACTTTTCATTAGCTTTGTGAACCAATTGTAAAGAAAAAATTACCAACATGTCGTTATTTTCGTGATATAACATGGACAATAACAACAATTTCAATGGCCAGATCATCATTATCATCATCATTGGCTCCAGAACAACAAAAATCAGCACCAACAACAACAACAACGACGACAACCACAACACATCAAAATGAAAATATAACAAAACAGGAAATAAAATGCATTTGTCCACCAAATAGTGAAGCTTATATATTAAAACATCATGTATATAAAACAGCGGAAGGACAATTAGGTTATCGTTATTATTTTGCATGTTCACCTGAAACGGTAAGTTATTCTTTAATTCTACACATATATGTCTGTGTGTGTGTTTGGTCAGCAAAAAAAAAAAAAAAAATCCGAAATCTTCACTACACACGTGTGTAATAAGGTTTTTTAAGGTGTGTGCCTGTGTGTTGTAATATCATTCGTTCTAGGTAAACACACCTGGTCAGCAAAAAAAAAAAAAAGAAATGATTCCAGAATGTTTAATTTTGGAATTAAAAAAAAAACTCACAGTGAGAGAAAAATCCATTCAGCAAACACAACAAGCACACACACACACACACACACAAAAGAATTTCATAAATTTTTTTTTTCTTTTTGATTTTCAATCTAGAAATTACGTTGTAAACGTAAAGAACCATGTCGTTTATTCACCGTACGTAAAGGAATCTATTCAAAATCAATAGAATCTGTTACAACAAATACATTATGTCAATGTGAAAATGGTTATGAATGTCCAAATAATCATCGACAATCATTATCATCATCATCATCATCGATTATAATGATGGGTCAAACATATCCAATGGATAATATACGTACATATAGTGGTTATTGTTATCCAACAACAACAACAACAACAAAACAAATCAATCAATCATCACCATTAATGATAACGATAATGATTCATTCAATGAGTACGTATCATATGATTGATGATTAATTAACACTTTACTAACCGGATTATTGGTTTTTTCCGATTTTCAAATAAAAATAAATAGAAATAATAATTCAAGCTGATGAAAGAAAATGAAGAAAAAGAAGATATTTGCAATAATGATTTTGATGAATGGAATCAACAAAACAATGGAAGATTTGGTGTATGAATCAATTATATGGAGATTAAACCAGAATCGAAACTTTGTTGAAATATAGAAAAACATCACAATCACATTTAAGCTATTTTTGCTCATGTTTGTATTTCTAGTATGATGTGTGAATTTTTTTATATAATTGATTCATGTATATAATTCAAACTTTCAATATGTTTGATTGATGAAGATGATGATGATTAAGTAATTAATAAAATAAAAAAATGTTGCCGTTCTGACTGACTTACTGAATTTTTCATTTTCATTTTTTTTTTTTTTTTTTTTTGGTAAAAATTAAAGTGAACAAAAAAAATCAATCTTACCACTGTATATGGACGCCATCTAGTGATTGTGAATGGAAATAACTGTGGAATATTAAATGTCAATGTTAATGATTCAGTGTCATTGTTGCTGCTACTGCTGCTAATGATGATGATGATAATGATGATGAGAAAGATGGTATCAAAATTCAGGTCAAGTCGGTTATCATCATCATGATTATGATTATTATCATTAGTGTATTAGTGGAAACGAAAAAGAAAAGAAAAAATTCTGAGTAATGATAATCATCATGGCTATATTATATACACTATTCCCATATATATATAGCATTATTATCATCACAGAAAAGAATGTAAGATGATCATCATTCTACAAACTATTAAATAATATATACAGTTGTAGAGATTAAAGTTTTATCGTCATTATCATCATCAAAAAAAAAAAAAAAAATTCAGTTCAAGAAATTCATTTCATTCAAAATTATCATCATCATTTGTTATATCGTTTTTTTTTTTTTTTGATTATCATCAACATTGTTGTTGATAATAATAACAAACAAGAAAAAATGGATTCATGTGTAAATAGTCGACAATCCATTAGTATCCGGATATTGATAGTAAAGTATCATCCATCATTATGTAATAAAAATTTCTCTCTATCTATCTCTTTGAGAACAAGAAATTTAAGCAGCCCGATCATCATCATCATCATTAAAAAAAAAAATCACCGAAAGAAATTTGGTCGTCAATTTAAACTTTTAGATTTAGATTGACCAAAAAATTTTTTTTTTCGTCATTTTCTCGGTCAAATCTACTCGCCGTTGATGATGATGATGATTCAAGGTACCGTTATTTATTTATCAATCAAACACACACACACACACAGTCTCATTAATTTTAACTTGTCGTCTTCACAATTGGATTCTTTTTTTTTTTTTGATGAGAAAAAAAAAGAAACCAGCTTTTTCCAAAAAAAAAAAAATCCGAAGAGAGATCTGTGAATTTAGACAAGTAGGGAAAAAAACCACAAATTGATGACCGCCCATTAAAATTGGTTTGAATTGGCGCATAAAAATCTTGGAATTTTATTCATTCATTCATCTCTAATAATAAATCTTGTTTGTCAACAACAGGTGACCCCAGTTGAATATCATTTTCATGGACACCTGTTGTTGTAGTTGTCGATGTTTTTTTTTTGATGATTATATATCCATCCAGGTTTCTTCTTGTCATTCGAAGCAAACGAAAGAAACTTATTACTATAAATAAACCGTATAATAATTTGAAAAAAAATTCGAGAAAAAAAACGAATCAGTTGGATATCATTCACAGTTTTGGTTTAAACATTGTCCAGTGAGTGTGTGTCTTGTGATTTAGTTTTTTTTTATGTATGATCATCATCATCACAATGAAGACAATGAAAAGAATTTATTATTGGAAAAAAAATATTTTCCATTTTTGGACGATACTATCGATTATATCAATTATAGCAATCGATAATATTGTTACCGGAAAAAATCATGCTACTGGTGGATCAATAATGATGTCAAGAAAAATGAAAACTTTTCTAACAACATTGTTTGATCGTGCGCTTGAAATGCAAAATAATCAACAACAGCAGCAGCAGCAGCAGCAACAGCAACAACTATTAAATCGTAATGGAAAATGGAATGAATTTATTGAAGAACAAAATTTAAAACAAAATCAACAACAACAACAACAACAACAATCAGCATCATCATCATTAATGATGAGTCAAAATCAAACAAAATTACCAATGGTCACAATACCATCGTCATCATTGATTTTATCATCATCATCATCCACACAACAACAACAACAACAACAGCAACAACAAACGCGATTGCCAATAAATCAAAGCATCATCAATCATCAAGATGATGATGATGATGAAACAAATGATCCAAATTCACCATATTATATATCAATGATTAGTAGTAATATTAGTGGTGGTAATTTTAATCGCTCAAATCATCAAATTCAACATCAACAACAACAAAATTCATCATCATCATCATCATCATCATCAAAATTATTCAATTATGCATTTTCAACAACGGCGCCACGTGTTATGCTAACATCAAAACGGCCATTAATAACATTTATAAATATTTCAAATTTAGATGATATGGATGATAATAATAATAATTATTATGAATCAGAATTATCATCACCAGAATCATCATCATCATCATCATCATCATATATATCATCAAAAATGAATACATTTCAAACATCTGAATCATCACAATATCAATTATCATCATTATTAAATAGTGCTGATCCACATTCATCAATGTTACAACAACAACAACAACAACAGCAACAGCAACAAGTGGTGTTGACAAAAAAACGTCTACCAGAATGTGCAACACAACAGGTGTGTTCAGCACATTATGTTAAATCCAATCATACACAACGTCTTTGTGATTGTCCCACAGATTCAAATTTTAATTGTGATAATAATAATGAATCATCAACAACATTGATCGATACAAATTTGAATGAAGATCATATTATTGATTTGACTAGAAAACAAGAATTCAAGGTAAATTCAATCAATCAATTATCAATCAATTGTCAATTAATATAAATTTCATTTCACTAGACTAAACGTAATAGTTTAGAAGCATATACACAGGTGAAATTATGTGAAAATCTAAGCAATATAAAACCATGTAAAACACCAACCGATTGGACCATAATGGCATTACAATCAGAACGTACTGGCAAAGCACATTTTGTTGTCGTGTGTAAATGTCCGGATTCAGCATCATTCGAAGGACCATTTACACATAAACATCCACCATATGCAAGATTTCCTGGTATTCGTGTTTATGGAATGCTATGTAATCAAGGCATAAGGAAATCTAAACATAACCATAAAGGTAATTATCATCATAATCATTTCAATTCATTTTCAATAAACAAAAAATTTTTCATTTTGTTCACTAGTTGCATTAGAAATTGACCTGGAAAAAGGTGGTAATGATTTTCCAGAATTTCCATGGGAATTAGCATATGCTGTCATTAATTCAACGGCTACACAAGGATTTTGGTGATCCAAAAAACAACAAAATCATCATTGATTATGAAAGTGTAAATAACTATTATGACTAATTTAACCATCACACACACCTACGAACACATTACAATCTTAAAATAAATTTTTTTTTTTTGATGCAAACTTACCCAAAGCATCGCTATCAATTTGTATGATACAGGAAAACATTGCGGCCATAAGACGTTGTGGTTGTATTTGAAATGCGCGGCGACAAATTTCTTTCACAGTTGACATTATCTGTCCACTAATTGGACCAAATGGATCACTTGTTGTTGTTGATGTTTCATCATTGCTATGATCATCTTCAAGTGATTTCCATTCTTCAACTATGAAACCAACACCCATCATTGGTTCATCACACAAGGGACCAGATTGTGTACATAATTGGAAACCATTAATAAAACTATTTTCATATGTATAACGTATATCATGATGATTCGATGGACATTTGGATTCTTGCTGCTGCTGCTGAAGCTGATGTTGTGGAAAACATTTTCGATGATTAAAATCTTTCAGTCGATTAATCAATAAATTTGATCCATAAAATTTTGGTCCCAATGACCATATCTTATCGAATGTATCCGATGGCCAATCATTTGCATCTTGAAATTGTTGTTCAAGTTTCTTGCATAGTTTATTCATTTCTTCACGTAAATCAACAGTAAATATTTCATTAGAATCAACAATGATTTGATGATTGACGTTTGTATCATCGGCTAAAACATTTTTTCTTTCAAATTGCATCATTTGAATTAATAAATCGCGTGCATTTTCAAGTGTTTCCACTACTTGTTCCGGTAATGGTTTAGCACGTATTCGAAATATGAATTTTTTATTCGGTGTCATTTGTTCAATATATTCACAAATTTTCTTGTTACTATTATAACTACAATTATTGTTCGTTGTTGTTGTTGATGATGTTGTTGTTATAGCTGTCAATTTTTGATCAGATAGTGCTTCATTTAGTGTATCAACTTTAGGTGGTTCAACAATTGTTTCACGAAACGGTACAATTGGATCAGAAATATTGAATTCAATTTCTTCGCCCAAGAAATTGACTAGATCTACAATACATCGTTCTAGATGTACTTCACCAGTAGTAATGATCACATGTTCACCAGTTTCTTGTATTTTAACATCAACACATGGATCAGATTGATTTAACATACGTAATGCTTGTGTTAAATGGACGATATCTTGAGGATTTTTTGGTTCTACAGCCACACGTAATATTGATATATTTTTGATATATTATCAATGAATGGTGGACAATAAATGGTTGATGATAGTGTTGCTGATTTCAAAACATGTGATTGTAGATTTCCAATACCACAAATATGACCAGCATTGACTTCATCCACTGATTCTAGATCACGACCCATTAATAGATATAATTCTTTCACCTGAACTTTTGTTACATGTTGATCAGAACGTAGATTCGCCAATGTTAATTGACCATGTTCAATTTCTTCAATCATTTCTGTTGTAATACGGGTGGGATCATGTTTTGGTCCTAAAACATAAACAAAATCATTTCGTCTCAGTGTTCCACTGAATATTCTTGCAAAACCAATAAATGTTACTTTTTCCTGTTTTTCTTCGTCGATAGAATTTTCATTTTCATGCTTGTCCAATGGGCTAGATTGTTCTTGTTCTTTTTCTTCATCATTTCTTCACGACGTTGAACAATTTCTTCACGTGTTAATGGTTTAATACGAAATTGTGGCAGTGATTCTTGTGGATAGGAAAACATTTTTGTTACATATGCTATAAGAGGAACATTATCATCATCAGATGATTGCCGTCCACGACAATCTAGAAATGCTTGTTTCAACATTTGTGTTTGCAATGGTAAACTATCGAAACGTCTAGTTTGATTAGCAGTGATGAAACGTTCAACACGTTCTTCATTAATATCACATGGTGCCGGTACAATATCACAGACAATTCGTAATAATGATTGTGATAATGGTATCCATTGATTAAATAATTGCATCAATGTTTGACGATGATCAGAACGTTCTAAATCACGTGTTTCCAATGTAATATTCAATGATTCGGCTATTTTTATCATTTCCAATTTATCATGATCCATTAGGAATTTTTCATAAATTTTTGCTAAATTTTCCAATACAAATGTAACAAATAATGGTTTCTTTGCTTTGGATTGTGCTCCTTTTTGAATACGTTTTTCACGGCCATTCAGATAGAAATCACCCCATAATGTTTTGGTCAATGTGTTGATACTGAAACCTAATTTCGTGGATAATATTCGTGCAAAATCACCAATAGTGAAACCCCAACCATCGATGGCACTAGCGAACAGGACATTACCATTTTCTGGAGAAAAATATACACCAGAATCATCAATATCATCCAGACCAGAAGACCAGTCATAAAATATTTGTTTCTTTGACATTTGTTTTTCTGTAGTCGTCGTCGCTTGCTCTGGCTTTTCATCGGATGATTTTTGCTGTTCATGATGATCGAGAGTGGCGTTTATTTTGGCCAATACTTCAGATGCAAATAATTCTCCTATGAATGCATTGACTTGTTCCAATGTTTGTGTGAGTTGTATATGAATATCTAATGGTGATAGCTTCTTTTCCACAAATAATCGATCAATTTTATTCAGCACAAGAATTGGACGAACACGAGCTAACCATGCTTGTTGTAATGCAGCACGTGTTTGGGCACAAACACCTTCAATAACATCGACAATAATTACACAACCATCACAGATTCGTAATGCAGTGGAAACTTCACCGAAAAAATCCACGTGTCCAGGACTATCGATAACATTTATTAGATGATTTTTCTGATCAGTAGGTGTATCTGTTGTATGAAACATAGAGAGAATCATTTATTAAAACTTTCATAAATATCAAAAAATAAAAGCATTTACATTTAAAAACCAATGAAATGGATGAACTTTTCATTGTAATACCACGTTGTTGTTCATCTGGCCGTGAATCCATATAACGTAATTTTCCTGCCATACGTTGTGAAATGATATGATTGCTGGCCAATAAACAATCGACCAGAGTAGTTTTTCCTAAATAAATAAAAAAAAACAATGACATTTACCAATCAATTGATTTGAAATAAAAAACCCAATTACCATGATCAACATGAGCTAAAACACAAATATTTCGAACATGTGAACAATTCGATTGTTGTTGTTGTTGTTTTGTCGATGGAATCTCTATGGAATTTGAATCCATTCAGGTGTGTGGTGGAAAGATTGTTTCAAAATACCAGATATATCAAGAATGTAAACAAAACAAAACAAAACAAAACTCAAAAATGGATTTATCTCAAAGAAATGATCACAAATTGTTGCACACCAGAATAAATGACAAAATAGACCATGTGACCATAAAATTGTCAAGAATAATAATGAATGATGATGGACGAATCCATCGATTATTCTGGGAAAATTTGTCGTTCGATTTATATATTTTTTTTAAACAAAAAAAAATTCATTTATTTTGTAACCAAAAAAAAAAATTCAGTGGATTATAACGTAAAAATATAAATTTTTTCCATTTTCTTGTTTCACCAATCACAATCATTTTTCGTTTGTTCGATGTTATTTTTACCACCATTCGAATAAAATTGACTAAACCATCGACGATATTTGACCAATGATTGTTCCGATTTTCCAATATATGGACGACGAAGAAATGCTTTACGATTCCAGATTTCAATGTCACGTTGAATCTAAATGATAATGTATGAAAAGATAATTTTTTTTTTTTTTACTAAAACTAACCATTTTTGCTTCAGCAAACAGGAAAAATTTACTGAAAATAAAACTGATTATGGAATTATTGAAATAAAAATCATGAATAATTGAATTTCGCATCGGGCCAATCGGTTTGACCATCTGTATCATAACGCCTTCGATTCCGCCAAAAATATCACTTTTCAAATGAATTTCAACATAAGCCGGACCAATTTGTCGTACATTGAAACGGAATTCAATGATTTTTATGCCAAAAATTTTATTCGTATTAATCATTTCTAAATGTGATATATGTTGTTGATCTGGTGCCGGACATGGTGACCATTGTGCATTCCATTCATGTTTCAATATACGATTGAACCAATTATAACGATTTTCAAGACCACCAGAACCAAATACTGATGATGAATGAATCTGGTTCAAATGTACAATATCGGCACCATTTTCTGGTATTTCTTGTAAATGACAATTAACATAATGTTCAGTACGGCCATAAAATTGCCATTTTCCTGTCATAATTTCATCAATTTGTTCTGGTTTCCATTCTGGTTCAACATTAGGATCATCATGATACCAGACAAAAATCACACCATTTACTTCGAAACTTTTCCATATTTTAAGTTTAGCATTGGGAACATTATCTATGAAAAGAAAAAAAAACTTGTTAAATTAGATAACCTTTCTAATGATCTGTTTTTTTACATACCTTCATATGGTACATCCACACAATTACCATCGGACATTCGAAATGCCCATGAATGAAATGGACATCGAATACAATCCTCTTCTTGTTTATGGACAATTTTGTTGTTATTTTTATCACCACCGATACGAATACGACATCGTTCAACGATACCACCAATAGCTAGATTGGCACCTAAATGTGGACAATATGCATCCAATACATAAACCTTGTTACTTGGACCACGAGCCACTATTAATTCTTTTCCAAAACATAATATTGATTTTAATTGATTACGTTTCAACAATCTTGATTCCAATATTGGTATCCAACCATTTGGATAAAATGGTGGCAACTGTTGATTAGGTAATATTCGTACATTTTTCGGTACCTGTTCATTTGAATCCTGTAATCACAGGAAATGTTAATGGGAATTCATTACATTAGAATTATCGAGAATCATAACAGAGCAATACCCACCACAATTATTTCAGCAAATGTAATAAATTTATACAGGAAATATGAGATGACAAACACCAAGATGATAATGAACAAATGATTCAATGATAATCGATCAATTGTTTTGATTAAATGATCAAATAGCCAAAATTTTATCGTCATCATCATCATTGAACTTGAATTTTTTTTCCCACGAATCAAATTGTTCACCGTTGAAGTGTAAATGTTCAAATGATGATGATGAAGTCACTTTCGCTTTAAATTCTCTCTATCACTCTCTCTCTCTCTCTCTCTTTCTCTCTCTCTCTTTATCATTTCTAGTTATCAAACCAAAATCAGATACAGTGGTCCATAGATATTGGAGACATTTTTTTCACTAGATGATGATTATCCTTGAATAGAAACAATCAAATAAAACCGATGACGGGTAAATTGTGGTAATAAAACCGAAGCACTACTGTACCATTACCCATCAATAACAAGTTAGTTTTGAAGATTAAAAAAAAATAAGAACAACAACAACAAAAATTTGAAAAGAAAATGTATGTGATGACCATGAGTGATAATCAGGTTGGCGGTAAATCATTAAATGCGTTGTGGTCTTTCCCCTCAAAGGACGTTGATGACCTTCGATATAAAACAAATTGTGTATACACCAGTGAACACTGGTATGGTCAAATCCATAGGCGATTTTCTTCTTCTTCTTTTTCCTTTGTCCATCATCATCATCATCGTTGTCGTTTTAGCTGTCAAATTGTTCTGAATGTCATAAATAATCGAAACGAAACGAAATGAAAAAAAATGAATTCAATGATTACAGCCAAGTTTTATGTCACTTTTTGAATTCGAATACATTTTACATCGTATTAACAGGTTTTCTTTTTTTTCGATGAATTACTTACAATGTATGAATGGTTAAGAATCAAAATATTTCATTCGATTTTTTTTCTGTGGTTATCATCGATTCCTCTCATATGGCGATATCATTTATCAATCTTTTCATCTTTGATTAATTCTGTGAATATCATAGTTCACAGCAATGGGTGATGGACAATTTAAACCGGGCGTTGCAGCCATCATTATCATTGCCATTGGAATATTGGTAAAGCATTCACAATTGATTGATTTTTTAATCTTTTCATCACATATCATTTGTTCATATTCAAATCAATCAATATAGATTTTAACATTGTTATTCATATTTGCTAAACGTCAAATTATGCGTTTAGCACAAAAATTTCCAACCGATGGTCCACATGCTCCAATTGGTTATGCTGCACCGAAAGAACTTTGTCATAAAATTGAACGTCGTTTAAATGATATTCGTTCAATACGTTATGAACCAATTTTATTGAATTCAGATAATCTTCACTGTTCAGAAGGTTTGGATGAAATCAATCTTTTTTAAATTTTTGTTTTTAATTTCATTCCATTTTTTTTAAATATATACAGCCAATGTAACAAAATATAAACACATTTATCGAATGAAAACGGTTGATAATTTAAAAGATTTAGAAAAATTTATTATTGATTCATATGGAATGGACGATGAAACAACAAAACGTCGTCGTCATCCTGATCAAGATATACGACAATATCTTCTTAATCTACAACAACAAAATGGTCCAATGAGCCATTGTGATCCAATTATAATCAATGAATTAGTCGATATTTACATACATGCACGTTATGATCCTGAACCAGATTTCGATAGTGAACATTATGAACGTTTTCATTTATTAATGGAACGATTAAAAGCACAGATTATACCGAAAATTCCAGATACAACAACATCTAATGAAAAAATATCACCAACAAAAATTGTACAAAGAAAAGGTATTGGCAGAGGTTTAGCGACAAATCTTTCATTTAAAAATCTTGCCAATCTTTCATCATCATCAACAATGATGATGATGGCTAAAGATAATAAAACCGATGAAACATGTGTTTGATTGATTTTAATTTAATGAATATAAATGATTTACATGTGAATATATGTGAAAAAAAAATTTTTTCACCGTTTTTTGATATGTTTTTTAAATTTTTCAAACATATAATTATCCAACGGTTTATCTTTTCCGGGCATACGATTATCTTTATCCATTGGTTTCGGTAATCGTACTTTTAATGGTTCATCACCAATAACCACAACTGGTTCAATATCATATTGTTGTACAGATTGTTGATCACGATGATGATGATGATGATGATGGTCACGTGATTTACCTTGTGCTTTACGTTCTTCTTTATCGATAAAATGGCTAATTAATTCTTTATTGTCCGTTGACATTGATTGTAAATTGAAACGATGATTTGGCATAGAATTATTATTGCCAATATTATTACTGGTATGAAGTAAATTATTCTGTCTATAATTGAAACATGATGCAAGATTTTTCGGCGCAAATGATAAATCTTTTGTCGGATCATTCGAATCGGTGGCATTCGTTGTGTCAGAAAGTTTTTCCATTTCACGTTGTATACGTTTTTCAATCAATTTATTACGTGCTGCTTCGGTTTTTTCGATATTTTTTATTCGTTCTTCAATACCAAGATCAACTTCAGGTATACCGGATAACATTTGTGATGAAAGCATTTCTTCATTTTTTGATTTTGTATTATTAATCAATTGCAAAAGATGATCAGGCATTGATTTCACTAGTAAATCTTTAGTTAAATCAGATGATTGTAATGATGAAGTTTCATTATGGCCACCATCATTCAAATCATCATTGGCCATTGATCGTCGTTTGGCCAATTCTTCATCAACATATTTCATCATTTCAGCATCTTCATCACGACGATTTGTTTCCAAACTAAACGTATTACCAAGATCTAATTCATTGGCCAATAATGTTTTTGAATCGGTCAAACCATACAATACTTTATCGCCATTTTTTTCACCATCATTCTGTTTATTCTTTGCCATTATCATATCTTGTTTCAATAGATCCATTACATCGATACCTTTGGTAATACGTTTACGAGATTTTTGTAATTCACGTAATTCATCCAATGCTGTCCAATCGATTGAATCACCACCACCACCATCATCATCATCATCATCATCTTGAATTTTAATTTTTTTCACTGATTCAATTTTACGTTTACGTTTTTTGAATACAATTTTTTCATCATCATTTTGATTCGATTTATTATCATCCATTGTTTACCACACACACAAAAAAACAAACGTTGAACGCTCGGACATTGTATATGAAAGGAACGCACAGAAAAAAAATCGAATCAAAAAAAAAAACAGCTCGAAAACGATTTATTCATTTCAACCAAAAAAATATGAAGAAAAAAACAAAAAAAGATGATGAAAAATAAATAAAAAAATGGTTGTTTTTTCCGTTTGAAATTTGAAAAAAAATTTATAGATGAAATATACTAAAAATTGAAATTTAAAAATCGTTTTTCATGATTTGATTTTTTTTTTAAATTTCAGATTCATTACAGCTATACATTTTACGGCAATCACCGCCACCACGACCAACACGTGCAGCATTATAATTTGAATTGAATGGTGACATTTTTTGACTGTCCAATACGTAACTTGATGCATACCTGTTGATGATAGATTGTGTGAAATCAAAGAAATTTTCAAAGACATCTCAATTACTACTTACCCTCCAATCTGTGATATAACTGAACCAAGTTCACGTGATTCTTGTGCCGCATTCGTAGCAGCATCACATATATGTCTTTGAATACATTTTGGATCATTAGATAATAATGATCGTACAAAACCTTTCATCATCGATATGCCAGCAATGGCTGCATCATCCAATGAATCTTTAAGACCACGTTCATCATTCAACAATGAACGGCCATTACGTCGTTGAGCGAAATTTGTTTTAACCATATCCAATACTTTGACCAATAAATTCAACACTTGTCTTGATGTTGCCGTACTTTCTTCCGATGAACCAAATACCAGTTTCACAATTGTTTTAACAATATTTTTTGTATTCAAAAATTGTGACACTTCATTCGTTGCCAATGCTTTTTCTTTTTCCATTCGAAATGATTTTGCATGACGTGATGAACGACTATATGATAGTGTACGATTAGAATCGATTTCCGTTTCCATACATTCGATGGCCGAAACAGTAACCAATAATAAAATGATGGTGGATTTTGGATCCATGTTTTTCCCAGCTATTGTTGATTATTTAATCTCTGGTTCCGTACATCAACACACACACACACACACACACACACACACACAGACACAGGCACACAAACACCAGAAGGAAAAAAAAATATGGTCGAAATAGAATCGAATGTTTACAAATCGAACTGACCGAATGAAATGACCAAATATAAATGATGAGATCATCGATGACCATCTTCTACATTCTCTAAAAATATCATTGAACTAGATATTTTTAAACCTTGGAATTTACTCATTTCCTCTCTCTCTCTCTTTCTCTTGTTCTCATCTACCATCAACTACAATATACCTTGATCATCAAAAGTTCAAATATAACGGTATACTAAGAAAAAGACGAAGAACCAGTATAATTTTCAACAATTTCTTTCAACGCTAATTATTTATGCACATTCTATCTCTCTCTCTCTCTCTTTTTATCAATCTCAAAAAACGGGAACAAACAATTTATTTTCAAATAAATTTTCTTCTTCTTCTTCTTCATCGTTTCAACAAATTTCAAGTTTCACCAAAAAGACCGGTCGATTGTTGTTGACCTCATTTGACTTGTTGTTGTTGTGAAAATTTATTAGAAACCAGAAATGAATTTCAAGTGAACTATTTATAGCATTATGAAATCATCACACTATTTGTCTATATTTGTTTCATCATGTTCAAAAAAAAAAGTTCTAATACACCAATTGATCGATAATTATTTTTCAATGAACCAAAAAAAAAAAAATCCCATCCCATCTCATTTTGCCTCAAAAAATCTGGTTATTTTTTGTTTCTATATTCATCCATCACACATCATTTACCATGAAAACAAAATACGGTCATAAGCTAAGAGGCAAAAATTTCAAGTTCAAGGTTATGGCATATTAGACAATTTGGCCAAAATCGATCATCAAAAATAATTAGTTCGCCAACAAAATACTAATAATGCTTACTTGTCGATCGCAGCCATCAATTAACAAGCCCAGTTTTTTTTTCTACATTGCAATTCATTATCGATTTTCCAAGAATTTCATTTCGATTGATTACCATGAAAATCTATAAACGTGAAAAAAAATCATAAATTTCCTGGTCATCATCATCATCAACAATCAAAAATCTACTGCTAGCTATTCATTTGAACATTGCAATTGAATTGGCCCGGTATGTTCACAATAAGTTTTTTTTTTATTCACGGTCTATTCTCACGATTTTTTTTTTTTTTTTACAGATTGACCGATAACCACGATAGATTGAAACATTTGCCAAAAAAATGAAATGAAATGAAATCCAATGACATTTACACACATATCGATCGATTGATATATCATCATGATGTTTTTTTTTTGTTCTTTTTGATAGCAACAAGTGTCTGCGATTACAATTATGCACAAATCAATGATTGATATGATAATCAATTGATAATGAATTGTTGCAAAAAGAAGATTTTTTTTCGGTAAAGTTAATTAGACATGTGAAATTTGAAACTAATTTTTATTTTCTGTTTTTCAAATCAGTAGTCGATTAATAATTGAATGATTATGGTTAAAATGAAAATCTTTAACTGTTATGATTGAAATACAATCATACGATGATAATGATGATGATCATTGGATTTGGATATATATATAAAAATCAATGAAAACAAATAACCACACCATCGATTATATTGAAATTTCACATTTTTTTTTCCTGCCTCAATATGGGGATATATTTGATCGATAATTGAATGGCTTGAATTTCATTCCATTTGTAGTGGTCGTGGTCGTGGTGGTTGATGTGTTCATAGTCGATGTATGTTTGTGTGTGTGTGTGTGTGTTCAACCTTGAAACAATGGATTTATCGTCATAATGTAAGTATACGATGCAATGGTGTCTGTGTGTGTGTGTGTGTGTGTCTTTAGCGTCATCACCGGCAACAAGCACTGATTTCAACCATTAAAAATGATGATCAACAGACAAGAAAAGCAAATGATTTCATTTAAAAAAAAAAAAAAAATTTCTCATAGTCAAATGAACATAATTCATTCGGAGAATGAATGGTGTGCACACACACACACACCACCGACAACGACAAAAAAAGCACCACTCTATACCACACACACACACACATATATAAAAAATACTGATTTTGTTGGCCAAAATTTCTGATCAAATCAAGAAAACCAAATCGATTGACATTCAAATCATTCATTCGGTGATCATCATAATAGGAGCACATTGTCAAAAATTCAAAAAAAAAAAAATTTTTATCTTTTTTTTTGTTTATAATTTCATCAATTTTAATATTAAAAAATTTATCAATCAATCAATTAATCAATCAATAATGGCATTAACGAAAGAAATTTCGCAACAATTACAAGATATCGCTAATCGTTTACGTATCAATTCAATACGTTCAACAAATGCGGCTAAATCTGGGTATGTGTATTTTTTTCAATGATTTGTTTACGATAGTTTTTACATTTATTGATTTTTTTTGGATCATTGAAACACACCTTCACATATCATAGTCATCCAACATCATGTGCATCAATGGCCGAAATAATGGCCGTTTTATTTTTTCGTACAATGCGTTATTCAATAGATAAACCACGTGGTGCATCGAATGATCGTTTCATTTTGAGTAAGTATATATCAATTAAGTGATAATTTGATGTTGAATATATTGAAATTAATTTTCATTTCAATTTTGACATTTTTTAGGCAAAGGTCATGCTGCACCAATTTTGTATGCTGCATGGGCTGAAAGTGGCCTTTTTCCTGTGGAAGATTTATTGAATCTTCGAAAAATTGATTCCGATTTAGAAGGTCATCCAACACCACGTTTGAATTTTGTCGATGTTGCTACCGGATCATTGGGTCAAGGTTTATCTATCGCTGCTGGTATGGCTTATGTTGGCAAATATATTGATAAAGCACCATATCGTGTTTATTGTTTGATTGGTGATGGTGAATCGGCTGAAGGATCGATTTGGGAAGCATTATCATTTGCATCGAAATATAAATTGGATAATTTGGTGGCCATATTCGATGTAAATCGTTTGGGACAAAGTGAACCAACAGCATTTGGACACGATATGCAATTGTATAAAGCACGTGTAGAAACATTTGGTTTCAATGCAATTGTTGTCGATGGTCATGATGTTCAGGCTTTGGTTGAAGCTTTTGATCAGGCTTCTCAAATTAAAGATCGTCCAACTGCTGTGATTGCTCAAACATTCAAAGGAAAAGGACTTACTGATGAAATTGAAGATAAAGTTAATTGGCATGGAAAACCATTGGGTGATAAAGCTGAAGCCATTATTGCTCAGATTCAATCACGAATCTCAACACCAAAAACAACATTGAAGCCTGAATCACCTATTGTCAATGTTCCGGATGTTGATCTTAGTGTACGATTGGTGGAACCACCAAATTATACGATTGGACAAAAAGTGGCCACACGTGAAGCTTACGGTACAGCATTGGTAAAATTGGGTAAAAGCTGTCCACGTGTTATCGGTTTGGATGGTGATACCAAAAACAGTACTTTCTCTGATACTTATCGAAAAACATTCCAAGATCGTTTCATTGAATGTTATATTGCTGAACAGAATTTGGTTGGTGTTGCAATCGGTGCCGGTTGTCGTCGACGAACCATTCCATTCGTATCGACATTCGCTTCGTTTTTCACACGAACATTTGATCAACTTCGAATGGGCGCAATATCACAAGCTAATATCAAATGTGTTGGATCACATTGTGGTGTAAGCATTGGTGAAGATGGTCCATCACAAATGGCATTAGAAGATTTGGCAATGTTTCGTGCCATACCGAATTCATTGGTGTTCTATCCATCAGATGCCGTAAGTGTTGAACGTGCAGCTGAATTAGCTGCACAATATCATGGCATTACATTTATTCGAACATCACGGCCAGCAACACCAATCATTTATTCGAATGATGAAATATTTGCTGTTGGCAAAGCTAAAGTGGTACGATCATCAAAAAATGATCAAATCCTATTGATTGGTGCATGTGTTACATTGTTGGAAGCAATGAATGCAGCCGATTTGTTGGCTAAAAATCATAATATTCAAGCACGAATTATCGATCCATTTACAATCAAACCAATCGATCGTGAAACGATTATCAAAAATGCTTTAGAGGCTGGTGGCCGTATCATTACGATTGAAGATCATTATCCTGAAGGTATTATTCATATATCTTATTAATATTTCAATTAATTAATTTAATTTTTTTTTCTCTTCATTCATTATTTACACAAGGTGGTATTGGTGAAGCTGTAGCCGGTGTCATTGCCGATATACCAAACATCGTAATGAAACGTTTAGCTATTCGTGAGATACCAAGAAGTGGTCCACCATCTGTATTGATTGAAAAATATGGCATTGATGCAAAAACCATTGTTAAAATGGCATTGGAAATGATTGAAAAGAAATAGTCGTATAGTAGTATATAAGGAAAACATATATTTTCATGTGTGAATTGAATTTTTAAAATTTTAACAAATTTTAATCATCTCTTTATATATATCATTTAATTTGATATGTGAATGATAATTGATAATTGATGATGATGTGATGTGATTGATGAAATAAAAATAATTTTTTTTTTTTTTTTTTGAAATTTTCAAACGACAAAAAAATGATTCGAAAATATGAATGATTGCGCTGCCATCTAGCGTCATAATTGGCCGAAAAAAAATAGAAATTGTCAATTCGAATGGCGAAATACTTAAAATGATGATTCTTTACACGACAACAACAACGACAACATTAACCCATTACACATCAAACATAAATGTTGGATCATCATTATTGATTATTTTATGATATCATACCTTCGAGGCTTTTTATGAATTTATCAATAATATATCCAAGTCACGAATCATATCATTCTATGTGTGTGTGTGTGTGTGTTTTTCTCAAATAATCAAATAATCCGTAAATGTGTGTGTTTAGTGTACCGGAAAATGGTAATAAAATTTGTCTTTTTCGTTTTTTTTTCAAATACAATTACCGAACATAAATTTCTGATTCAACATCATCATCATCATCATCATCATGTGATCAGTCGATTTTCTTGTTATTAAGACTTTTTTTGGTCATTTTATCGTCCATTTATATTTAGGCAATAATCATTATTATTATGGTGAATTTACTTGAAGAATCAAATTGGAGTTTATTTTTTTTTTTTTTTGCAAGTGAAATGAAGTGATTTCAAAACTTTTTATTTCTTGTGTGTGTGTGTGTGATTCAACATTTTTTCGGGTAAGTTGCTTTGATTCCTTTTATAATTATAATAATAATAATTATTATAATCATAGACAGACAAGAAATTTTTTTTTTTTGAAAAGAGAAAAAATTCCATTGATGAACCAATTAACAAATTGATCAACAGAATATTTTTCTAAACATAAAATGATATAAGAGAGAGAATGAATGAGCCAGAATGACTTCCAATTACTAATAATGATGATGATGATGATGATGAGATTTTCATGAATTTAGCCTGAAGAATAGCTTGTGTGTGTGTGTGTGTGTGGGTGTGTGTTGTGTATGTATAATTATAGATTCCAGAACCAAGTCAAAATCAGTAACCAGAAAAAAAATCATTAAATCCAAACCAACTCCTTGTTTTGCGTCAAAACAATCATTGATTTTCAATTCAAATCTATCGCTCTCTCTCTCTTCTCTCTCTCTCTCTTCTCATTCTCAATCTATTAATTAATGAATCCATTAGAATCAATTACATTTACATGTTTATTTATTTTATTTTTGTAAATTTTTATTTCAATTATCAATCAATTGATTTATTCATTGGTTTTGTTCATTTATTTTGTTTTGTTTTAAATTTTAAATCATGTATATGACATCTCACTGGCTGTGTGTGTGTGTGTGTGTGTGTGTGTATCTAAAAATTTAGCTACAAACGATGATGATGATGATAATAATTAATATAAATAAATAAAATCTGAAATTTCATTAATCAAACAACAAATCTATGTGTAAATAATGATGATGATAATAATAATAATAATAATAACAAAATGATCAATAACAAAACAAAAAAAAACAAATCAATCAATCTGATTGGAAATTATTATTATAATCACTATAAATAGTTTGTGGATGTGGATGTGGGTGTGTGTGGGTGTGTGATTGATTGGTAATTATTTCTAGTGTTTTTTTTTCTCACTTTTTTTCGCATTTATATTTTATTTTATTATTACTAGAATGATGATGATGATGGTTGAGAATGATTGTTTTTTCGGTAGTAAAATGAAAAATAAAATTGACACAAGAAAAATATAGATTTGAAACAAAAACAAAAACAAAAAATATATGGATTGAATATGGGCAGAAGAATCAAGAATCCAGTGATGGTGGCAAACATATGATGATGATGATGATAATGATTTAATAAGGAGCTAATCGGAGCAAGAATCTGGTGGATTGATTTGAATTGAGTATATTTTTATGTTTATGTGAGAGATGAATTGAGACGTTGGTAACAAAGATGATCATTATGCATAAAACATAAGTAATGGAATCTGTCCTTCTAATAAACCACATTCACGTGCATGATGATTTGCACGTGCCGTAATTGTGGCCATATCTTTTTCACGATTATCAACAAACGATAATGCACGCCGTAATCGTTGCATACGTGTTGGTCGTTGATATTCTTGTGGTGGTGGTGGTCTTGGTGGTGGTGGTGGTGGCGGTGGTGGATGTGGTGTTGTTGGTTCCGAAACCGCTTGATTTGTTGATTGTTGATTAAAAAATTGATTATTACTTGTATTATCAGAATTATTATCATCATGTATTGCATCACGTTCCCAATTGAAATTGAAAATAACATTTTCACCACGATTATTGATACGTACTTTTGTTGCATATTGTCCATCAGTACCATAATAAAAATTTACTTCATTTGGTCTTGTATAATAAAGATGTGGATGAAGACGTGCACGTACTAAACTAGTTGATCGTGGACTTGGTGTTATTGTGGCTAATACTTCATATTGGACATTAGCTTCAATTTGTAATGGTTCATCAAAATTCATATTGATTATATGGCCAGATCCATCATATTTGAGCAACATTGTATGTTCCAAACGATCCAATGGTGAATGCCATTGTTGATTATCATGATCAGCTCTACGTACACGTATACATACATTCAGATAAAATGTACATGCTTTACGTGGTGCATAAAGACCAACACCGGCTAACCAAACACGTTTATTTGCAAGAAAATTCAATGAACGATTTAGATAACGATTTGGTAATGAATTTTCAAATGATGCAAATCGATAAACATTATGTAAACGTCCGGCTAATTTTTGAAATGCACGTGGTTCATTTGAAAATGTTGTTAATGGTGATTCTGTCATCATCATATTGGAAGTTCGTGGCCAATTACGTGAACAATGTACTAATGCACGTAATAATTCATCTTCCAATATACCTTCAGCGGCCACAATCCTTTGTAATTGTTCTTCACTCATCAATGGAAATCGTATCAAATTCAATGCATTACCAATTATCATACGTACATTGGCACGATTTGGACACAATCCTTGTCTTAAACAATTTTGTTTAGCCCAACGTGTCAATGCACGAAATATAACAATTTCATCAGCACGTAATAAATCATCTGATAATATATCGATTAATGATTGTTGATCTAAACGTAAAAAATCATTCGATAATAACATTGATTCAGCATAATGTTGCATTGATTTTCTGGCCACTTGTTCTAAATCCGTTATACCATAAATACGTGTGGAAATCCAAATGGCCAATGATGAACGTTTTGATAAACATTTATGTATATAATCAATACATTGTCGTTCTAATGTCGATATTTGATAACGTCTAGCGGCAATCAATATACCAACAACATTATCTTTATTCAATTTTGCACTATCTGTATATGCATAACGTAAAAATTCTAAAAATGATGATGGTTCAATATCATTGATTTCTAAATCATTTTCACATTCAATCAATTGTCCATTAGATTGATCCAATAATATTTGTCGAAATATTGGACTTGCTGTTGCCATTATTAAACGATGTGCTGGTATACGTAATTTTCGTAATGGTGATGTTGGTGATTGTGTATTATTCGTTGCCGTTGTTGTTGTTGTTGTTGTTGTGGTTGTTGATGATGTCTGTAATGGATGTGGTCCAACTAAAAAATGCATATCGGCCATCTCTTCACATGATAATAAACGACCAATACGTATTTGTAATGATTCAACTGGTTCCTGGAATATTTGTTCATCGGCCGGTGTAGTTGCACGTGTACTACGATTATTATCCATCATCATCATTGTATTATTACCACTGCCATCACCACCATCACCAGTGGCAACACTATCTAGATTCATACTGTCACCATTACCATTGCCATTATTTTCATCATCATTATCATGATGGCGATGATGATGATGATGATGATGATGATGACGAAAATGATCAGTGATTTTTTCATTTGAAAAACGAAAATTATTCAAAACATTCAATGTAATTGGTAGTAATGCTTGTGAATTTTCATTACTATTACTATTACTACTACTAATGACAGCAACAGAATCACTAACACCAGAACCAATTGAATTTGCTTTTATAAATTGATGATTATGTGGATTCGATATACAACGATTATGTTTATTTAATTTATTCTGATTATTCTGATTTGTTGTTTTTGTTTTGGTCATTATTGGTGAATGATGATCCGAAGAAATGGCCGATGATGTACGATAATATTGAACTGTATAATCATCGATTAATTTGGAATCGTTATTTTCATTTTTATTATTATTATTATTGCTATTACTATTAATATTATTCATATCAACATCATTGGCCATCATCATCATTATTTTTGTTTTTATATTACTACCGGTGCCAATAGTATTAGTAGAAATATAATCATCAGATCCATCGATACTATCGATATAATCATCAAATGTTTTATCCATCATTGTGTCCATATCTAATGATAAACCACGTTTTGTTTGTAAACGTAACATTGATATTGGCGATGATGATGAATGATTATGATTATTTAAATCATTATTATCATTATTATGCCAACCATTTGATTTTTGATTATCATTTTGTTGTTGTTGTTGTTGATTATGATTATGATGATGATGGTGATTACGATGATGATTATGATGATGATGATGATGATGATGATTATTATTATTATTATTATTATGATGTTTTGATGTTGTCGATGACGTCATTGTTGTCATTTATAATAGATTCATTATCATTTTTTTTGTTGTGACGATGATTATCGTTTATTCTATTCATTCGATAATTATGGTTTTGAGAGACAAAAAAAAAGAAAGAAAGACCCGTCAAATACCAGACAAGCGAAATGAATAACAATGTTAATTAAAAAAATGGAATGCCGAGGATGATCATGATTAATTCGCGGATAATCTGAATTTCTATTTATAAATTCATTGCAACAATCTCGTTTCTGATGATCACACGCACACACACACACACACACACACACACGGTAGATGAACGAAAGACTATTATCTCACAGACTTTGTTGTTGTTGTTGTTGTTGTTGTTGACACTAAAAATAAATGTTTATCTTTCGGAAATTCGATATCCAGCAACAACAACAAAAAAAAAATTTGTAACAATTCGATTCGATTCGTGAATCAATAAATAATTGATTGATGAATTGCTGTGAATTCGAGTAGATCACACTGATTGTTTGATTAGATGGTGATGTTTCAAGTTTGTGTGTGTGTGTGTATATGGTTCCAAGGTGACCACTAAACAGTCACCCACGCACACACCCACCCACACACAGATAGATTGGTCAATCAATCGGTCATTATGTTGTTGTTAATTGTTGACGATGAAAATCAATAGATAATAATCGATTTTTTTATTTTTATTTGGATTTCATAGAAATTGATTGAATGTGAAATACATTTTTTGTTTCAAAATTACACACACACACACACACACTTGAAATTTGATCATCAATGAAAATGTTTGGTTTGTTAATGATGTAAAAAAAATTGGCGATATAGAGTGAGAGAATTATTGGCTAGATGATGGTTTTTTTTTTGTAAAATTCCAAAGAAGAATCGAATCCGGATGATGATGATGATGAAAGAAGTTGAATTAGTGGCCAAGTATATATCGAATGTGTTGAGGTAATCTAAATCTATACGAGAATAGTGTACGTGCATGTGCTTGCCTGCCTGCCTGCCTGACGCCCACACAAACAACACACAAATACATTCTATTCATTCCATAACATCTACATTTTTTTTCCTTTTATCCATCTACTTTCTAGTTGTGTTTAGATGAAATAAATTTTGCGCACATTTATATATATTGAATATCGAAAAAAAAGAAAGAAAGAAAGAATCGACATTGAAACATTTCATTCAGTGAATATCAAGTCGATTCTTTTCAATTCTTTATATGAATTCTATATAGTACATATATAGTGTGGGTGAATCATTTGTTGTTTTTTTTTTAATTCTTCGTTGTAGAAGTCTTGATTTGTGTGTGCGTGTGTGTATTTCTTGGTTTTTTTCTGGCTCAAGATTTTTTTTATCTATTTTGGTTCGTTTTGTTTTGTTTTTTTTTGAGTACGCTCGAATATCGCTAGGGTCCTTTTATAGAATGCGACGAACGAATTGAATGAATAATGATGGTGTCCGTCTTTCATTTGATTAGAGAATATTCTAGTGGCAAATAATGTGAGAATGCTCAAGGTTTCTTATATGAAAATTTGACGAGAAAAAAAACTAATAAAACAAAACAAAACTAAGAAGTGGAACAATCAAACGAATGAATGAATGATGATCATATCGAATAAATGTCAAAAATCAAATAAATGAAAAAAAAATATTCACAGCTAAATGACACTGAAAAGTTTGAATAGTTTTCCATAGATGATTGCTGATGATGGGAGAACAAGAATTTTGTTTTTTTCAAAAAAGTGATAAAATATTCATTTCATATGATGATGATGATGATGATTAGAATGATCCGGCATATAAATCCGGGCGTCCGGAATTTTTATTTTTTTGCTCGAATCACAAGGTCATCATGTATATTGGATTAAATTTTCATGTTTTTAACATTGACCTTGGCCTAAAGCCATGTTTATGTGATGATGATGTATATGTAGTGCTGGTACTAATAGTTTTGGATTGGTTTTTTTTCTGTTCCGGAACAATCAACCAGAATTGTTCCAAAAAAAATTGCTCAAATTCGAATGAGAAAACAAAACAAAAAATCATAATAAAAATGTCGTTTTCTTTTTGATTCTAATCTTAACCATCGTTAATCATCATCCATCCATAATTCGATATATCGATTTAACAAAAAAAAAACAATCGATTCTATCGTATCGATTCATTGGCCGATTTTTTTTTTTATATAAACAAAAATTTAAAAATTCAAAATTTTTCATTTTTTTCCCCATCATCAAATTCATCGAATTGAAATCATTCGTCATTCTTGTGAAATTCAAATGAATAGAAGAAAAAATTTTTTTTCTTTTTCGTTTTCCAATTTTTTTTCTTCATTTCATTTTCATACAATTTTCAAATGAATGTAAAATGAGAAAAAGAAGAAGAAGAAAATGTAGATGGCCCTTTTAAAATTCGAGTCGGTACTTATATGTTGTAATTCCTGGAGAAATATTCTTTAACTTTTATTTCTCTCTCTCTCTCTCTCGCCCTCTCTTGAAAGAAAAAACTACCGTAATAATAATGAATGACGATGATGATGAAATTCTGTAATAGGATTATTATGATTATAGCAAGCAGAAAAAAAGGAGAAATTTTTTTTTTCTTATTTCATCCACAAAGATTCCTAGAAAATTCATCATCATCATCATCATCCTCGCCATTCATGGTACCATCAGTATTTTAAATGAAATGAAATTGTTGAATAAAAATTCTGGTAAGAGGAAAAAAGAGAAAAAATTCTTGAACGCAAAAACAAACAAATTGAAAATGTTGAAATTTTTAATTTTCCAAGAAGGAAAATAATATATATATCCGTTAAAAAATTCAATTTTCGTCCATTTTGATGTTTGTTTTTTTGAGAATAATGTTTTTTTTTGGTCAAAATTCAATTCAATATTTATCAACTATATAGATAGTCACTATAGTAGGAATTGGATAATCATTTTTTTTATACCTTTTTATATCTCTCTAGTTTATGACTGCCATTTGAACGAATATCATTATTCATTTTTCTCTTCTTTCACTTTTCTATCGTGTATTTTGCAATTATAAATAGATTAAATTCGTATTGATTTCCGTTATCATGGCCATTTTTTTTTTTTTTTTGTTACAAATGTAAACACAAAGCCAAAAAAAAAATTGTCTCAGTCGTCAGGGATAATTGATAGAATAATAGAATGATATGCATCATTGTTTTTTTTTTTTATTTTCGTCATTTCTTTTTCGGTTTTTGTTACATAGAAATTTACGTTGAAATTTGTTTCAGTCTCATTTTTTATTTTAATTCATTTGTAATCAATTGTTTATGTTGTGTCGACGTTTTTTTTTTTCATCTTTTCCACACATAAAAAAGAATGATATTGACTTTTGGTTTGACTTAATTTCTACTTCTGTGTTGGTTTGTGCAACCAGCAAAAATTCTTTGAAATGTTTACAGAAGAAGCCAGTTTTATTATTTTTTTTTTTCGTAATCTAAAATTCAGAATCTATTTATTGTGGTGGATCCATTCACATTCACATTAATTCATTCGAATGTTGTGGTGGCCATTGTGAAAACAGAGAATATAATGTTAATTTTGATTAAAATATTGCTTTATATACCGTTGGCTATCCGAAAATTGTGTTGGCCAACAACTAATGAATATTTTCAACAAATTGCTACAATCATGAATGGATTACATCGTGATCATAATGATAAGATAATAAAATCACATAATCATATTGTATGTTATTTGCGTATGGAATCGGCACGTTATCTTTTCATTTATTTAGCGCCATTATCGCATAATTATCGTTTATTATTGTTCGATGCTGGAATCATGTTGAATATGACAATTGAAATCAATCTAATATTATCGTTCATGTTTTTTTGGTTGGCAAATTTATATGAAAATTTTTTCCATTCAAAATATTATGATACGAATATCATACTGATCAATGTAATGATTGAACGAAAAGATCCAAATGAATCGATATTTCCATCGATTAGAAAATCATCATATGGACAGCGACAACAAATAAATTTTTATCAATTTATTATGCAACACTTTCGTATGCATTTATTACGAAGAAATTTAGAAATGACTTTAGTATGTAAGTATTGGTTAGCTATTTTGTTTTCTGATTATTATTATTATTATTTTTTTTTTGTTTTGCAAATCTTTAGTGATGCTTGGTTGTTACTATGAATTCCAAATTCTATCGAATAGAAATTATTTTTTCCAACCAAATCAATCATTAGTCGTGTGTATAATGAAAATATTCTCAACACAATTGAATGCATTATTTTTGTTTTTTGATGGTTTACTTCTCATTCATATGGCTGAATTATTAGCAACATTCATCATAGGATTTGAATGGATTATACGACTGAATTATCAGCAAATATTTTGCCATTTGAATCAATGGCCAATCGATCATTTGAATATACGTTTTGTACGGCAATTTCTTTGGTACAATTATCACCTATTTCGTTTTGTTGATGATGTTTTGCGATCATATTCGCATTTTTTTCTCATTTTTCTCTTCTATAATTGGCCAAGTAATCTTTATATAATCGGTACATTAATGCGGCTGCATGTAACTGGACGACAGAATCTATATCTTGAATCGCTAATAATATCGGTATTTCTACAAGAATGTTTCGGTATATTTTGGATACATTATATTTGCACTAAATATTCAAAACGTATTCATTATTCAATTGGTCTGCGGCATTTGCTGGGTCTAACAACGGCAACAACAATGATTCAAACAACAAAAATTCCATCATCATTTTCATCATCATTATCTATGCAATGGAAATTGATGGATTATATTGAAAAATTTCATACAAAAAAACGTTATGGTTTTTCATATGGTAAATATGGTGCCATAGATATAAGCAGTTTTATTCGGGTAAGATTCAATCATTGTGTTGTATTTTGTTTGGTGAATTTTTTCAATTTTTTCTTTCTTTTTTTTTCAGTTTCTACTCATCTATTGTAAGATGTTGATGATGACATACAAGATGTTCATGGAATATTCGAATTTTAAAACATGAACAATTGTTTTGGAAATGTTAATGATCAAAGTCGTTATGTTTTGAATATCATAAATGGAATGTTTCACTTTTATTTAATGAATGTTCAATGTTAACCTGATGAATTTTTTTTTGTTGTTGTTGTTTTTATTGAAAATTCAATTCAATACAATATTTATCGACTATATATATATAGTCACTGTAGTTTGGTATTCACGAAACATTAATGATAAATCATCATCATCATCATTATTATTACGATTTCAATGGAAATTGTATTCATATCTGGAAAAATTTCAGACAAAAAAAAATCATTACTGTTTTTCATGTGGACGTTTCGGTGCAATCAACATGATTGGTTTCGTAATGGTAAGTCCAATCTTTCGGTTTCAATCGATTGTATTTGAAATTTTTTTTTCTCTATTTTATTCACAATCAATCAATCGATCACACGCACACGCACACACACACACGCACACACACACACAAACACACACACACACACACAAACGGCCATATATCAGTTCATCTTAATCTACGTCAAATTGGTTATGATGATCTTTAAATTTTTCAAATGAAGAATGTAGAAAAGAAACTTTTTATTCAAGAATTTTTTGAAAAGTTTTTTTTCGTTTTGAAAATCATCATCATTCGGCCCACTAATTTATCATCGTCAACATAACCACCACAATAATTTTATTTCCAATGAAATAATTTCAATCATAATTTTTTACATTTTTTTAATGAAGAAATTACCCGAGAAAGGGAGAAAAAGTCATTACCTGCTTCGATGGTAACGGGAATGAAATTTTTTTTTCTTCAACAAAAAATTGCTTTGATTTGTTTTCCACATAAAACACAGATAGATACAGATTTATTCTTTCTATTTTAAGCAAAAAAGTTTATATTTTAAAATCAAAATTATCGACTTTTTCAACGAAACAAAAAAAAATTTTTGGCCGGAAAACAAATGTGAATGAAAACATTTTCATTCACATTTCGATTGAAGAATCATCAGTCAAAAACGTTTGTGAAAAAAAAATGGACAAAATTGGCAAATTTTTTCATCGAATTCGTCAATTATTTTGGCCAAAAACAATGGAATATTTTCAAATAATTGGCCACATTATCGATAGTATCGATAGTAATGGGAAAAAAAATTATTTTCCATTACTCATCTATTTTCTTTGTTATGAATCATTGAGATCATTTTTGATTTATTCATTACCATTATCATATGATCAACGTATATGGATGTTTGATCCGGCAATTTTTATGCATACAACAAATGAAACAAATTTAATGTTGTTCATCAACATAGTGGCCATCATTTATGTTTATAAAGATTTTTTCTCCATTAATAATCGTTGTTTAAATAAAATTCTGATCGATATTGTTTGTGGAAACAATCGGAATACGACAACAACATCATCATTGTCGAAAAAAAGATATTTGAAAATAATTTTATCGAAAAGCAATCAAAATAATCTATCCAGATTAATATGTAAACGTAATCACATTCATATGATTCGTCGTAATATACAGAATGTTTTGATTTTTACTGTCGTTTGTTATGCACAATATCGTAACATTCAACAGGTGGCTGCAAATCGTGATTACAATAATAACAATAATACATTTTCGATTGATTTATTACAATGGTTAAAAATCTTTATCGTTCAATTGAATTGTTTCAATTGTTTTATGGATGCAATATTCATTTTCATGATGATTGAATTATTATTCACATTCATGTTGAGTTTTAGTTTGGTCATTTTTTACAAATATCACATTATTTCAATGAAAATTAATCAATTACGATCATCATCATCCTCAGCATCATCATCATCATCATCATCATCATCATCACGGCGACGAATGAATCAACGTTATTTGATAGAAAAATTTCTTAAACAAAATTGTCATTTATTTCTATTTGTTACCAATGTAATGCAAGCATATTCAAAATTATTTTTTCTATTTCTTCTCTGTGGTTTGTCTACAAATATCTACATTTTGGCATCATTACAACGTTTAAAACAACAATATATTATTATCAACAATGATGATCATGATGTGAATGAAATTTATTTTCCAATATTATTTTTCATCATTTGTTGTTCAATGCAAACTACTGGCATGTTTGTCATACATTATATTTGTACACAATATTCAAAACACATTCATATGAATGGTACAAAAAGTTTAATGTATTTGAATACTATCACCACCAATGATAATTTGATTGATGATTGTAATCGAAATTTAAATCTACATTTTCATTGGAAATTATGTTTACATATTGAAAAATTTCATACAAAAACAATATGGTTTCACTTATGGACGTTTCGGTATTATCAGTATGGCCGGTTTTGTTCGGGTAAGCAAACAGTTCGATTCATATTCTCTGTATGTTTGTATTGTCATTCTGTTTCTCTTTCTTTTTTTTTCTTTATCAAAACAGTTTCTAATGATTTATTGTAAAATGGCCATGGTTACATATAAAATGATTAATTTCTAAAGAATCAAGAAAGCTTCGTTTATCTTTTTTTCCGGAAATACAGAATTATTTCTGTCACACACACACATTTGAATCTCTATCAACATCAAGATCATCATATTGACGATAATGGTAATCGATTTTGATTTTCAATCATTCAATCATTCATTGTTTTGTTTCGTTAGAAATACTGGTTTTTGTTTTGGAGACAACAACACAGTGTTTTTATTTTGAATAAATTTATTATTGAAAATAGAATAACAAACAATAACAAAAAAAAATCAATTATATTGATTGATTGATTCGATTCGATACATATTTTGATTTTTTGAAAAATGGAAAAAAAAAAAAAAAATACTGCAATCATTATTGACATTGTCGTCAATTAGGTTAAACAGATTTTGAAGAAAAAAAAAATGAAATTTTTAAAATCATTACAACCATTAATCCATTGGCTATTTCCTACGATTGATGAATATTTCCAATATATTGGCAATCTTCATGATGGTTATCAACACAATGATAAGACGATTATCCGCTGGAATTGTAGAATTCTTCGATTCTTACAGCTGGAATCATTACGTTTTTCATTGTTATACATGATTCCATTAACATATGATCAACGTTTAGCAATGTTTGATATGTTGATTGTTTTAAAAACAACAATTGAATTTGAATTACTTGTTATGATGGTCATTGTAGCAATGTATTATTTATATAAAAATTTTTATTCATCAAAACATCGTCATATTAATATGGTTTTGATTGATGCCATTGTACGTAATAAAGATCCAGATGAATCGATATTTCCACGACGAACATCATCATCATCATCATCGTCGTCGACGACAATGATAAAAACGTTTGAATCAAAATTTCTACGTCATCATCTACAAATACATTTATGGCGTAGAAATTGTGAAATGACCACAATAGTGTTACTTTTCATCTATCTTATCCATTTGATTCATGTGAATGGAACATATTTTTTCCATCCACAATCATCCATTTATTTGATAATGATAAAAATATTGGCCATCAATTTTGGTTGTCTTTGTTTATCGTTCGATACTATCATTTGTTTAAACATGTGTGAATCCATTTATTTATTTATCACTGGTTTCAGATTGATTATCAAAACAAAATATAATGAAATTAATAATGAAATCAAACTAGTTGATCATATCTATGATCATCGATTAACAATGATAATGATTAGAAAATTTATGACAAAAAATTGTCATCTATTCACATTTGTTGTTCACATAATGTGTATATATTCGAAATTTTTTTTCATTCTTCTTTTAGGCTATGTACCAGCACATTTATGTTTTTTCGTTCTTTATATCCATCAACGACAAAATAATCAATTAGAATGGCTAACATCATTGTTTTTAATATTGAATCATATAAACGGATCAATCGGCATATTTATCATTCATGTTATTTGTACACGATTCACTGAACAAATTCATAGCCACAATATTCAACGTTTAATGTATCGATTATCATATAAACGACGATTGTCACCATTGTCGAATATCAATATACATTTACATTGGCGTATACATGATTATATTGAAAAATTTCATACAAACAAACCATATGGATTTCAATATGGAAATTTTGGCCACATTAATCTTTCATCATTCACAATGGTAAGTGAATTTTTCAATCAATCAATCAAATGATTTTGTTTGTTTTGCATTCAATTAATCAATTGTTGTATCAAAGTTTGTTTTTTTCTATGCAAAAATAGTAATGAAAACTTATAGAATTTTCATCGTAACAAACAAATGAAATGATGATGATTGTCTCTAAATTTTTCCAAAGAATTTTGAATGACGTTCGAGAAACAAAAAAAGGAAATTTGTTTCTTATTGGGAAAAATATTGGCAAAATGTTCCATATGTAAGTTTCTTTTTATGGTTTTTCGTATTTAGGTTCACATTTATTGATTTTGTCTGATTTTTTTTTTTTTTGGTTGAAAAATAATCTCTTTTTATATAAAACAGATCCATGGTTACAATGGTTGATTTGAACAATAATCCACATGTAATGGATGAATTAGTGAATAGTGAGACGGCCACCACTCATGGCTTTAATTGTTATTACCGTTGTTTCTGATAAAAAAAAAATTAAATCTAATACAGTGAATAAGATAGACTTTTTTTGTTTCGTTTGTTCGTTTTTTTTCATGTCCAAGGAAAAAAAATGGATGATATTGATTTTTGGCTAGGTTTTTGTTTTCTATTTCTGTTTTGGTGTGGCCAACCAACAAAAAATCTTTGAAATGTTAGCAGAAGCAGCCAGTTTTAGTTTTTTTTTTTTTTTGCAATCACAATCCATTGATGGTGGTAAAATATTCAAATTCACATTCGTATTCATTCATTCGAATGTTGAGGTGGCCATTGTAAAAACAGAGAATAATGTTTATTTTGATTAAAATATTGCTTTATTTACCATTGGCTATCCGAAAATGGTGTTGGCCAACAACTATTGAATATTTTCAACAAATTGGTACAATCATGAATGGATTACATCGTAATCACAATGATAATATAATAAAATCACATAATCATCTTGTACGTCATTTGCGTATAGAATCGGCACGTTATCTTTTCATTTATTTGGCACCATTACCATATAATTATCGTTTATTAATGTTCGATATGGGAATCGTATTGAATATGACTATTGAAATTAATCTAATATTATCGTTCATGTTATTTTGGATGGCAAATTTATATGAAAATTTTTTCCATTCAAAATATTATGATAAAAATATCATATTGATCAATGTAATGGTTGAACGAAAAGATCCAAATGAATCGATATTTGCACTGATTAAAAAATCATCGTATGGACAGCGACAACATAGAAATGAAAGAATAAATTTTTATCAATTTATTCTGAAACATTTTCGTATGCATTTATTACGAAGAAATTTAGAAATGACTTCAATGTGTAAGTATTTGTTATGAAAATTTTGGCTATTTTGTTTTCTGATTTTTTTTGACAAATTTTCAGTGATATTTGGTTTTTATTTTGGATTGCGACAAATTCTATTGCATAGAAATTATTTTCTCCAACCAAATCAATCATTAGGCGTGTGTATAATGAAAATATTCTTAACACAATTGAATGGATCATTGGTATTTTTTGATGGTTTACTCATCATTCATATGGCTGAATTGTTGTCAACATTCATCTTAGGATTTGAATGGATTATACGACTGAATTATCAGCAAATATTTCGCCATTTAAATCAATGGCCAATCGATCATTTCAACATACGTTTTGTACGACAATTTCTTTGCTATAATTATCATCTATTTCGTTTTGTTGATGATGTTTTGCGATCATATTCGCATTTTTTTCTCATTTTTCTCATCTATAATTGGCCACTTAATCTTTATCTGATCGGCACATTGATGCGGCTTCATATAACTGGACAACAGAATCTATATCTTGAATCGCTAATAATATCGGTATTTCTACAAGAATGTTTTGGTATATTTTTTATACATTATATTTGTACTAAATATTCAAAACGTATCCATTATTCAATTGGTCTTCGGCAATTGATGGGTTTAACAGCGACAACAATGATTCAAACAACAAAAATTCCATCATCATCGACATCATCATCTTCAAACGGTAAAAAACGACAACAACAACAACAACAACACAATGATGAAAAAATGAAAATGAAAAACATTTCATCATTACGTATGCAATGGAAATTGATGAATTATATTGAAAAATTTCATACAAAAAATCGTTATGGTTTCTCCTATGGTAAATATGGTGCCATAGATTTGAGCAGTTTTATTCGTGTAAGTATCAATCAATCATTGGTGTTGTATTTTGTTTGGTGTGAATTTTCCAAATTTTTTTTTCTTTTTTTTTTTTTTAGTTTTTACTCATCTATTGCAAGATGGTCATGATGACTTATAAGATGTTCATGTCGGCAACATTGATTAAAGCAAATTATAATGTTGAATAAATAAAAATGAAATTATTTTTTTTTTCGACGAAAATCGTGAACAGTTCAATTCAATATTTCAATATTCGTTGACTATATAGATAGTAGGAATTGGGTAATCATTTTTTTTTTTACTTTTTATATCTCTATATGTTCGTGATTGTCATTTGAACAAATGCCATTTTTCATTTTTATGTTTTGTTGTTGCCATTTTCAACGAAAATTATTTTCATTTTCATTTTTCTCTTTTCCATCGTGTATCAAGTATCTTGCATGTATAAATAGATTAAATTCGTATTGATTTCCACTATCACGGCCATTTTTTTTTGTAATGTAAACACAGTGCACAAAAAAAATTGTCTTAATCGTAATGGATAATTTATAGAATTACAGAATGATATATGCATCATTTCGGTTCTTTTGTTACTTAGAAATTTAAAAATTGACAATTTGTTTCAGTCCTATTCTTGTTCATTCTTTTCATATATTTGTAATCAATTGTTTATGTTGTATCGACGTTTTTTTTTGTTTTGTTTTGTTATCTTTCCCATACATAAAAATGAATGAAATTGATTTTTGGTTTTTGCCAACCAACAAAAATTCTCAGAAATGTTCACTGAAGTAGCCAGTTTTAGTTTGTCTTTCGCAATCCATAATTCAGATTCTATTTATGGTTGTTGGATATTCACATTCACAATCATTCATTCGAATGTTGGAGGTGGCCATTGTAAAAACAGAGAATGATGTTAATTTTGATTAAAATACTGCTTCATATACTATTGGCTACCCGAAAATGGTGTTGGCCAACAACTATGGAATATTTTCAACAAATTGCTACAATCATGAATGGATTACATCGTGATCATAATGATAAGATAATAAAATCACATAATCATATTGTACGTTATTTGCGTATGGAATCGGCTCGTTATCTTTTCATTTATTTGGCACCATTACCATATAATTATCGTTTATTAACCCTAGAAAGGTAACCTTATCGATATTGCGGGAAAGGTAACCTACGTAAATTTTACGTAGTTGATATGCCTAACTTATTTCCGCTATAAAAATTATTCATCTGATTATTTATGTTAAATTTTAACGTTTATTCATTGAATCACACCTCTATTTTATATTAAAGAAAAAAAAATCATTTTTCAAAAGTGGAAAGTTCAAAAATATCAAATCAAAGATATGGTGTAAATTTTGAATTTTTTTTTTATATTCAATTTTGAAATTATCACAGCGTCAAGAAAAAATGAAAAATGATCCTGTAAACATGATTAATCAATCGATGATTGTGTATCGAAACATGATTGACAAATTTTTATCTGATATTCGCCACGGGGGCGGTGCCACAACGTTTACATCCGGTCGTTGTTAAACGCTTTTTGCAAGCATTTTAATTTTGAATAAAGTGAAAAACATAAACAAATGAACAGAAAAGACGTTTATTTCAAAAAATATTGCGAGAAAAAACGTTTTTGACAAGTGAAAAGATAAAAAAAAGAAAAAGATTAAAATTATTTTTATTCATAAATGACGTTTTTTGGGAAAAATTTCCGAAACTATCGCTCTCAGCAAAATTTTCTAAGATTTTTCTATGCTGATTCAGGCAACCATACGTAAATTTTACGTACAAGCTTTTACGCCTGAGCTTATAGATAACAGATAAAAGGCGAAAACTGGATCTTTTCTATTTCTAAAGGTGTAGAAATATATTCTTGAGGAATAGAAAGGGGTTCCAGCTGTCTTAGCATCGTGAGTGTTTTTTTGGAACATTTTGAAGTGCAAAAAGCATAAATTTTACGTAGGTTACCTTTCTAGGGTTAATGTTCGATATGGGTATCATGATGAATATGACAAATGAAATTAATCTAATATTATCATTCATGATATTTTGTGTTTCAAATTTATATGACAATTTTTTCCATTCAAAATATTATGATACGAATATCATACTGATCAATGTAATGACTGAACGAAAAGATCCAAATGAATCGATATTTGCACGGATTGGAAAATCCTCACATGGACAGCGACAACAAATAAACTTTTATCAATTTATTCTGAAACATTTTCGTATGCATTTATTACGAAGAAATTTAGAAATGACTTCAATGTGTAAGTATTTGTTGGCTATTTTGTTTTGTGATTATTATTTTTTTTATACAAATTTTCAGTGATTTTTGGTGTTTATTTTGAATCGCGACAAATTCTATTGAATGGAAATTATTTTTTCCAACCAAATCAATCATTAGGTGTGTGTATCATGAAAATATTCTCGACACAATTGAGTGGGTTATTGGTGATTTTTGATGCTTTACTCGCCATTCATATGATTGAATTATTATCAACATTCATCTTAGGATTCGAATGGATTATACGACTGAATTATCTGCAAATATTTCGCCGTTTAAATAAATGGCCAATTGATCATTTAAATAAACGTTTTGTACGACAATTTCTTTGGTATAATTGTCATCTGTTTCGTTTTGTTGATGATGTTTTGCGATCATATTCGAAATTTTTTCTTATTTTCCTCATCTATAATTGGTCATTTAATCTTTATATGATCGGTACATTGATGCGGCTGCATATAACTGGACAACAGAATCCATTTATTGAATCGCTGTTAATGTCGGTATTTCTCCAAGAATGTTTTGGTATATTTTTTGTACATTTTATTTGCACTAAATATTCAAAAAGTATCCATTATTCAATTGGTCTGCGGCAATTAATGCGTTTAACAGCCACAACAATGATTCAAACAACAAAAATTCCATCATCATCATTACGTATGCAATGGAAATTGATGAATTATATTGAAAATTTTCATACAAAAAATCGTTATGGTTTCTCCTATGGTAAATATGGTGCCATAGATTTAAGCAATTTTATTCGAGTAAGAATCAATCACTGTGTTGTATTTTGTTTGGTAAATTTTCTTATTCTTTTTAGTTTCTACTCATCTATTCCAAGATGGTCATGATGACATATAAGCTATTGACCAAATATTCAAATTCCAAAACATGATTGTTTTGGAATGTTAATGATCAAAGTAGTGATGTTTCGACTGTTTCATAAATGGAATGTTCGACTTTGATTTAATGAATGTTATTACCCTTATGGATGTTTCTAATTGATTGTAATATCTAGTATTTAAACCCATCCTAAAATTATCTGTAAACCATCGAGTATCTGGGATCTATGATCTGCGTTTACTTGATCAATAAAACTTTATTTTATTTTATTCATCAATCAGTCAATTTTTTTCGATGAAAATCGAAAAGATGAATTATTATCATCATCATTCATTCAATTTCAAATGTGATAAAGGTTTTGGCTCTATTAGACAAGTATGCCGAAGTTTTTTCCGCTACTTACACAGACTTCTAATGGGACTTGCGCCAAATCATTCGATTTGAATTCATTTTTTTTCATTTGTTGCTTCAAAAAATTAATTCTACTGATTGATTGGTCGGAAGGATTATTCATCGAAAATTAATTATCAATCGCGAAATCAATAATCATCGATCTTAATCTGAATATTGACCCGTTTGTTGGTTGTTATCCGATTGTATACAATAGCGAAAGAAAATGAATGAAAAAAAAACCTGATATTTTAAAATTCTAGCCATTCATTCAATTATCATAGTCGAAAAATGGATTTTTTATGTTTAATTTTTTCAAATCGTGACCATTCACGCCTTTATATTGTTTTCTGACCATAATCATTGAATAAACTCATAAAGCACCGATTGTACAATTGCAATATTGAAGAAAAAAAATCTTGTTCTACAAGATTAATCAACAAGTACAATGATGATGATGATGATGACGACGACGACGACAACAACAACACCCCCTACAGCCATCATTCGACGATGATGATGATAAGAAGAACAAAACGAATCCATTCATCATCAAATATGCCAAAGTTCAATTCATTGCTCAGCTTCTAACGAAATGTGAATGAAAATGGATCAGACAAAAAAAAACATCATTTTTGGCAATCATCATTTTCCATCTCAACCGATCTGTTTTGTTTGGTTTATGATTTAAAAACAAAACAAAACAAACGATGCAAAACAACAACAACAAAAAAAAAAAAAATCGTCATAAATGATTTCGGCTATTTTGTACATTGTTTGTGTTGACCTAAACCCAAAGATTCATCACCATTTAAATCTATTCATTCATCGATAAATAACATATATCGTTGGACGTTTGTTTTTGTTGTTCTGGCTGTATTATATTATGGTTTGGTTTGTATGTATCATTATCATCATCTGTAAACAATTTATTTAACTCAGAAATTTCTTTCTCATTTTTTGTTTTGTTTTGTTTTGTTTCACAGGCTAAAAGAAGAATGTCTCTATTTTTTCCAACTTGCTCGATTGTATTTACCGAGTTGATGATTTAAATACAACTTTTTTTTTTTGCTTGGTTAATCTCCATGTCCATTTTTCTTCAGTATCAGATCGACAACATATGGAAACCAGATTTTTTTGTTATTTAAGTTTGTTGTTGTTGTTTGTGTGTTCATCGTGGCGTATCTTTGTGTGTGTGCGTTTGTGTGTGTCCGAACATGAAATTTGAATCAATTTATTGAAAGATGATCAATATTCAGTCGACAAATGACAAACTATTGTTCATCACTTTATTCCATCATTCATCGATGTTTTTTAATCATATCCAATTTATATAGTGACCATCATCATCCTTATCATTCTATCAGTTTAAAATGTAGATTGTTTACTTATTAATACCGATAATTTGACAAAAATCACTTACACACACACACACAAACACACAAAATATTCTTCTTTTCACTCTAAAAAACATTTCATCAAACTCATCGTTGTTGTTGTCATCGTGGTTGAATATAATTCGGCTCCCAAAGTCTACATTTGTGAATCCAACACACACACACACATCTATATATGATGTTATAACAATTCTATATATTCATATTGCTACTACCCAGAAAACTGTTTTTTTTATCCTCGAAACAAAACAAAAAAAAAAAAAAATCTTCATTCAAACAACCAGAATCATGATATTAATCAATGACTTTGTGTTTATGTTTAGGTTTCGGTTTCTATTCTACGAGCTTCTGATACAATGATAACAGTACAGGAAAAAAAAATACTCGATCGAATGTTGATGATGATGAAAATGAAAAAACCAAAACATTCTAAATAGTAGCAGTATATAGAGAATCCTGAAAAGTATGTGTGTATATATGGTTCATCTATCATTCTCAACAACAACAACAACAACGACAATTTTTTTTTTTTTTTTTTATAATTACAATTTCCATCCAAACATTCATTAAAACACAACATTAAAATGTTTCACTCTCTCTCTCTGTTTTGATCTCTCCCCAATATACAACGGATGTGATCAAATCCATAAAATTCCCTGTGTTTTATGTGAATTCAATATCGAATGACAATCATTACTATTATTAATGATGATGATGATGATGATGATGATGATCAATATTATATACATGAAATGATTGCCATAATCAATTTGAAAACAAAAACAAAAGAATCTGCTTGATCATCATCATTTGAACAACTTGATAGATTTGTTTTGTTTGTTTGTTTGTGTGTCTGGTTTGATCTTTAATTCTTCAGCTTTTTTTTTTTTTTTTTTTTAAGGATAATTTTTAAAGGAATTAGCAAAACAAAATAGAAAAAAAAACAATGAATACAGACCGTCCTATTGGATTTGCCATCGATGATATCGATAGATCACAACATCAACAGGTGAATATTGAAAATATTCGTCTAACATGGATCGATAGAATATGGCGTTTTTTCTATTCCAAAGAAGAATTTGAAGCCTATCTTATTGAGAAAGAGCTTAAAAAACAAAGTATGTATGATTGAATCATTTTTTTTCTTCTTTTATTGATTAATATCAATTTTTTCCCATAGAGAAACGTGAACGGAAATTGGCCAGAGAACAACAGGCACAAATGCAATCATAATAATGGATTATCATTTGAATTTGTTTATTTTGATTGTTGGATATGACCGAATTTCTTTCATTTCGATCTTTTCAAATTTTATCAAATTTTTTTTTTTTTACATATTTTAAATTTTTGATCATCATTTACCACTTGTCATACTTTACATAGATGTAAATGGTGATGATGGTGTTCGGTGATGGATGCCATTGATTGATTTTTTTAAATTAACTTTAAAATAAAATTTTTTAATCATCATCAGGAATTTGAATTTTTTTTTTCGTTTGTTTTGGAACCTATTAGCACCATCTATCGTCGTGGATTTTCGTTTTCAATGAAATCATTTCTTTCTCATTGTTGATTATAATTTTTTTCCATTACTAGATGGCGTATCGTGTCGATGTTTTTTTTTTGTTCATCTTCATTGAATTTATTTCAATTCAATCCAATGTATGTACATGCACCTTGAAATATAATTTTTTTTTTATTATCATTCATTTGATCAATTTTTTTTTGTTCATACATCAAAAGATTATTTGAGGCAACAAACAAAACAACGATAAAAAAAGTCTGATTTTGAATCATTAATGCTGATGATGATGATTAGTGTAGGGGGAAGCAAAGCAAAAAAAAAAGAGCAGATTTGTTTTCTGTCAATGACGATGACGACGATGACGACGACGACGACGACAAAAAAAAACATGAAAAATTAACTATATCAATCAGTATCAGTATTAAAATGTGGTTTGTGTGTGTGGATTTTCATTTTGTTTCAATGTTGATAAATACGTACGCTGATACATTACAAACAAAGAAATTGAGGCGAAAAAGTGACAGAGAGAAAATGGCAAAGAAAATTCTTCATCATCATCACCATCACCTCCACCACCACCACCACCTTCAAAGAGGAGAAAAAAAATGCATTGCATAATCAATTTTCAAACCATCCATAAATATATCAAACATTATGGTTGAATTGAATTTTTGTTTTCATTTTCATTTTTCATTTTTTTTCCACACAAAATCATCATCGAAAATTGTAGATAAAATCAAATCAACAAGTTTTCCGTTACCATTTTAACATTATTATCGTTGTTATTTTAAAAAAAATTTGATTCAATCACCATTTCAATCAATCGATCAATATAAATTTCAATCGATCATTTATATCCAAATGACATTTATTTTATTACATTTTATGAATATATGATTATATATGTGATGATGATGATGATGACATTAATTTGTTTACAGAAAAAAAAAGTTTTAAACTTTGACAAAAATTGGTAACCGAAAAAAAAGTAAAAAGAAAAAGTAAAAATGAAAAAAATGATAAATAAAAATATGAAAAAAAAGAAAGAGAAAAAGTTTTTTGTTCACTTCAAACTTTAAATGTTTCCATATTGAGGAATGGATATAAATTTTTTTCAATTCCATCGATTGATTTATCAACAGCAAGATTCATTGTTAAACTAGTGGTGAATGGAATTTGTTTTTTCTCAATATCATCATCATCATCATCATCATCAGCAGCAGCAGCATCATCATCGTCTTCAGTATTCTGATGATTCGTTGATGTTTTCATTAATTTTTGAATCAATTTTACAACATAAATGATTAATAATCGAAGCAAAAGAATCAAAATTGTATAAATGATGATTAAACAAATGTAAAGAATTGGCCATTTTTTATCATCATCATTATTGATTATTGATGATTCATGATCATGATCATAACGATGATTTTGTTTATCAGGATCAATAACTGATAAATAGAATTTTGAATGTATTTCACCAAATTCATTCCAAGCATTACAATTATAGAAACCAGAATCATTGAATGTTAATGGTTGAATGGTGAAAAATGTTTTACCATTTTCATCATTGAATTCAATTTGAACACGACGTTCTAAAGCGGCAACAAATTTCAATTGTTTATCATAACGTGATAATGAAACATTTGTTGCCGATATTGCTCGACCTGGACATTCAATATGAACAGATTGGCCCAATTCACCAGTTATATTAGCTGGTTCATAATCAAAATGTGGTGCCATATCTGATTTTTTGAATAATTTATCGTCAAGACTTGGGTGAAGAACTCTTTCTTCGAGATCTGGAAGAATTTTGTCGTGACCATTTTTCTCAAACTTCATATCATCATTGAGACATAATAAATTAAATGGATCAATATTCATAAATGATTCTTCGCCACGTAATTCAATTGGCCGGCTACATTGTAATTGAGTAGCAATTCTTTCACGAATATCTGGTGATAATAATTTAAGCCATGAATGTAGCCATTCTATTTGACAATCACATGTAAGATTTATATTTTCAATGTAAAGATTCTCTACATTGGTTATATGATCCAATGATTCCTGTTCAATCATTTCGATAGGATTTGATGATATATTCAAAGTGATCAATGAATGTAGATCAAAAAAAGTATTCACACCAATTTTCTCAATATGATTTGAATTCAAACGTAAATCTTTAAGTGATTCCATTCCAATGAATAATTCACCATCTTCATTAAATACATTGGATAATTTATTCATGGATAGATCCAATAATTGTAATTTTTTCAATGAATAAAAACTTTGTGGTTCGATTTTTTTGATTGAATTATTGGATAAATCAAGCCTTTCTAATTGATTAAGATTAATCAAAGAAAATGTTGTGATTTGTTGTAAACGATTTGAATGTAAATTTAATCGCAATAATCGTCGAGAAAATGATTTGAAAGCCTCTAATTCAATCGAATTGATTTGATTGAATTTCATTGACAATATTTTTAATGATTCCATACCATATGTCCAACCATATCGTATTGTTGTAATGTGATTATGATCAAGATATAAACGTTCAACACGATTTAGTCCCCAAAATGTACCATCAAGAAGATTACCCAGATGATTATGACGAAGATCCAAAAAACGAAGTGATCGAAGATTATCAAATGCAAGTAAACCAATTTCATTAATTTGATTTTTTCGTAATATTAATCGTTCAAGATTGGTTAATGATATAGTGAGCCAATCGCGATTAATTACTTTCAATTGATTATGTGATAATTTCAATATTTTCAAATTTTTTGTCTGATTAAAAACACCAGGTTGAATTGTATGAATCAATTGATTTGATAGATCCAATTCATGAATTGTTGATGAATCATTTCCATGTTGTTCAAAAATATTTAGTTCAAGTAAATCTCTGCCCAGATGATTCACTTTTTCATTAGTTGACAATGATTGTGCGGTGATGACGTTGAAAATTAACAAACCAATAACAAACTGAATTAATGAACACATCTTCAGTGTTTAAAATTTCAAAAAAAAAATTGATGAAAATTAAGAAAACAAAAACAAAAACAAAATCAAGAAAACAAAACAAAAACAAAAAACAAAATCGAAATGACATTGTATTGAACCTATTTTAACCATAAACAAAAATTCGTTCAATTTCTTTTTCCGTCATTGTCAATGACAGTAATTCTCAACATATGACCCCCAAAAAAAAACCCATTCGCTGTACAATGGACGGAACCCATAAAGAAAAAAAAGTTGATAACAACTAATCAATTCATGCTCACAACAAGTCTAATTCTACCCAAGTTGGTTCATTTCGAATTTTTTCTATGTATTAGAAAAAATTTTTCCAAATAAAACATTTACATCATCAACATAAATAATAATATAATAAAATAATAATCATGTACCAAGAAAAAAAACATTTGAATTGTAAGTTGCACTTTAATAAATTGATGACAAACAAAACAAAAAAAAATCAATGTAATATCATTAACAATCAAATCAATTTATAGGGTCGGCAATAATCATCAGAAATAACCCATCATCAACATCATCAACATCGAAAATCTTCCTACTTAAAAGCATATATGCTAATAATATCAAACAAGGTGAACATGAAAAAAAATCCTTATCAATGCCAAATATCTTTATCAATCGTAATCGAATGGCCTACAATTCCTGAACAACAATCATTCTGCGTATGTATTGAATTGTTATTGTCAAGTTTAATTTATTCACAAAAAAATGGTGATCATCCTATTCGATTGGCAATCAAAAAACTACAACGATGACGATGATGAGACCAAACCAAAACAAAAAAAACGAAAAGAACATGCATCGTTTTTTTCCAATTTATCCAATCATTAATGACGATATTTACAACAACAACCACAATCAATGTTTCTCAAATAAAATGGTACATGGTACATAATGATGAACATTATTAAAATCCATTCATTAACCGGTATTATCAGCATATAAAATTTTCTTTCTTTTTTTTGTTAATTAATTCAATTTTTTTTATCAATCTTTTTACCGCCTTTTTTTAGTTTTTTAAAAGAAATTATGGCCGATGGGCAATATGCTGCTCTTTGATTTTCAATTAATTTGTACTCAAAATATTGCACTTCATTCATTCTATATGTTTATTATCATTATCATTGAACACCACTGATGATCATCATCAAAATCGGCATATGATTCTCACATAGTAATGATGATGATCCATAACAGCAACAAATAAAAAAAAATTAACGATGCAATTCGATCCAATATATGATGATGATGGATGAAAAGAGAAAATTTAGAAAATTTCATATCCAAGGCAAAGATGATCATCTTTTTTGCATCCGTATCATTCATCAAATAATTTTCATCGAAAAAAATAAACACATGGACATATTGTTTTCGATGAAACAAAACAATAACAACAAGTGATGATGTACTATGATGGTGACGTATCCGATCAAATGATTAATCCTTTTCATTTTGATGAGCTTGTAATTTTATATTTCATTAGAAAAAGTGAAACCATAATTAAATCGTAAGTATCTATTTTTATAATTACCTGTTTTTTTTCTATTCAATTTTCAGACAATAATAATCAAAATCGATCATCATCGTTGTCGCGCGTGTGTGTATGTATGTGTCAATATTTATCATCGAAAATCAAAATAATTTTTCAACATCATCATCATATTATTGATCTGGATGTTGATAAAATACACATAACCTTCAAAAATATGATCGATGTCTTGTGATGATCATCAATTGAAAATATAAATATCGATAATGTTCGTACACACAACATTCATCTTTCTTTGTTTGAAATGTTTTTGGTAGACTAATTTTTCTGTAACACACTCAAACATCTATTAGTTATTCTTCAGTCATTAATTTTATGGGTTTTTCCGCTTCTTTCATTTTTTTTCTTCTGACATCGTCATTAATTTTATGGGTTTTTCCGCTTCTTTCATTTTTTTTTTGACATCGTAAAAACAGAAAAAAATTCCAAATTCAAGAAACAAATTCATTAATAAGATTAATGATGTGATCATTTAAAACATAATGATAATGATGATGATGGTTTACCCGTTAGGTGGTCATTTACATTTTGTTTTCCCACCACCACCATCACCATCATTAGAGAGAAAAAAAACAATAAAATACCACCTTCATGAATATATACAAATACAATTTGTGTATTGCATAAACCACAACCTCATTCATTTCACAAAAAAAAACTTGTAATAATCATCATAGGCCTATAAACGATGATGATGATGGATGGTGATTGTTGGATATTTGAAAAAAAAGAAAGAATCAATTATTCAAAGTAAGAAAAAAAACCATCATCATCATCATCATTCTCATGCTTTTCTTTTTTTTATTCACTTGAATATATAGGATAAATTCAAATTCATTTGCCACAGAGCCAAATAGATAAAATGATGAAGTTTTTTTTTTTCATACCAACCGCGAAACCCTTTCTTCTACATTTTCAAAAAAATGAATGTGAATGATTTTCAATGATAACTTTTTCTCTTTCAATTGAAATAATTTTCTTTTCTTTTCTTTTTTTTGCATAACTAACCTGGATTTATTATTATTTTTTTATATAGATTGAATAATAATCATTAACATTGAATAAGTGGTTTGTACTTGATTTGAAAATTATTTACATTTTTTTTTTGATTCATATCATACAATCATTTGTATCATTATATCATCCACACACACACACATATGCATGCATTTTGTTGATTGTAATCCATATTCGTTATTGATCACGATTGTATTTTTTTTTCTATTAATATATATTGATGTTGTTGCCTTAAGCTGTGTTGTTGTTGCAAAACATTTTTTTTTTTTTTGAATGCTCATAATTACCGTTATATGTTTAGCATCGTTAATGTGAATTTGTTTCCATGTTTGTTATTGTTGACCACTGCTATACACACACACACACACAAACATCATTATCATCAAGATCAACAGGTGTGCATTAAAACACGAGTAGTTTTTTTTTTTTCCAAGGTGTTCCATGATTGATTTTCCGTTTTTTTTTCTTAATTTAGATCAATGTCTTTTGGATCAATGCTACTTCTGCTGCTGACGATGATGATGAGCCTCGAGCATCGATAAAAATTTGCTTATTGTCAGCATGAATCATGATCGTAAAAAAAAATCTTATCTTCCATAAGATTCCTGGATGATAAAAAAAAAATCGAAACGAAATTGAATTCGTAAATTTTTTTTCCTGTCTGTTTATGTTTCCCATTTTAACAGAGATTATGAACGATTAACTTTTTTTTTCAATGTCATTCTATTCATAAAATGAGAGAGAAACAAAAAAAAAGGTAAATGATGTGAAAGGTGTGATGGCTGTTCAAATGTTTTTTTTTTCATGATTAAACAATATATGAACGGAAATTACAGATTTTATTTCATTTCCGTGTTCGTATTTTTTTTATGATGATCATTATTATTGATGTAAATTTCTATTTTTTTTACATATCATCACCGTTTCATATATGAAAGGAATACATTCGATTAAGTATTCGAATATATCGATTAGTATTTGTATAAATTTAAACAAAAAACAAAAAATCTTGATTCAATTTTGTCAACATTCATAATTATACGTTTGTTGTTGTTGTTGTTGTTGTTGATAATGATGACGTCTTGATTTCTTTTTTATCGAAAAAAAATGATGATGACGATGATGATGCTGATTTCAAGGTGAAGAACGTGATTGCCATCACACATATGTAATAATCGTTCAACGTATTGTAAGTACGATATTTTTTTTTATCAATTTTGTTTCGAATCCAAAATGATTAAAAATGTTTGGTTTTAAATCTCTATTCACAGAAGCCAATAAAAATAACGAATGACAATGACCGACCGGATGTGTTTGTGTCTTATCATTTTTTTTTTCTATCTTTAGGAAATCCGATATTTTTGTTTATAGATAACCAAAAAAAATTTTTTTTTTTGGTGGTGGTGGTGGTGATGGTCTAATAATCAACTCATATGATGATGATTATAAATTGGTCGTAGAAAAAAACAAAATCTTGACAATGATAATGACATTTGATTGATGGATGTTTTATTTTTGATCTTTCATGAAGATTCATTGATGATGACAATACATAGCTATGACAAAATATGAATGAATAAATAACGAATCGATAGAATGGAATTTGATTATTTAATGTTGGTTTTTTTCCAATTACTTTTAGCTGCTGGTGTAAATGAAAATGAAAATGAAAAAAAATGAAAAATTATTCTCACTGTGTGTTTCTCAATTTGAAAAAATATTCATTTCTTACCAAATAGATTGACATTGAATTGAATGTTTTGTTTTGTTTTATTTTGTTTTTTCATGTATGCATTAAACAATTTTAGCATCAATTAAGCCATCGTTTTATCGTCATTGATCATCATCAACAAAAAAAAAATGATTGATTGATATGGTGTGACTGTGTGCGCCCGTGTGTTTTGTCAAATGATTCGATTTTCAGCACTTTATTTTCAGTTTCGATATATCGATTGTTTTCATCATAAATAATGATGATGATGATAAATAAATTCTTTCAATCACATCATCATGTCATTGTTTTTCAATGTTGATGATTATCCAATCGATAAATATTTTATTTTTCAATTTCAATAAATAAACAAACGAAAAAAGAAACCATATGATGATGAAGATGAAGATGATGATGATTTTTATTTTGCTGGTTGAATGATTGCGATCTGATTGATGATGTTTATCATCTAAATTTGTAATTACGTCCGTGAGTATAATGACCTTGATCTCATCTTGATGTTTTGAAATTTTTTTTTTTTGCTTATTCAATTAAATTGATTCGATGATCGACAAAGAAAAACGCGGATGAATATGTAGAATAAAATTGATTCCGAAGAAAAACAAACATACAGACAGAAAAATCAATATTCAAAGTCGAGCCATGATCCGTCCATTCAACAAACATACATTTGATGAATACTACTGTCTCTTCCGTTTTTATTTTATTTTTTTTTTTCTGTGTTTCAATGATCCGAAATAAGAGATTTTAAGCAAGAAGAAAAAAAAATTAACAAATTAACGAAAAAAAAGGTAAATTGTTTGTGTGTACTATTAGTACGAAAAATTTGATTGAAGGTAAAAATTTCTTTTTATTCGAATTCGAATCTATGTATAGTGGCAGCAGCAGCAGCAGCAACGTAAATGTTCAAAAACGTAACAGAGATGGATCTCTGATGATATCATCATAAAAAATGAAAGAAGAAGAAAGAAAGAAAGAATTCAATGTCCATTTATTTTTTGCATCGTTGTGATTTCATGAACGCAAAAACAACTTAATGATGGTCATTTGAATTAATTCAAAAATTTTTTTCAAATGAATTCAAATTATTCATTTTGAACGAAATCATAAGAGGAAGAAAAAAATTACAAATTTTTCGCCTACCACCCAATCAATCAAACAAACAACTCAATAACCAGAAAAAACAGATGAAAAAAATTCTCTCATCCATTAATTATTCAAGTTTTCATCATCATCATCATCATCATCATCAGGAAATTTAAATTCGTCAAAGTAACAAGAAACAATCCAAATCATCATTATTTGTAGCGATATACATATGTAGTACGTAATATGACTAAGGTTAATGGTGGTGGTGGTGGTGGTGGTGTGGCTAAATATAATATGCATGCTATCTCAATTTCGATCATCATCGTAGTCGTTGTTGCCGTCGTTTGTATTGATAAATGGACAAAGCAGCAGCAGCAGCAGCCGCCATTGCTTGAAACATTAATGGAATGATATTTTCACATCCATCCATCCATCCAACCATTCAATCATTCATCCTATTTTTGATCATGATCGTCATTTGATCATTGTCCATCGTCGTATCCGTATGATGATGATTATTATTCCAATAATAATCCACCAATTTCATTTTTTTGCCTGTTTGGATGTTTAAGTTGCCACCACCAGAATACAAATTAGTGAGAAATTATTTAGAAAAAAAATTTTTTCATGTTTTTCAAATCCAATTGTTTCACATTCATCATGATAATCATTTCAACATTTACATTTCAACTTTGACCCAAGTTTTTTCTGGATTTTTGTTCTCTTGTTTTCTACTTTTTCTTCAGAATTCATTCAATCCAACATATCATATCATTCAATAAGAAATTCATTCAAAGAAACAAGATCAAAAAAAAAAATGTTTGCCAAAATGCGTCGAACAATGAAATATGAATTGGATCATTTGAATGGTGATCATCCTAATCTTAATCATGATGACGAAAATGTTAATGATGATAAAATGATGAAAAATTCATCATCGATAACATTAGATAATTGTAATGGCCATAATAATCACAATAATCATCAAATTAACACAATATTATCATCAACACAATTACCACCAACATCACAATTACCATTATCATCATCGATAGCCGTACTAGTCGAATCGGTTGCATTCAATTATAAACGTAATGTTCCTCTACTCAAAGATGTTACCATTCATGTTCCAAAAGGTGTGTGTGTTTTGTGTGTGTGTTCCCACACAAAAAATAAATTCCATTTCAGGTATTAATTTTTGTTTTATATAGGATGTATATATTCATTACTCGGTTCAAATGGTTGTGGCAAAACAACATTATTAAACATATTGTTGGGTCGTATACGACCAGATCGTGGTAATGTTCGTATATTTGATCGTCAGCCTGGTTCATCATTGAATCATCAGATTGGTTATATGCCCCAAGAATTAGGATTGAATCCATTGCTTCATATTGAAGATACATTCTATTATTATGCACAAGTAAATCATGTGAATGATCGACAATTCATACAGGAACAGATACGTATTTATTTAGAAATGTTGGAACTTGAAGATCCAAAACAACGTGTCGGACAATTAAGTGGTGGCCAAAAACGGCTACTTTCATTGGGTGTAACTTTGATATATAAACCAAGGATATTATTTTTAGATGAACCAACCGTTGGTATTGATTCATTGATTAGAAGTAAAATTTGGACACATCTTCGGCAATTATGTTTATTAAATGGTAAGTGAGATTTTTTTTTTGTTTTTGTTTGCAATTAAAATAAATTGATCAAATTTCAATTGAAATCCATTAGAAACGACCGTAATAATTACAACACATTATATTGATGAAGCAAAAAATTCCGATCTTGTTGGTTTTCTTCGTGAAGGACAATTATTAGCAGAAGAATCACCAGAATTGTTAATGCAAGCATTAGAATGTAAAACATTGGAACAAGTATTTTTACGTTTATGTTTTGAAAAAATTGATCGTTATCAAAAACAGCTGCAACAATATCGACAAAGTAGAAATAATCAAAAAGATGATTCATTGAACAATAATGATGATACATTTCCAGATCAATATAATGATAATAATGGCAAAGATGATGATGATGATGATGATGATGGTGATGGTGATGGTGATAAAAATCTTAAACGAAAACATACGAACGGTGTGATATTACAACCAGAAATGTTGAAAAATAATAATTTTTGTTCATCATTTAATGATAAACAAGAAAAAATATTTACCTGCGCAAATCAATTCATTAATTTGGATCATATCAATGCATTAATGTATCGTGAATGGTTTTTCTTCACACATAATATTCCATTATTTTTGGTCTATTTATTAATGCCATTATTAACTGTTTATCTGTTTGATTCAAGTTATGGACGTACACCACAAAATGTGCCTATTGCTATTTATAATGGTGATGAAAGTGATTTTAATCCACATCTTTCTGATATATTTCTACAAGAATTTAATACTAGTATGGTGAAAATGACATTCTATGATAATGAATTGGATGCTGAACATTCGGTACAAATGGGCCATAATGTAATGGCTATTGTATTTCGTTCAAATTTCTCTACAAATATTGTTACACGTTATTATGATTTTCATTCATTTGTTGATCAGAAAAAAGATGATCTAATTTCGGCAAATGGTTCAATGTTGTTATATATTGATCATTCAAGTTTACTTAATGTACGTTATGTAAATCGTTCAATTTTATTATCATTTCAACGTACAGTGGAAAAATTTGGTGAAACACGTGGTATAAATCCACAAATATTTTCATTACCTATAGAGAAAGCTGGTTATATTTATGGTGTATTGGAACCACATTTTCAGGATTTATTCACACCCGGTATTGTAATCATAACATTATTAGCGATGAATGCTATAAAAGCTGCATTAGAAATGATTTATTTACATCAAAATGGTTGCCTAAAACGTGATATAAATCAAGGTGTACGGCCATTAGAAATGATGTTTACATTTACTATTTCATCATTAACATCAATATTTTGGCAATCATTAGTTACCTGTATATTTACATATGGTATAATGGGTGTACAATTGGACGGTGATTTCTCTTCAGCATTCATATTGGTATTTATAACAGCATCACAAGGTCTTTTTATTGGAACATTATTATCGGTGTTGTTTCCTGATCAAATTATATCAATGGTATGTTTGTTTTTTTTTTTTTCATCTTTTCAATAATTTATTTCATTTCATTTCTTCCATTCATTCATTCATTCATTCATTTATATAGCTACTTTGTTTCACTGCATTAGTTATAATGTTTTTTACATCCGGTACATTATGGCCATTGGAAGGAATGTCATTAACATTACAAAAATTATTCATGCTTAATCCTATCGTGTTACCTGTACGTTCATTACGTTGTATAATGTTACGTGGTTGGTCTATTACAAATTTTACCGTATTAATTGGCTATATTGTTAGTTCAATGACATCAATCATATTGTTTTTATTATCAGCATTATTTTTTCATTATCTAAATATTCAAATCAAATAATGATCCATTATGATATATTTGCTATATTTTGTTGCTCCTGTTCCCTCTGTGTGTTATGATGATGATCCCATGATGATAATAGCCAATATGATTTAGAACATAATCTGAACACAGCAATATACATTACATATATACATTGCATTTTTACATTAGGAATAAATATTGCATGCATTAGTTGGCAATGTGTCCATCGATTCACATTGTTGTGGTGGTGGTGTAGATAAATACAAGACGACTAAGGTTCGTTAGAGTATCAAATCACCAATTGAGCTTCATTTCATATAATCAAACATATAAATACAACACCAAGAGATACATTCATAAACAATGTTACATATGGGGGACACGCCTACATACCTCCCCTTCAAGTTACAAAATCATAAAAAAAAACAAAATTTTGATAAAAATTTGACATTAAAAAAAAATTATGTTGAATCAAGAAATCTGATAGGTTTAACAATTTTTCTACCAGATGAAGAGAATTTGCTAGGGATATCGAATCGAACTTTCTTGACGGTTTCACGAGAATCTGTTCTTTCCAGTAAAGCTGGTTTCAATCTTGAGATCGATACATCAAAATTTCCTTTTGAACCTTTCAATACGTACGAAAATTTATTTCTTTTGACAACTTCGAACGGACCCAAATACGGTCTATCTAAGGATTTTGTATTCTCCTTTCTAATAAACACAAATTTAGCTGTTGATAAATCCGGTGGTAAATAATTTCGATTATCAATAGATGGTCGAGTCACTACTGACTTAGCTAAAGACATTTTCTGTTTTAATTTTTCAATGAAATCCAACGAAGCGATATCATCAATTTCACGATTTGATGATTTTTATGGATTAACAAAATTGTTTTTTTTGTGTATACTATATTGTTTTCTATAGAAATGAATTAAATTTATCAATTAAATTATAAGCGATTAAGTCTATATAGCGTGGTCTAAGTGTGGTTTCATATAGCCAATATGATTTAGGAACATAATTCTGAACACAGCAATATACATTACATATATACATTGCATTTTTTTACATTAGGAATAAATATTGCATGCATTAGTTGGCAATGTGTCCATCGATTCATTGTTGTGGTGGTGGTAGCTCTGATCTTGTCTTTATTGGCGATGATGTTGATGATGATAATGGTATAGTCATCATTGTTGAATATATTGGCTGTATCTGTTGATGACGATGTTTTGGTAATGTATGATTTCGATATTCATTTATTGGCTGATTGATTTTTTTATTTTTTACAGGTTCTTTCGTTAGTTTCATTGATAATGATGATGAAGATGTTGATGGATGTCGACGATAAAATGCCAAATAAAAATATAGTGTAGATATGCTGATTGTAACCAAAGTGATCATCATTTTACCATAATTCATTGAAAATATCGATATTGCAAACAATATAAATAATAAACCATCTAGTTTAGCTTTCTATTTTTTTTTTGTTTGTTGGAACAAAGAAATCAAAATTAAAATTTCATCATCATCATAATAAATAAAACACATACCACCGTAACCATTGCATATGGCATAATACATTCATGTATTTTACTTAATGGTCCAATTTTTGGCAGATTACGTACAATGAAATTATATTGTATTGATAATTTTGCCTCTACCGGTATGCCTAATGTTGGTTCTATATCCATATAACTACCATGTTTTGACCATTGTGGCCGTAATCCATAAACATCATGATTAAGATGTGGTGAACCGACAAAATGTGGAAAACTAAATGCCAATGATAAGCCACCAAAACAACCGCCAATATTGGTAAAACCATCACATTCACTTAATTTACTATCACCAAAACAATAGCATTGATTTTCAGCTACACGCATATTGAATAAAAATCTCCATAATTCATAACGTACGACACGTAATCCTTTATTCCGATGGAATCTTTTATGAAAAAAATGAAAAATTTCGTTAATTTGAAAGAAAAATAAATAAACGACGATATTACCCTTTACGTTGAAATTTAATTCGACGACAAAAATGTTGAAAATAAATTTCAAATGATTCACCTTGATCATATAAACCGAAATGCATTATATCTAATCCTTTAATCTTATTACATGGTGGTGCATAATTTTCATAACGTGTTTCACCTACTATACTACGAACTTCATTCATTTTATGATAGCCAGGACGATTGAAACGATAATGTTCCAATGGGCCAAACCAATGACCGCTTAATAGATCCATAATACCAAAAGAATTATTTTCAATCTCAAAATTACCGAATGATTTCCAAAGAATTGTATAATCCGGAAATGGTATGTGAAATAAACGTAATGAAACAGCAATAGAGTCTAAATACATTGACAATATTAATTTTACGACCATATAAAACATTAGCAATAGGAAGTTCTTCAAGTAAATTTTCACCAAATGTTTTCAATACTAAATGAACAATATGCTGTAAGATTGGATAAATGAATTTAATCTTTAATTTTTCCACCCAATAACTAGTCCACGATAATGATGCCTTATTAGTCAAAAAAAAAAAAAAGATTTTTGTTTTAATAAAAATTTCAATGTTTTTCAAACAATAAAAACTACATTACCATAATTGGTGCATTGATCGTTGTCATACGTCTTTCAATAGAATGTGGGGAACTTTCCTGATCAAATTTAGATGTAAATTTTTCACGAAATATTACCGTTGTATTAGTCCATGATAATATTTGTCTTTTTCGACTAATTCTAAATATTAATGAATAAATATTTTGATTAAAATTAAACCAATAAAAATCGCAACAATATCGACATACTCGAATACAAATGGACCAATTTCATGAAGATTGGCCGGTGTACCTTCCAAAAATTGTGGTCCATTACGTATTTCGAAAAAATAGATTTCTGCTCGTACCGGTATCGGTACATCAATAAAACCAATGTATATTAGTAAAGTTCCTGGATTCAATTGAAATTGTGATTCAAGAACTAAAGATTGTGGAGATAATTTGAAAAATTCATTTAAATGAATTTAATAAAAAAATTCTGAAATTACTACTTACTAAAATTTAGAATTGTATCAAAAAAGAACCAATTAATTACCATAACAATAATGGCAAAAAGGCCTCTTTGTATATAAGATTTTCGAACATTTCGCCTTGGTTTGGCAGCAGAATCTTTTGCTTCAAGTTTTTTTGATTTTTTCACATTCTTTTTATTATCGAATGTTTTTTTATATGATGGTGGTGGTAGTGATGGCAAAGGTGGTGGTGGTTGTGATGGGAAAGGTGGTGGTGGTGGTTGTGATGGGAGCATAGATTGTTTTTGCAATAATAAAGGTGATGGTGTTTGCTGTGTTGATTGAGCCATCCAAGTGGATGGTCTAATTATCGAACCATTATTTGTTGTATAAAGATCATTCGATACAATCGGTGATGTACGAATAGTCGAATAATGATGGGGATGGTTATAATAATGGTCATAAAGAATTTGTGGATCACTTTTAAATCGTCGTATATATTGTTGTTGTTGTTGTTGTTGCTGCTGCTGCTGCTGCTTTTCTTGTTCTTGTCGTCGTTGATGATAAATTTGTTGATTCAATTGTTCGGGTATTATAATCACACCATTCGTATTATCGATGTTCATAGGAATTGAATCATCATCATATGGATTATTATTATTATTGATAAAATGTCTATCCGATAACAATCGATTGTATGATTCGTTGTCATTCATTTTGAATTCAAAAATTTTTCAAGCCAAAAAAATTTCAAGTTCATCAATGAATTCATGAATGAAATGCCATTTTTTTAAATCATTTCTCTGTTGGCAATTGAAAGTTTTAGCGTTTTTTAAGTAGCGAATTTTTCTTGAGAATCGATATAATTTTTCTCTGCAATTGCATGCCGATATAATAAATTGTGGCAAATTTTGTCAGGTGCATGTGGATTCGATTTTTTTTTCATATTGATTAACTTCATTTTTTTTTGTTTGGCGAAAAAAATTGTATTTAACAATGTCAATGTCAAGTGAATTTCACCTTTTTTCCATTATTCCAGAGAATTATGAGGAAAAAAATTTTTTTATAGTTCAAGAATTCATATTTATGTCAGCGAATAATAATGATTATAAAATCAATGATAACGATTATCATGATGTGGATGATGATGATGATGATGATGATTTCCGTTTGTTTGTTCCATTCCTGATGATGACATTATTTAAATATATTGATATTTTGAATTTTTTTCCAATAAAAATCAAACATTTTCATGATTTTGTCCAAATTTCTTTCAAAATCATCATTATGATGTTGATAATAATGCATGATAATACACATGATGGCCATTAATGCTGAAATGATTGCCAATAATAATTGTCCATACTTTAATAGGAATGATAATATCATTAAGCCAACATGTAATATTCCAAAAGAACGTCCATGCTAAAATTTTTAAATAGTAAATTAATTTACATGCAAAAAAAACAATAAAAATTTAAATTATAAAAACACACACACACACTTACACCTTTGAACCATCCTAATGGTAATATACATCGCCGTATATTGGATAAACTACCAATCGATGGTAGATGATGTAATGGCCAATTAAATTGTAATGCTAATTGTACATCAATTGGTATTCCCAAATATTGTTCAAGCCACATTATTGATAAATGTTTATCTGGATTTGGCCGTAATCCATAGATTTTTTTCGCTAAACCAGGTGATCCAATAAAATGTGGTAATGTTAATGCAAATGCAACACCAGCATATGTGCCTGAACAATCGGAATATCCATCACAATCGTTTAATGATCGACCACTGAAACAATAACATTGATTTTCAACAATACTCATATTAAACATATCGGTCCATATTTCATATTTTACGCCACTAACACCACGTATCCATTCTTTACTATTTTTTTTTTAAATCAGAAAAAAAATATTCATTTCCATTATATATAGAAATATTTCAATGAAACAAACCTCTTTCTATGAAATGGTAAACGGCGACAAAATGGCTGTAAAAATAATTCATTCCATTCGCCTTGATCTTTGATGCCAAAAAATTGAATATCTTGTCCACCCATTTGATTACATGGTTCTTGAAAAAAATCAAAATAACTATAGAAAAAAAATCAACAGAATTAAAACAAAAAACGATAAATAAAATTTTCAATTTACCTTTTACCCATAGCCGTTTTAGCTTGATGCATACGATGGTGGCCAATCTTGTCATAACGATAATATTCAAATGGACCAAATTCTTTTGACGATATCAAATCAATTAGGCTAAATGAATTATTCAATAGATGAAAATCGCCAAAATTTGAAATCATTTCATGAAAATCCGGTATTATCGGTATTAAAGTTCTGACAAATCCATTGATGGATTGTAAAAAATTCAAAGCATTAATCGTTCGTCCAAATAGAATCTGATCAATGGTTTCTCTTTGCACAATTGTTTCACCAAACACACGCATAAATATTGCTATTATCGGGCTAATAATTGTCGTTAGAAATCGAAAATGATAATATTCCATCCAATGATATGCGACCATTATCGTTGCCATTATCGGTATATTCATCATATTAACCCTAGAAAGGTAACCTACGTAAAATTTATGCTTTTTGCACTTCAAAATGTTCCAAAAAAACACTCACGATGCTAAGACAGCTGGAACCCCTTTCTATTCCTCAAGAATATATTTCTACACCTTTAGAAATAGAAAAGACCCAGTTTTTGCCTTTTATCTGTTATCTATAAGCTCAGGCGTAAAAGCTTGTACGTAAAATTTACGTATAGTTGCCTGAATCAGCATAGAAAAATCTTAGAAAATTTTGCTGAGAGCGATAGTTTCGGAAATTTTTCCCAAAAAACGTCATTTATGAATAAAAATAATTTTAATTTTTTTCTTTTTTTTATCTTTTCACTTGTCAAAAACGTTTTTTGTCGCAATATTTTTTGAAATAAACGTCTTTTCTGTTCATTTGTTTATGTTTTTCACTTTATTCAAAATTAAAATGCTTGCAAAAAGCGTTTAACAACGACCGGATGTAAACGTTGTGGCACCGCCCCCGTGGCGAATATCAGATAAAAATTTGTCAATCATGTTTCGATACACAATCATCGATTGATTAATCATATTTACAGGATCATTTTTCATTTTTTCTTGACGCTGTGATAATTTCAAAATTGACAATAAAAAAAAATTCATAATTTACACCATATCTTTGATTTGATATTTTGGAACTTTCCACTTTTGAAAAATAAATTTTTTTTCTTTTAATATAAAATAGAGGTCTGATTCAATGAATAAACGTTAAAATTTAACATAAATAATCAGATAAATAATTTTTATAGCGGAAATAAGTTAGGCATATCAACTACGTAAAATTTACGTAGGTTACCTTTCCCGCAATATCGATAAGGTTACCTTTCTAGGGTTAATTTCTATATCGATCGATTCGGATAATGACGGTTCGAATTTTAATGAAAAAAATTCAGAAAATACAACTGTTTCATCACGCCATTCATGAATGATACGACGACGATCCAATCGAAATACAAATGGTCCAAATTCTTGAACATTTGGACGTTCACCGATTAAAAATTGCTTAGGATTTTTAATGTCAAATAAATAGATTTCAACATAAACAGGTATGGCTAATTTGGGAAGCCAAAAATTTTCAATTAAAAAGGAATTTGGTCGTAATTCGAATTGATAATTAACAACTTGTACGAAAGAAAATAAATGATTAATAATTACATTTTAACAGCTGATGACAAAAAACTTACTAGTATCAATTAGTGATTGATATATTGTGATAGAAAATAGGAAACAACCAATAAAAAATATGGCCAAATTACGATAGAATCGTTCACCACGTATCAATCGTTTTGGTAGATGAATTTTTTTTGGATATTTAATCGGTACTTTTTCAGCTACTTGTTTTATCGGCAATAATGATGGTCGTTTTGAAATTGGTAGTGGTAATTGTGGTGCTGGTGTAATACTATAACGATTTTCACGACGAAATATATGATGACGATCATTCATGATGGCCAATGATCGATTATCAACAGGTGTTTCGAACGATTGAACAATCGATGATGATTCTGGTTTCGTTGCCATTCGATGCCAACCATTTATCAATATGATTGGTCCAATATCATTTCGATTTATTGTTCTTTGAAGATTTGTTTCCAAATATTTTTTCATCATCATATGTGTATCATTTGGAAACTGTTCCATCATCAATCACGTGAAGTGAAATGAAAATACAAAGAATGATAATAAACAACTTCACTCAACCCTCACACACACACACACGTGATTATTACGACAAATTTTTTCTTCTTTCATTCAATTATTTATTGCCATTGGAAACAAGAATGAATTATATAAGAATGGTAAAGAAATTTTTCAACAAACAACAACAACAACAACAACAATTAACGATTCCGGAATGAATGAAATTTTTAATAGAGAAAAATAGAATGAATTGCATACGATCAATTTTGTTCCATTTTTTAAATAATGGATTTGAGTGGATGATAAGTCGTCATATGGATTGATTGTCTCAATTGTCGACAACACACCGTTTACAATGAACTTGAACATGAAATTTTTTTTTTGTTTTGTTCGAAAAAGAAAAACCACATGATTCACTCTCATGAATCGATTTTTATTCTGATGGTCTGATGGGGCATGATAACTTGTGGAATATTGATTTGCAATAAAAAAAATAAATTAAATTCTTTAAATTGAATTTTTTTTTGTTTTGTTTCCATGCAGGTTGTTTTTTTTCAGAATTTTCAAATTTTTTTTTTTCCATCAATCAATTAATAAAAAAAACGAAAAAAACAAAATAACGATAATGTTAAAGCACCGATAGCAAATAGATATTTAAGATAATTGACTACATATGCCATGATTAATATGCCAACGAATAGTATGCCATCTAATTTTGCTTTCTAATTTTTTTTTTCGTTTTGTTTTGTTTATATTCACAGAAGAGAAAAAAGTAAAAAAGATTTTAAAAAACACATTGGAAATTGAAAAAATAATTACATACCACTTGAAATGCAAAGAATGGCATCAATCTTGATTGTATATTACTTAATTGACCAAATCTAGGTAGATTTTTTGTCATTATATTATATTGAAATGGTAGATTAATTTCTAATGGTAGACCTAATGTAGGTTCAATATCAATATGGCCACCGTGTTCATCCCAACGTGGTTGAAATCCTAATGTTTCACGATTCAATATTCGAGATCCATAAAAATGGCGAAAACTCAATGCAATGGGTAAACCACTAAAACAGCCAGACATATCAACATGGCCATCACATTCATTTAATGTACGATCATTAAAACAATAGCAATGATTTTCACGTTGTCGCATATCAAACATTTTTTGCCATATTTCATAATGTGCAATACGTATACCATGGGTCCAATAAAAGCTGTAAACAATAAACAAAACAAACAAACAAAAAAATTAAATCAAAAAGTCATTGAAACATTGAACATTATTACATACCCTTGACGTATTATTGGAAAACTTCGGCAAAAATGTTGAAAATAAAGATCCAGACGACTACCATTAACACTATCGGCTGCATGTATACCAAAATACATAAGATCTAAACCATGTATGAAACTACATGGCCGTTTATAATTTTCATATTCTCTATAGAAAGCCAAAAAAAAACAAATGATTAAAATTTTTGTTGAAAAAATTTCAAAAAATTTCAATCATACGTTTGTCCAAGAATACTTCGTACTTCATTTGTTTTAAATCGACCATAATTACGGCGATAATGTTCCAATGGACCGAATTCATTGCTCATCAATAATCCAATAATACTGAATGAATGATTTGTAAGTTTATAATTACCAAATGTTGAAAGCATTTGACCGAAATCCGGTAATGGTAAATTTAATGATTTTATTGGTGAAAGAATTTTATCAAGAAAACGTAATATATTTACTGGACGACCAAATAATATTTCCCATGGTGTTGTTTCACTAACTAAATGTTCACCAAATACCTGTAATGAAATGGCCACTACATTCTGTATGATTGGTTCAATAAAAGGTATTCGATAATATTTCATCCAATAATATATCCACGACACTGTACACTAAATAGAATTTCAAAAAAAAAAAAATTAAATTAAATCACCATTACCATATATATCAATCAATCAAATAAATACCAATATTGGTGCATTAATCATATTCATTGTTATATTAACTGGATATGATTCATCAATCATCAAATCAGCATCAAATTCTTCATTAAATATAACTGTTTGTTCAGTCCATTCATTTATTCTACGTTTACGTCCAACACGAAATATGAATGGTCCAATTTCTTTGATATTTGGTCGTGCACCATCAAGATATTGTTGTGGATTACGTATATCGAATAGATAAATATGAACATATAACGATATTGGTGGTGACAGCCATCCCATTGAAAGGAATAAATTACCAGGATTCAATTGAAATTGCCATTCAAGAACTATTTGAAATTTGTAAAAAAAAAAATTTGAAATTTGTAAGAACAAATAATAATAAATAAATGATGAAAATATTGGCTGATTATACTGTAATCAAGTATAGGATCAAAAATGACCATATTGATGAGGAAACCGAAAATGAACATGAATCCAGCAATGAGATAATATTTTTTCATTTTTGGATTTCCTTTCAAAAGATCTAATAAACGTTGCAATATTCGACGATTATCATCATTGTTTGTATTCAATGAAATATCATTCGAAATGGATGAATCAAATGATGATGAAATGGAACGTTTTAAACGTGGTAAATTATGATGATTATAAAATTGTGGATGAATTATATTATTATTATTATTATTCAACAATAATCGTGATTTTTTCATCATCATTGATAATGTGGATGTATCAGCATGATTGAGTGTAGAATCATTTGGTAATGTATAAACAACATGATCATCATTAACAACAACATTGGCTAATGTTTTATTTTGTGATAATGGTGAATCCATCGATAGTGGTGGATATGTTGTCCGTACCATTATCATTGATTCATTTGGTGATGGTTGTTGTCCATATGGAATCATATTATGATTAGCATAAGTGATCGCTAAATTATGATTATTCGAATTCTGATCGATTAATAATTTTGTTGGATCCATTATGGTGGTGGCGTTGCTGTTGTGGCCAGATGAAGAAATCATATTTCTACCCCGTATTGGTGGCCGTGATTTTATCGTTGAATATAGTCGCTCTTGTTGCTGTTGTTGTTGCTGCTGTTGCTGATGTATTTTTTGTAAAAACATTCGATTTAAAAGTAACTGCTGTTCACCTGGTGATAACATTGTGATCATTTGATTATGATTAACCGCGGATGATGGTGATAAAATACGATTTAATGGATTTAAATATTTTACTGGATACTTTTCATCATAATTCATGTTCATGATGATGTTTTTGTTTGTTTTTGGGTAAGTTGAATTTTTCTACTGACACACACACACAAACACCAATAAAATTGTCAATGATAATATTCATGGTCAAAACATATTACCGTCATTAATTTTTTTTTTGCCCGTAAATTTTGTTTGATTATTGTCAATTCCATTGTCAAGTTTGAAATTTGTTCCGTTGACGGTTGATGTGTGTTGTGCAAGACGAAAGGCAAAAAAAAAAAAAAAAATATCGATCGATTACATTACATACACATTTATTTTCAACAAAAAAAAGAACATTCATTTGAAATTTGAAAAAAAATTTGATATTCTCATCATCAAGTAATTTTTTTCAGAATTTTAAATTTAAATTTCTATGAATTTAATTCCATAACAATTTGAAAATTGATGATGATATCCGTTTTCAAATAACAACCAACAAAAGACAGAATATATCGATCGATGGATCGATTTTTTTTGTTGTTGTTGATAACTATAGTATTCCTCAATAATAACCGTTTCACTTTTGAATGATAATTTTATCCTTGACAATGAAGAAATGGAAGAATGTACAACTTCGTGTGTGTGTGCGTGGAATTTTTTTTTTTTTTTCTTTTTTTCATTTTTTTCCCTATTGTTTCTGACATACACAGAATCCATCATTCATAATAAGCGTGTTTAAAAACAAAAATTTTTTTTTTTTTTTTTTTTTTGATAATCATGACAGCACACAGCACCATGGAAACCATAAAATTCCGTTATTTTATTTTATTTTTTTGTTATTTATTAATTGCTGCAACGTCAAACAGGTGTGTTAGTTTGCTGCGCAATAGATTGATGGTCAAAATTGCATGCAACACACAGCTGAAAATATAGGGCAAATTTTTAACTTTGGACTTTCAAGGTAAACCTGTCCTGTTTGTGTGTGTGTGTGTGTGTGTGTGTGTGTGTGTGTGTGTGTGTGTGATAGGCCATTTAAACGATTACGACAACAACAACGATTATGAGCGAGCCAGATGAAAAAAAAAATAAAGTTTGTTGTTGTCGTCGTAGTCGTCGGTTGTTGTTGTTGTTGTTGTTGTTATTATTATTATTATTTTTATCTAGTTTTGTCAATCAACAAAATGTCATCATATTTACACTATTCATTTTGACAATTTGATTGATTTGCTTTGCTTTGTATCCGATCATCAAATAAAAAAAACGGATAAATCATTGTCAATCAACAACAACAACAACAACAATAAACAACAACAAGTGTTAGGATTGTTGTTTTTGTTATAACAACAAATGATGAAAATGAATTAATTTTTTTTATTGTTGAAATTTTTTTTTTGGCAATCATTATTTGTAGAACAAAAAAAAAATCTCAATCTATTTGTTTCGATAAAAATTGATTGAATTTTCTCAACATTTTTCATTGTGCTCGTGTGCTCGTGTGTGTGTGTGTTTATGTGTCGATGAGAATTGAAAGAAAAAAAAATTTTTTTTTTTTTCTTGAAACAAACAAAACATTCAATGAACAGCAACAAACATTGAATTCTGAAAAAGTTTTTCATTCATTTATTTACTTGTGTGTGTGTGTGTGCTTGATATATAAACAAAAACAAAAATCAAAAATTTTCGGATCAAATGAATAAAGACTTTCGGTGGATATATAGCCATAAAAGGTATGTTTTGAAATTTTCATTATTTTTTTTCTAACCAGAAAAAAATCATCATTAATCTGGGTGTGTGTGGGCGTTTTAACCATGATGATGATGATGATGATGCAAATAAAAACAGCTGAACTATACTATACTAAAACATTCTGTCAAATTCTTAAATTTTGATTTTAAGGTGGCTGTTGTAATATAAGAATGTTTATAATTGATGCTATTTTTATCTAATTTTTTTTCCTTGATTCATTCAGTCATTCATTCATTCATCAAAAAAAAAAACAGCAGAATCATGTGTTTTTTTCTTGTTTTGTTTTGTTTTGTCTGAACTTGAATTCAACACAGAAGAAAAGTATGAGAAAGAATATTCTGTTTGTCTGTGTGTCTTGAATTTTTTTTTCTATATAAAAACAACCCAATTGAAAGAAAAAATTTTCAATTCAAAAAAAAGAAAAAACAAACAACAATCAAAAAAAATCAAGAAAAGAAAAATAATCGAATCGAATGGTAAATGAATGACCCCGAATCTTTTTTTTTCTCTGTTTTTTTGTTTGTAAAAATAAACAGAAGCCTCGTATAACAATAACCGAGATATAGAAATAGAAAATTCGGTCGACTCTTTCGACCATAATGGTTATAATAAATCCATCTCTCTCTCTCTCTCGGAATGATAATGATGTCTAGTGCGTAATTCGGTCATTGGTGATGATGATGATGATGATGATGATGATAATTTTCGGTCCATAAACGTTGAACGTATGTCAATCCTTTTTTTTCGAATCGAATGATAATGATGATGATGACTATCGAAAATGTAATGTAATTTTTTCTGATTTAATTTGAATTGATTTTATTTGATTTTTTTTCTAGCCACCACATACTGTGTGTGTGTGTGTGTCTGCTGGCCTTTTACCTTATTATTCATCTTAGGTCACACACATTTCGTCGTCGTCGAATTTTTTTTTTCCCATTCTCTCTTCTATATCGATGCTATTTATTTGATTTTTTTTTCGGTCATCTTCGGGTAAATTTTATGTTTGTCTGTGTGTCTGTGTATGTGTGTGTGTGTGTGTCAAATTTGGTTTCCCGTTTCTCTCAATATCTGTACAAATTTTACCGTTTGTATGTGTGTGTGTGTATGTGCTATATTGCGGTCAACCACCATCATCATCTACAAATAGAAAACAAACAACCAACAACAACATTTATTTTGTTGACATTCAGAACAGCCAAAAAAATCTTGTAAATTTGATCGAGATCAATCGATTGATTGATCGATCCATTGACCGAAATTAGTAGCCAATCAGGCAGACAGACACATACACACAGGTTTGTTCGAATCATCATTTTCATTCGAAATAAAAACGTTCGAAATATATTCGTGTTATGTGTGTGTGTGTGAAATACGATTCTAATTCTGTGTCAAAACGACTACGTTTTTTTAAAACGTAGACGACTACGTTTTTTTTTGTTTGTAGGTTGTGAATCATCATCATCATCATCATCATCGTTATTGTTGTTGTTTTGTCATCATCATATGATTTAGACTAAAATTTTCCCTATATAAATTGCCACCAATTTTATTTACAACTTTATTATTATGTTGATATCGACGATTTTCTAATTTCAAGTTTCTATTTTCATCTTTTTTTTCAGACTTTGCAATCATCAGTCAGATTTATTATTGATACATTATCAACAGTGAAATATGCCCGTTAATCTTGGTGGATCATCATCATCTTCGATGACTAGTAACAATGGTCAGACCAGAGTTGTGAAACGTGGTCTTGATGCATTAGAAGCATGGGGACGTCGTATTACTACCGGTTATCGTGATGTACATATAATTGATCTAACAACATCATGGCGTGATGGTCTTGCATTCTGTGCTATAATTCATCATTTTCGTCCGGATCTCATGTAAGTTTGGGTTTGCAAAATGATAATATAAATCTAAAAATTCTCTAATATTTGTTTTTTGTTTTTAGTGATTATGATAGCCTATCGAAAGAGAATATTCTTTACAACAATCATCTTGCATTTCGTGTGGCCAAAGAACATCTTTCAATACCGGCATTATTAGATGCTGAAGATATGTTGAAACATATTGAACCGGATAAACGTTCAGTGGCATTATATCTATCAGAATATTATAATTATTTTGAGAATGGTAAATGTCGATTGCCATTACCATCATCACCATCATCATCATCGGATACAACAACAAATGGAAATAATAACAATAAATCATTGTCAACATCGGTTAGATGAATTTGTTTTTGTTTTTATATTTCCACAAAAGAAAACAAAAAAAAACAGAATGGCTACTTGTAAACAAGATGATGTTATCCACACCCGTATTTTTTTTGTATTTGAATTGACAATTCAAAAAAAATGGATAATTATTTTTTGTTGCTGCTGTAATAACAAACAAACAAACAAACACACACACACACACCTACGACGACCTACAGTTTCGACTATTCTCTACAACCGATTCAATCATATTCATATTCAAATAATAATAATAATAAGTACCATCATCATTTGTACACACACGCACACACACTAATAACATCCAGGAAGTGTTTGATGTCATGTTAATGTTTTCAGTCAAGATTTAACAATGAAAATTTAATTTTTTTTCCAGTCAATGTCATTGACATTGATGACATGAAATGATAACTTAACCATGAATTATTAGTAGTTTATTTTAAAATGATAATAATATAATAATTTTGTTTTAATTATTTCTTGTGAATTTTTTTTTTTTTCTTTCTTGAATCTTTTCCTTGAACAACATTATAATCACCACATTTGATGATGAAGATGAACAAAGATCCAAAAACAACAGCAACAAGGATATTATTTATTTTTTTTTTTTTTTTTTGGGCGTCAAATACTGACGACATTCGTCCATCCACCACTTTGTCAATCATTATCATCGGCTTGTGAAAATCTTGTTATTGCTTATCATCAATTCGAATCAAATCCTATCATCATCATCATCTTTGGATTGATTGTTTGCTACAATCGATTGTATCGATTGTGTGATTGAAATTTGATAACTACGACAACAAAAATCTTGAAAACAAAAGGAAATGGATGATTCATTTTCAAATTCAATTGATTTCGATTTATCGTTATGTTTATGATGGTGCAACGACAACGACAACGACAACGACAAAACACATCAAGTGTTTAATCCTTTATATATCAAATGTAAAGGATTAAGGATAAAATTAAAAAAAAAATCAATGCAAAGTGATTTATTGATAAGAATCATTAAAACTTGAAGAATTGTTTCACCTTCGAAACATATGAGAAAAAATATCCTTTGCCTGAAAAAAATAATAATATAATAATATATCCGATGTGTTGTAACCCGGTTTCGTTTCGTTTCGTTTCTCTCATCAAAATGTCTTGTTTTTTCCATTAACAATCCAAATTTGTTCCATAAATGTTGTTTTTGTTGTTGTTGTCGTAATATATGGATCATTATCGTTGTCGTTTTAAATGATGTGTTTGTGTGTCAATATTATCCACACACACACACACACACACACAGATGATGGTTTTTTACCTTTTTCATCCCACAAACAAACAAAAATGGATGTCACAATGACACTGATTTAATTTTTTTTTGTCGTCGTCGTCGTCATCGTTCCATTTGGATCGTCACATTGACAATGTCGCTGTCACTGATGATGATGATGATGATGATCACCATGTCTATGATGATAATGATGATGGTGATGGTGGTGGAAAAAAAATGTTTTCATTTTGTTCGTTTGTTTCCTTTTTTTTATGGAAAAACATGTCACATTTCATTTCATTTAAAACTTTCATAATGTGATAATTATTTCATATTTACAGAAAAAAAATGATATAACTTTCAACGAAAGAACAGAAGAATCGATTATCCACTTTTTCCCCTGACCAATGGTCAATTTTGTTGTAAATTTTACTTTAAAGTCTAAATATGATGTTGATGATGGAATCAAATATTTATGGTCATTATATATAATAAGGTCATCATCATCATGTAATTTTAATGTAACGCCGGAACGAATATTTGTGAACTGAATAAATAAAAACAAAACGAAAAAAAAATCTGTAACATGCACACAACGTAAGACTTTATGTGATTTTTTTTTAATTTCCATTTTTCTCTTTTAACCAACAATTAGCCATGGATAATCATCATTCATTGATTCATCAAAGTTGATCTTGTTATTATTGTTCAACATACATTCATTCATTCATAATGATGATAATGACTAAAAAAGAATGTGTGTGTGTGTGTGTGTGTACATGTGTCATGTGTGCGATTTTAAAGATTTATGGCCATTTTTTTTTCATTTTTACTAATTCTCATAATCACATCTTAAAAAACATCGAAAAAAAACAAAAAAATTTTTTTGCTGTTTATCAATCGTTCTAAATCTTTAAATGTTAACATTCCAACAACGCACACTCACTCACACACACACAATGGATATGTGCATTGTCGTAGTCGTTTTTTATTTTAGATTCAAATCTTGGATCTTTTTTTTTGTTCTGTCTGTCAAATCCATACAAAAACTGTTGCTTCAACTTGTTGATTCAGAAAAATTTTTATTTCTGTTTGTTTGTTTCATTTTCAAAATCCAAATCGAATTTTGAATCAATTAAAGTTGAATGAAATGAATTTCCGTTTATTTTGACGAAATTCAACTTGTTGATTCAGAAAAATTTTTATTTCTGTTTGTTTGTTTCATTTTCAAAATCCAAATCGAATTTTGAATCAATTAAAGTTGAATGAAATGAATTTCCGTTTATTTTGACGAAAAAAATTTTTTTTTTTTTGATAATAACCGATCAATTGATTGAAAATTATTATCCGAAACACAAATCATTTTTTTTTCATTGTTTTGTTGTCAAGTTTGTTCATGCGAAAATTGTTGTGAAAAAAAAAATTTTTTTTCGCATTTGAATATCCATGAAAAAGGAGTGAAAAATTACACACCCAATTGTGTCACACACACACACACACCGGGTAATTTTCAAAACATGGACAGTTTTTTTCGAACTACAACAAAAATTAACCTGTTCAATACCCGGTGCATGATAATGACGACAATGACGACAATGATGATGATGATGATGATAATGATGGCAAAAGCGAGAAAACAAAAAAAAAATCTCACCGATAATAATCGATTACTAATCCGAGATCATTCGATTTTGTTTCCGACCAAACGAAAAGAACAAAAAAAAAAATTCCGAAACTTCGAAACTTGTCAAATTTTTCAAATTTCAAGTCAGTATAACGAAGCAGGAAAATGGCAGAAATTTTTTTTTGTTTTGTTTTTTGAATTCCGGATATTTGAATTTTTTTTCTCATGTTTTTTCCACTCAAACAACAGCAGCCAAATTCAGATTGAAATTTGTGTGTGTGTGTTTTGAACAAAATCATCAATTCAAGCGTTCTATAAAACGATAATAATCTAGTTCATCATTGGAGAAAAAAAAAATTCAATATTCAAATGAATATATATATAAAATATAATCAAACATCACAACTTTGATCATTAACATTCCAAAACAATCATGTATTCAAATGAATATATATCGTTCATTTGATTTATGATGGGCGATAATCGTTTTAGATGAAAAAAAAATAGTCTGTAGTGTGGTTTAATCAATCCGTACAAAAATCCGTTTTGTTTTGGCCAAATAAATTATATCAACAACAACGACGACGACGACAACATCAAATAAACAAATAAACAAACAAACAAACATGAAAAATGAATGGAAATTTTTTTTTCATTTTCATTTTATTTTTGACCTCGAATTCAATTTCACAAAACACAAACACAACACACACAAAAATTGTTTGTTTGACAATTGATTTTGATTTATGATTGAACCAAAAAGACGTGTGCATACACACACATTTTGTATCATCATCATCATAAGCCACAACACATCCATAAATGTGAATCAAAAAAAAAAAAAAAAAAACAATTAGATTCACACGCGCTCACACATACATGGTGTTGATAATCTTATTATTCCGGGTCTTTGGAAATCATCATTCATTCATTCATCATTCATTTTTTCAACAACACCAAAATAGACATAAAATCCTGGTACAGCAACAACTTGGTTATTGTATTGTATTGTATTGTTTGAATGAAATCAATGTCCAACTGTTGCATATCAAACAAAACAAAAAAAAAACAAATATTTACACATCACACACACACACACAACAAGTGATCATCATCAGTTTCTTCAGTTGTTGTTGTTGTTGTTGTTGTTGTTATGTTTTGCAATTCAACTGGCAACAACAACAACAACAACAACAAAATCGACATTCAATTGAAAAATTCAAAGAAAATAATATTCATTCCATTTCATTTTGTTGTTGTTGTTCCATTTGGAACATTTGAATGAAAAAAAAATCAATCAAATGTTTTTTGTTGCTGCTTCTGTCTGTTGATGTTGATGATGATCGATTGATATAAACATTTTTTTTTTATTCATTCATAATCATCATCATCATCATCATCATCATCATAATCAATTGCTGTTTTTCAATGATGATGATATTTTGTCCGACTGAAGTGTTTCTTGAAAATTTACGTAAATTTTTTTTTCTCATTTTTGGTTTCATTTCTTTGGAACAAAACAATGCCCATAACATACTCATGGGTTTGGTCATATGGTTTTGATTGCCAAAGAATTTTACAAAAATTTTTTTTTTCATCATTGAAATCAAAAAAAAAAAAAAAAACTTGAATTCAAATAATTTGATTGCCAACACATGATGATTGAACATAGAAATTGGCCAAACAAATCTGATCCAGATTTTTTTTTTCGTTTTTGTTTTCTTCTTGGATCTAAATTCATCGTCCACATCGTTTACATTTTAATAATTATTTCGTGATCTCAAAAAAACAATATTCTTTCATAGATGGTGGAAAAAAAATTCCATTGTTTTTTTCCATCAGTTTCAGTGTCATTCATTCAAAGATTGATCTACAAAAAAAAAAATTTTTTGAAGCAAAAAAAAAACCATAATTTCTGTTTTACTGTTTGTTTCTGGAACACAATAAAGTTGTTGTTGTTGTTGCCCAGCACAACCACCTACGCATATACAATTGCAATTTCATTTTCATACGATCGTTTCATTCATTCATTTCATTTGTTGTTGTTGTTGTTGTTTTTTTCTTGTATTGATGATGAATTTGTGCGTGGAGCATCTTGATTCGGTCAATCTTGATCATCATCATCATCATCATCATTCTGAAACAAAACAAAAAAAAAAATTAAATTTAAACAGGTGTTTCTGTGTGCTTGTTTATGTGTTCAATGGATAAATATGTTCCAAGATCATTACAATTGATGGCTCACTCATAAATCACAAATAATAATAAATTGTAAATGTGAATGAACGAGTAGAAAACAGAAACAAAAAAAAACAAAAAAAAAAAAAACTAGCTCCACATTCATCAATGAAAATAGAAATAGCCACTATATTTCACTGTTTGTCAATTGATTGTCAGTGGCCAGAAATATTCTAGTTTTAATTTTCAATTTTCAATTGTCAAAAAAAAAATCAATTGACAATTGTCCATCATCAATGGAATTGAAACTCGAAAAATTGATGTGCAAAATTTAGAAACAAAACAATAAAAAAAAACCAAATCAATCCATCAAATGAAAAAGATTCATTAATCATAATCACATAATTATCACCATCATCATCATCTTTATCACTATAGTTGTAAAATTGAGAACCAATTTTCAAACAAAGAAACGAAAATGAGACAAACGAAAAATTCAATTTACACTTTCACTTGGAAAAAAAAAATTTTCAACAAAGACCACAATTATGATGATGATGATGATGATGATGATGACACTTGTTGATCACTTGTTGCCTTTTTTTTCGGCTCATTTGTGATTGGATTGTGAAACGATTTCATTGTAATAGATAATAACGGTAGGAAATATATATAGTGTAATTATTATTGGTATGTGAATAGAACCTTTTTGAAATTGAAAATTTTTTTTTTCTTATCTTATTCAATCCAGTTCAATCCAATGCTATTGTTATTTATTCATTATGGTGGAAAATTGCAATGAAAAAAAAACCAGATAGCCATTGTGTGTTACGTTTTCAATCAACCACCAGATAAATATATAGTTTTCATGGATATTCACCATTCACCACCACCACCACCACCAATAATCAACAGTTTGTTGTCGTTGTTGTCAGTAATAATCAGTAATCAACAGGTGGTATTCTTCAAATATGAATTTTTTTTTGTCATGAAAAAGAAAAAAAAAATAAATTAATAAAAGCGGAAATTGAAAAAAATGACAAAGTTTTTATCCAAATTTTTTTTTGTTGATGATTAAAATTTCTAAAAATCTCGCCTATATGGAACATATGGTCAATTGAATCAATTGATTGTTTGATTGATTGATTGTTTGACCTATAGGCTAATGATTCTAAACTCATTGACTGATTGATTGATTGATTGATTGATGAATTTATTAATCTAATGATTTGTTTGAATTAGATCAATTCAGTTAATTCATCAATAATCATCATCATTTTAATGAAGATCACCATAAAAGATGATCATTGATGATTGATGATCAATGATCAATGATAATTATGAAAACAAATTGAATCAACAAAATAAATCATTTCATCAAGGTCAGTCATTCGTCATTTGTTTTGTTTTTTTTTTTGATTAGTTTAATTTGATTCAAAATTTCTGATCTCATTCTGTTTTTTTGTTGATTTCATCATCGTTTTTTTTTCTTGTTCATAAACATCTTATTTTGTTGTTGTTGTTTTATTTACTCAGCAAAAAAAAAATCAAATCAAGTCAAATCTTTCATGTAAAATCCGATGATTTATTTCAATATTTCCAAAACGACAAATCAGATTCCGCGAAATGATGGAATAAAAAAAAACAAAAAAAAAATATTGATCTTTAATCAGAACATGTCCCGGGTATTTAAATGTTTGATTTTTTTTCTGGATCAATTTAATTTTTTTTCCTGCCTGTCCGTCTGTCTATCTGTCTGTCTGTCAAATCAGATTTGATTTGATTGATGATCAGATCAGATCAAATCAAACACACACACACACACACACATACAGACACAATCGATTTTGGAATTTGAACAACAACAACAACAACAAAAATCGTTTAAATTTCGATTCCAAATAACATTGTTGATCACATCACCCAAAAAAAAAACAAGCAAACAGACAAATAAAAGTGATTGCTGAAATTGGCTGGCTATTTATTCCAGCAACAACAACAACAACAACAACAACAATCGATTTTTTTTTCGTACGCAAAGTGCGAGAAAAAAAACAACAACACTGATTGATGGATAATAATAATAATAATGATGATGATCATCATCATCATCATCAATTTCAAATTCAAATTTTTTTTTTTTTTTTTTTTGATACAAAAAACAGTAACATTTTATACATTTACGAAATACGTAGACATTTATTTTTTTTTGCACTAAAAAAACATTTTGTTCAGAGTGGAGAGATATGTTATTTATATGTGTGTGTGTGTGTAAATGGCCATCATATCATCATTTTTTATTTTCGTTTTTGATCATTATTCTGTGAATGGAACAAAAAACAAAATGTTTTTGTGTGTTAGAGCTAAACTTGAAACACACACACACACACTTGCAAAAAACATTATGATCATTATCATGGTATATGATCGAGTTTTTGTTGTTGTTGTTGTTGTTGTTGTTGCTCGTTTTTTTTTCTTTGCATTGTTTCTGGAACAAGAAAAAAAAATCATCATCTTTATATGACGATTCTCCAGCGGACAAATTGGACAAAATGGAACAAATTTTTGTTTTCGGTCGCTTTCGGTTATTGTTGTTGTTGTTAGCATTATATTACCGGATAATTTACACAAATGAAGATAGATTGTAATTAATTTGTTGCTGTTTTTTTTTGTTTGTTTGTTTGTTTTTCCCAAAAGTGAAAGCTAATTTTAGCTATATGTTGGACTGTACAAATTAAACGAGCCGAGAAACAAGAAAACCTAATTCATCCGTGTGTGTGTGTGACTAGATTTTAATCATCCACCATATATGAATATGATGAAAAGAAATTTGCATTTTCAATTTTCTCAGTGCAAATAAAGAGATAAACCAGATGAATTACTGAATGATTTTTTACCGTTGTTGTTGTTGTTTTGAAATTCATAACATTCAAAAAAATTGATCATTCGTTGTTCATCATCACCAGTGAAGAAAAAAAAATTTAAATTTTAAAATCAACACGCGCAGAATTTAATGAGAATCACTATCCTTTTCACTATCCTTCTTTTTTCTTGACTTTGTTGTGGCTTTTTTTCTATACAGTGTCACTTATAAGTGTGTCTTTTGAATGGCTCCTTCGTCTCTTCGTCACTCTTTTCAACTCTATCGTATTTTCGCTTTTTTTTTCGTTCCAAATTTGTGTGCTTAATGGCGCTGAAACACAGACACACAGACACATGAATAAAAATGCTTAAAGAGCGCCCAATGTGTCTCTGTGAATGAATAACAAAAAAAAAAAATGGAGAGCAAGATCGTGGTTTGGAACAAAAGAAAACTGAAATCCTAAACAAACGGGTAGATAGGATTGGCATTTCTATCAAACAACAACAACAACAACAACAAACGATGAATATGACAAAGATCCAATGATCCAACAAACAAACAAATTTTTTTTTCTTTTCAAAAAAATTCCCACACACACACGAAAAAAAATAAGCAAAGTGGTGACAATATTTTTTTCCATATTGTCACTTGTCGTGTGTGTGTGTGTGTGTGTGATCTTTTCATTTTTTTTTCATTCGATTTTTGTTGTTGTTGTCCACTGTCCACCATTATGATTATCATCTTCTATCAATCTTTTCAGCTATCTATCAATCTTTTCAGCTTATTTTTTTTTTGTTCTCATCCGGATAATTTAACAATCATCCATCAGCACAGCAACGGCAGCAGTGTGTTTTATTTACTCATCATCATTCTGTTCTCAATCTCAATGTCCAATGATCATTTGTGTCGTCGTCGTTTTTTTTTCATTATTATTGTGTTGCATATGATGAACTGATTGTTTGAAAATGAAATTTCATCTTCTTTTCTACTGTTCACATCACATGATTAAACATTGGAAAGAATCTGCCGAATAAATACATCCAGAATCACTGAAATCGAATAAATTTTCATCAATAATATCAATGATGATTATGATGATGATGATGCGATTAATCGATCGATGAATTAATAATAATCGATTAATCTCTCTCTCTCTCCAAAAAAAAAATCATCAATAACAAGAGAGAAATTGAAATCAAACATACCAAAGTGCCAAGAACAAAAATCAAATCAAAATGAATTTCAAAAAATCGATATTATCATCTCTATTGAGATTATTATCATCATCAACATTATCGTCGTTGAATAATTCAATAAAAACTACAAACAAGACCACCACCACCACCAGAATGGTGACATTAATCACGATAATTATCACCATTTGCCATTTTGTTCATTGTACGAATCATAATATTGTTCATCATGGTCATCATGATTACAGTGCAATCATCAATGATAATATAATTGAAGAGGTAAGTGTATCGATGAGAAAATAATCAAAATAACACGTGCAAACACACACACACACGCGCGCAAAATTGTATCTCATCAATCGATCTATCGAAGATGAAGAAAAAAAAATCGATTAGTTTTTCTGTTCCATGATTAATCGATTATATTCAATCAACAAACGAAAAAATTCAATCAGTTTATCCAGATTATGATCAAATCAATTCAATCGTGATTCATGATTCATTTTCATTTTCATTTTCATCGTTGATTAGCATTTTATTTTTTTTTGTTTGTCATTTAGAGTCATTGAACACAAGGTCACAGCCGGTAATGTTTTAATTTGTAATTTCAAATTTTGTTTGTTGTTGCATGCATAATGAACGTCTCAAAGGGATTAATTAATTTTATTATAATGAAATCAAATTTTGAAAAATCATGATCATATCATCAATGATTTGTCACAATGTCACATTATATGGCCTGATTGTATGTTTAGCTATAGCTTGTTGGCCATCAAGTTGATTTTTAACCATTCAAGGGATCGTTTTGGATCGATGAAAACGAAAATCTTTCCGGTACAGAAAGAGAGAAAAAAAAATTTTAAAATGGAAAAAAACTTGTTGATTTTATCATCATCTTGATTATTATCGACAACAATTGGAAATTGATCTACTTGTTGATGATGATGATGATCATCATCATCATCATTTCCTATGTTTCTCTCTTCTATCATTGTTTGTGTATTTGTTTGTCGATGATAAAAGTTACCGGCCATTCGGTATGATAATAATAAAAATATTCGGTTATTATTAAAATTTAAAAAAAACAATAAAATACCTATAGATGGACATTATTATCATTGTAATGGCCATCCAGCCAGCCAGTCACTTGTGGTCAATTTTTACTATTTTCATTTTCATTCTCTTTTCTTTTCTTCATTTGGTAAACATTTAAATTGACTCATTTTCAATGATGATAACACCTGGAAAGATGTCTTTTTGAATTCAGGTTCTGCATCAATCATCGTCATCATCATCATCATTTAGTGGCTAAATTTTAGTCCATCATATACTGCCAAAAGAAAAAAAAAGATAACAATAATTAATCGTAATTAATTTTTTTTTCTTTTTTGGTCAAAATTTAAATTCAAAATGAAATGAAAAACAAAACACACACACACACACACACACACGCATTTCATTTTACAATACAGGTGGACAATGGTTTACGAATGAAGAAAAAAACAATACATCTGGAATGTTTTTTTTTTTCATTATTTCATTCACTCTGATGATCTAACACTTGATCCATCATCAACAACAATGAATGATGATGCAAAAAAAAAATGATTGACCATCATCATCATCATCATCATCAGTAGTTGTCACATGGCTACAATCATATTTGAAAAAAAACCGGAACCAAAAAAAAAAAAAAAAAAAAAAGCATCATCATTTAAATGTACAATTTTTTTTCAATGTTTGATCAATCATCATCATCATGTGGATAAATCCATCAATCCAATCCATTATTATTTCGTTTTATATAAAGAGGATAATCAGTCGAACCTAACATACACACACACACAAACACCTGTTGGATTTATGTGGCCAATGGTCAATGGTCAATGGTGATTTGATATGTGATGATCATATGGTCCATTTTGATTGATTGATTGATTGATGACATCATACTTGTTGCTGTTTTATTATTGTTGTTAAATGGATTACGAGATTTATTTTATTTTTTTTTTCGTTCATAATAATGTTTGAATAAATAATGGTTTTTGGTGATTTATGTTCATTTTTTTTTTTCTTTTCTTTTTTCCATGTTGACCATCAAATGGATCGCAATCGATCAATCATTGATCATCATGAAATGATGTGGAACAAAAATTTTTTTTTGAAATCGTAACAAACAAACAAACAAAAAAAACAGGAGCCAATTCCATTGAATAGTATTGAAAAAGCAAACGCTGCATTTAAATGTCAAAGTGATGGCTATTTTGCCGATGTTGCTTATGGGTAAGTTTTGTATATTCAAATATTCAAATAAATTCGCAATAACCGAATCCGGATACTTTTCGGTCGATTTTTTTTCACATAGATGCCAATTTTATCATGTCTGTGAGAATGCCAATAATCCATACGATAAACCGGTAATTATATAAAATGATTATATACATTGAGAATATTCATATATTTTTTTTAAACATTAAAATGTTTCCCTTTTTGAATTCTGGTCGCTGGAACAAAAAAAAATCATATCATCATACCATTATCATATAGTCATTTGTAAAGCATACATTTTCCTGTGTAAATGGTACCGTATTCAATCAAATGTCATTCACATGTACACGTTATGATGATTCAATACCATGTGATGCATCACCATCATATTTTTACCTCAATAAACGTAATGGTGATCCAAAAGCATATTTTTTAACCGATGATGATATATTTAAACGGAGCCATTCATCATCATCATCATCATCATTGTCGTCGTCGTCGACATCATCACCATATAATCATCATCATCACAACCACTATAATAATTATCAACAACAACAACAACAACAAAACCACAAACAACATCGACATCATTAGCACCGACACCAATAATTACAAAATCAACACTACCACCATCATCATCATCATCATCATCATATCCACAATCAACATTGACAACGACAACATTAATGTTTAATGAACCATCATTGTCATCAAATAGAATTCCTCATCATCATCATCATAATAATCATCATCGAACACGAAAACCAATTCAAATGAATGATGATAATGATGATGGTGATTATCATCATGAAGATAATCATTATGTTAATCAACCAAATGATCGTAGCCGTCGGCCGAAACAACAACTGGATAGAAATGAACATCGTAATCGTTTAATATCCTCGGTCATCGATCAATATTCAAACGATGATGATGATAATAATGATTTAATCAATTTGAATCATCATGATGATGATATTTATCGTACTATTAATAATAATGAAAAAAATTCATCATTAATTCTGGAACATTCAACAACATTGAAAAATAATCATCGACAACCACATCTTCATCGGGCACCATCACCATATGAATTGGAAACACCAAAAACTTATTTATCCACCGGTGGTGGTGGTGGTGGTAGTAATGGCGGTGGCAATGGTAGAAGTAGTAGTAGTACGATCACAACACCGGTAATAATTCATAAATATCCAAAATATGAATCAACCCCGAACAAATTGATGAATACATATGTTCCAATGGATTATAATACTAATCGACAAATTAATTCAAAATCATTATCATCGACATCGACATTGGATAAAAAACTTTTCAATTATGGCCCATTACGGCAAACAACAACCGTATCGTCATCATATGATGGAAATATTTCAATCGATAATTTGAAACCAACAACAGCAACATATACAACGAAATTGGATACAGATAATTTATCATCATATGAGATTATGAAAAAATATTCATCACCAAAGAATGCTGTTGACACATCAACAACAGATCGACCATTAATCGATTACGGGAATATATCGCCAACACCGATTAGTGCACATAAAGGTAGTAGCAGTACATTTACACCGGCAACATTTTCACAGCTTTATATTGAAAATCAAAAAGCATCAAAATTGGAACCAATTCCGGCTTCATATGTACGTTTAGTTGAACAAAGACAACAACAAATGCAGCAACAGCAACAGCGAAATAAACCAACAACACTGAAAGCATTCAATCATATAAATGAACAATTGATATCGTTGACACCGATGAATAATAAAACGGAACAATATACAAAAATTGGATCTAATCATCAACATCATCATCATCATCACCATAATCATGGTTCCGTTTTACCATCACCATTGTCATCATCAACATTGTCTAAATATGAACAATTAATTGCACAAAGTTTAGCACAAAATAATAATGGCCATTCAACACAAATTAGTCCAAATCATTATGTAACTGTTGCATCACCAATACGTATTATTGAACCAACACGTGAAATTTCACGATCATTGATAAATAGTAATGGTAAAGATCAAACATTATCATCATCAACAACAATAATTGATGACAATGTTGATAATAATCAACAACAACCGGTAAAGATTTCTTTTGTCAATGATAATAATAATAGTAAAGGAAATTTAAAAAATCATCGATTATTATCATCAACAATAGCTAATGAACAAAATAATGAACAAAATACAAAAATGGCTGATTATGGTACAACAAATTATAAAGTGGTCAAACAGATAAAAGGTAAAAATTTACTAATCGATCCATCATTGGAGAATGATCCGGAACGTGATAGTATCATTGCACAAGTATTGGAAATGTTGAATAAATATAATTGAAAACAACGAAAAAAAATCGTCACAATAAAAAAAAGGCAACTAATTGATATTTTCAATGCAACAAAATAACACAACCAAACAACATTCGAATTTCGAACACTTTTAAAACTTTTTCCAGAAAGTTTTCTCTTTTTGTTTTGAAAATTTTATTTTTTTTGGAAATTTTTTTTTTGTCATGTCATCACCCCTTTATTCTAGTTAGTTTTAAATAATATTGAAAACCAAAATGTTTTATATTTCACACACACACGTCAACACATTTAAAACGGACATAGAAAATGTGACGAACAAACAAAAAACGGAAATTTTTTTTTTGTTCGCAAAAAATCGTGTTCAATCAATTTTTGAATTTTTTTTTCCAATTCAATTGTTGATGAATGTTGTCCGATTACCAATTTAATGATAATAATAAAGTTTAATTTTTTTTTCATTTAAATTTTTGTTTTTTAAAATTCGGAGATCCGTTTTTGAAACAACGGAAAAAAAACATTGAAAAACAAAACAAAACAAAAAATCAAATTTCAATCACGCGACTATTATGACAATATAACAATGGTTATGATGAAATAGTCGACATTCTTTTTTTTTTGCTTTTCTGTATTTGAGTTTGGAGTGTCTTGTTTTTCCCCTTTCTTGTGTGTGTGTGTGTGTGTATTCAATGCTGCTATACATGTACCTTTTTCTACTTCTGCTGGTGGCTGTGGTTGGGTTTTGGGTATGTTTTGTGAATGTTGCTGGTTGCTTGGAGCGCGGTTTTCGTTTTATTCTATTCTATTTTTTTTTTCACCACCAATGATTTCAATGATTTTCTATTTTAGTTCTTATAAGAATCAACTATTCGTATAATAATCAATAATAATAATAATGTCACAATCTAATCGTGTTGGTCATCCGATTCGTAATCGAAAAAAGAATCGTTTAATTTTTAATGAAGATGAAGAAACATCATTTGGTTCAAATCGTATGCCATTATATTCAATATCATCATCGATGGCCAATAATATGAAATCAAATAATAAACAATCAATATCGAACAATAATAATTCTACAAATAAAAATCAACAACAAGAAGAATCTATAGTTATTTATAAAGGAAAATTTAGTAAAAATATCGGTAATAATCTGATGAATAGTTTGAAAACATTGCTGAAATTACCAAAAGCATATAATTGGGTCATATTGGAATGGTTCTATGGTAGTATTGATCAGGTATTATTTTTGGATGAAAATGAATTCAGCCTATGTTTGAAAGATTCATTTCCACAATTGAAAACAAGATATCTAACACGTATTGAATGGTCACAGATTCGACGTTTGATGGGTAAACCACGTCGTTGTTCATCTTCGTTTTTCGATGAAGAACGTACTACATTACATACGAAACATAGTAAAATACGTTATCTACAACAGAATAAAGTGGCCGATATTAATATTTATAAAGATTTACCAGAATATCTACCACAACCACTAGTCGTTGGTAATCGTGTCAATGCATTAGCTAGACAACATGAAGGTCTACATTTTGGTACAATTGAAGGCATTAATCCATCGAATGGTACATATCGTGTACGATTTAATCGTGATGAATTAGGTTCATTAACCATACCTGATTATGATATATCATCATCAGATATACCACAATTAGCGCCATTATCATCATTTCAGATTAAAACAAGAAAAACATGGAATCTATCGAATCGTATTGTTGATTCAATTGCTACGGTTGAACCACATCTTTTAACATCATCATCATCATCATCATCAACAACAACAACAACAACATCCATACAACAACAACAACAACAACAGCAACAGCAGTCAGAAATAATTGCAAAACAACGTTCAAAAATATTAGAAGTTGATCAATGTATCGGTGGATTTCCAATCAAATTTTTAACCTATATGGTTAAAGCATCGAAAATATTGACATTAAAAAAACGTAAACTAACCGAATTACAAGCAATGAATACAAAAATCGAACGTATGACAACATTATCAATGCCGATATCATATACATTTAAAAAACAATATGCATTGACCATATTGGATCTGGAACGTACCAATAAAGAACTTTGTTTTCATTTGAAAAAAATTCAAAGCTACAGTCTACAGATTGCATTGGATGGTAAATTAAAAAGTCTACGGCCAGATGTATTGACACAAAAATATCAAATTGAATCCAAACAATTGATTGAAAAATTACAAGGAAAATTTAAAGTTAGCGAAAAAATGCGAGATTTAATCATCAATCTAATGTGTTTATTGGTACATTTACGTGGATTTCGTGATTGTGAGATAAGCTCACATGAATTTGAATCATTATTGAAAGCATTGTCAACTATTCGTGACATGATACATCGCGATAATCATGATACATTTCAAAATAATGTTGAAATACATATTCGTCATATAATGACCTGTGTATCACATTTAGGTAATGTGGGCGCTTTTGCTGAATCCACAACATCATCATCATTATCATCAACAACAACGATGTCGACATCGAATTTGTATAATAATGCTAATAGCAATAATAACAATAATAATAATATCAACAATAATAGTAGCAGCAATAGCAGCCAATCCAATCAACATCATCATCATCATCATCAAAATGATATGATCAAAACGGAAATCAATTGACCACATTGGAACAAATCGAAAAAAATGGACTTATTATCACCATTCATTCATTCATTTCATTCGTTTTCAATTTTATTATTGTCATGTGTTATTAATATTATCGATATAATATTCATTGTAATCTGATTTGCTATTAACAAATTTTATCCAATCACTTTTTTTTAAAGAAAATAAATAAAATCCAATCCAATATATTGATCATTTTTCATTTTTGAAATTCCAATAATCCAAATTCGAATCATATGTGAAAAAAAAATGTCAATATAAAGAACCCAGTAACGCCATCTATTATTGGTTATTCTAAAAAAATAATTTAATGATTGTTTTTTGATATTTGCATGAATAAGAAAACGAAATAAACAGACAAAAATAAATAAATAAATAAATTTTTCAGACATAAGTTTTTTAATAATAATCAGTCAAAAGTTTAATATTAAATTGGTTTTACCAGAAAATCAAAAAAAAAAAAAATATCCACTTGTCTTTTTAAATAGAATTTCTTTTTGAATTTTTTAGTTTAATAACAAATGATGATTCACAATATGTACTCGATGAACAGGCACAATTACATTTACAAATGCTTCTATCTCTTTTGGATGGCTATCATCATTTTGACTATTTCTTTGCCGCTACTACATGTTTTTATGTTGTTGAATAAAAACGGTTAGATTTTGGCGGTTGAATGTCTCGTGTGTTTTTACATGAAATTCGATTTTTTGTCTCATTTATTATCATTTTCAATTTGCATTCGTTTTCAAACATGGAACCATCATCATCATCATCATCACAACAATCCAACAATGTTGAAGTTGAAGTTGAAGATAAAAAGCTTGAAGATTATGATATCGGTAAGCCACTTGGACGAGGAAAATTTGGCCGTGTTTATCTTGCCCGAACTAAAAAAGAACATTTTTTTGTGGCATTGAAAACATTGTTCAAAGAACAATTACGAAAAGACAATATGGCCCATCAATTACGGCGTGAAATTGAAATTCAATTTCGTCTACAACATAAAAATATATTGCGGTTATATGATTATTTCGATGATGAACATCGTATTTTTCTTGTGCTTGAATATGCACCACGTGGTGAATTGTATGAAAAATTGAAAAAAGTCGGTAGATTTGATGATATGAAAGCGGCCACTGTAAGTATAAATTGATTGATTATTATTTTATTAGTTAATGAAATGTTATTTTATTCAAATGCTACAGTACATTAGGCAAATGATTGCGGCATTGAAATTTTGCCATGAAAATAATGTTATCCATCGTGATATAAAACCGGAAAATATTCTTCTCGGTTATCATGGTGAATTGAAAATTTCCGATTTTGGCTGGTCAGTACATGCACCATCACAACGACGGAATACAATGTGTGGTACAATTGATTATCTACCACCGGAGATCGTTCTACGACAGCGATATGATCATAATGTCGATATATGGTGTTTAGGTGTATTGACATATGAATTTCTTTGTGGTCGTCCGCCATTTGAATCGGCCGATATGCAGACAACTTATGATCACATTACTCATGTAAAATTTTCCTATCCCAATTATGTTAGTGATTTGGCCAAAGATTTCATATCAAAATTATTGATATTTAAACCGGAAAATCGAATGCAATTAATTGAAGCTGAAAAACATGATTGGATCAAACAATTTGCCATCACAGAAGATGATGTAAATTATCGATGCTCAAATTGTGGTGTTGCCAAATTTGTTTGACATTAATATTCATATTTCATATGTGATCAAATATTCGAAAAATTCTTTTTTATTATTATTATATCGATAGATACAAATTACATTTACGAAAAAAAAACTGAAAATAAAACCAATTGATAATCTAATTTATTATCTCTGTATATATATATGTCTGTCTATTTATATGTATCTGTGTGTGTGTGTGTGTGTGTGTGTATAATCTGGTAATCTTGATTTTTTTAAAAAAATTTAAATCAATCAATCAATCAATCAAATACAAGGGAAAAGAAATAAAAAAAAAATTAACATTTAACAAAACAAAAAAAAACATACACATACACACATGATCAAGAGAGAAAAAGAGATTATCTGAAGAAGACAAAATTATCGGTAGGAAAAAAAACCAAAATTTCCAATCAATAAATTGATTCACATTCCAATGCCGTTGTCTTTCGTTCGTTCGTTCGTTCGTTCGTTGCTGCTAAGTAGAGAAAAATTGATTCTATTCATTTCATTTCTTGGTTTTTTTTTTTTTGATTCAATTTTATGATGATTTATATCGAAAATGATAATTTGAAAAAAAAACAATCGAAAGTATCAAGTGTGTGTGTGTGTGTGTGTGTGTGGTGTGGTGAAATTGAATGGTTGAATTATTAGTATAGATTCACAGAAATGAAATGGATATCTAAAAAAAAAAAAATATCCAGTCCAATATAAAAGAGAGAGAGGTATCAATAAATGGGAATAATAATTGATTGATTGGATGAATGAATGAATGAATGAAAAAAATGGATCTAAAAATGGAATGAAAGCAAATGAAAAAAAAACGAAGAAAAAAAATCCAAAATTAAATTAAAATGATACCTACAGGTACCACATATATATATCTAATAGATTCAGTGATTGTTGTGTGTGTGTGTATTATGAAATATAAGCCACAAAAAAGATGCAGAGAGAGAGAGAGAGAGAGAGAGAGAGAGAGAAATTCTGATTGATAGAATGGAAATGTGAAAAAAAAAATTTATATGACAAATGACGAGGTGTTGATGTATTCTCAATGGCGAATGAATGAATGAATGAAAAAAAAACAGGAAAAAAAATCGATGATTGATTGACGAGCACACACATAAATCCATAATAAGATTTGGGGCCCAGAATGAAGAAAAAAAAACAATGAACGAAATGAGAAATGCAATGAAAATGATGAGATGCCAAAAAGAAAAAAAAAATCGGAATCATTTCTAAGTGGAAAAATTGAAAAAAAAATTTTTTTTTCAAATCAATCATATATGATTCATTATTAAACACTTACATTTTGGATTATAATCCAAAATTTTCCATTAAAAAAAGTTGATCATATTAATAATCCATCCGAGAAAATTGAAAACAAAAAAAAAATCAATTCTGATCAATCGATCAGTGGGGCGATCCGGACACGTTTCTTTATTTGTAGGAGCACATATAACAACAGCTGGATGATGGTGATAATGATGATGATGATGATGATGATGATTAGTTGACTATTATTTGTATTTTATTAAATTTTAATCGATTAAATTTCATTCAATTCATTATTTGATTGATTTTAATAGCCACCATAATGTTTCAATGGAACTTTGACTTCTTTATAATGATGTTCGACTCTGTATCCCATAATAAATGGGTGGTAATAAAGAATCATCAATGGATTTTATTAGATGATGAATAGATGAAAAAAAAAACTTACAAAACTGGTACATGTTTCTTAACAATATAGGGCACTTCTTTAAAAACCGGTATAATTTTATGTACCGGTTTTGGTACAGGATATGGAACATGTTTCATAATAGGTACAACCACTGGTTTCGGTACTTTTACCGGCACAGGTACTGGATATGGTTTTGCAACTGGTACATGTTTTGGCACATGTACTATATATGGTTTTGGTACCTGGAATTTTTTTTCAAACAGATGAAGTGTGGGGGGAGGCATCGGAAAAAAAACATGAAAAATTTTTAATTAGAGCTTTTAAACAAAGAAACCTATCTATGGTAAATATAAATCGATTATGATTGATGGACAACAACAACAACAACAACAACAAAAAAACTATCATCCTTTTTTTTTCTTCTTTATCCAAATGATGAATTTGTCTATAGTGTTAGCCATGTTCAGTCAAAATAGATTCGAATGATGATGTTGATGTTATGATCAACAACAACAACAACAACAACAACAAAAAAAAACGGACATTCCAAAGGAAAAAAAAATCAACTGTTGCTGCTGTTGATGATGATGATGATGATGGTAACAATATGGCCGTTGGCGTTTATATCTGATTATTATTATTATTTTGTGTAAATGTGGAAATTACCATCATCATTTTGATGATTATGATTATGATGATGATGATGATGATGAAAAGTGAGTGTTTGAGAGAGTCCTACATATAAATAAATTTTATATAGAAAGCGGTAGAGAGAGTCTGAATAAATGAAGAAAAGAAGAAAAAAAAAATATATTCAGCCATGTCCATGACAACAGCAACAGTGATGACGACGATCGCGACCTGACTGACCCAAATTTTTTTCGGTTTGGTTTGGTTTGGTTTGAAAATACACACACACACACACACGCCAAGCATCATTGTTTATTTCTACCCGAAATGTTATTTGGCTTATGTCTCAACTGAATGAAATGAAATGAATGACCTATCGAAATCGATTGACCAACTGACCATTTAAAGAATATAATGGCTTAACTTGTTGCTGTTGCTGCTGCTGTGGTTATTGTTGCTGGCTAATTCGGTTTCATTCAACAATTTGGTTTTTTTTTCTTCTCCGAAATTATCTTTCAATGGATGTTTGACATGCTCAATTTTCACTATTTGAAATTATCGTTATTTTTTTTCTTCTTTTCTTATGTATAAGAAAAATGAAATGAAATGAGATCCAAACCAAGCGAAGTAAGTAATCTAAATCCGAATCTGATCAATCATCTAATCATCATCATTATTATAAATTAATAATTGTTTTAGATGATGATGATGATGATTAACCAGTTTAACTTTTAAATTTTGATGGAAAATAATAGTAATCTATTTATTCAGTACATCAGCAGCAAAAAAAAAAAAAAAAATAAAATAAAAATTATGTATTGGCAACAGGTAGGCAGCAGAAATTTTCAATTATAACAAGACAACCAACGCTGAAGACGAATACGACGATGATGATGATTATTATTATCATAATCACATCGAAATACACACACACAGACAACCAGTCCAGTAAAAGGTAGGTTGGCATCATCATCATCATCATCATCATCATATGTGAATAAAGGCAACGAAAAGAAAAAAAAAATGGGAATGATTATCGTCGTTATGGTAATTGTATGAATTGTTTGTCGACTACTACTACTATATAGACAGCGATATATTTAGATCATCATCATCATCATCATCATCATGATCATGAACATAATCATGACCATTTAGGTAGATATCGTTTTTGAACAAATGAAGAAAAAAAAAGTGATTCAGCCCTTTCACTATCATCATCATCAAATAAATAAATAAATCGATGACAAACAAAAAAAAAAAAAAAAAACCAGACAGTTATTTTCAGCCATTCATAAAAATGATTCAATGATTATGGTATACCACTTGAATAAACAAACAATGATGATGATGATGATGAAGAAGAAGAAGAAAAAGAAAAACTTTGAATGAATTTGATAACCGAAACGATACGATTTGTTTGGATTTTTCTTCATTTTCAAGGATCATCATCATCATCCAAATCATCCAAAATCAACAGGTAAATATGATTTGAATATGAATTGACATCAATCATTGATCAAAGATTTTTTTTTTTTTCATCATCATCGTATGGTCATCATCATCATCATCTGAAATATTTTACCACACATTGACCAAAAAAAAAAAAAAATTTTTGCATTGAAAATATCGAGAAACAAAAAAATGTAAGCTTTCGGTTATTTTATTTATTTTGACACTATTTTTGGCACATGCACACATCATCATCATCGAGGATTTGCTGCCATCATCATCATCATCCAAACGAAATGAGAAAATTTTTTTTTTTCGTTGTTTTCACCTTATGCGCCGTTTTTTATATATTTTGCTTGGCATCATATTATTATCATCATCATCATTATAAATGAGCAAGCATTCAATCGATTGATGAAATGAAATGAATGAATGAATGAAAAAAACCGAATTGCCTGAAGAAAATTATTTTCTTGTTTGCTTAAAATGAAATGAAATGAAATGAAAAGAAGAAATTTTTCTTTATCGGATATCTGACTGACTGTTTTTTTTTTTTTTTTTTTTGGCCAAAGATAGCTCTCTCTCCCTCTCTTGATAGATGGTGAACAAAATCATCAATATCAAATTCATTTCACTACTACCGATGACTATGACGATGATGATGATTGATTTAATAATAATAAAAAAAAACTTATTCAAAATCTAGTGATTAGCCTGATTATTGGAACAAAACAAAACAAAAATTGAAACTAACCTATCAACCTGTTACCTGTTATTACTACTACTACTACTACTACTACTACCAATGTATAATGATTGATCAAAAAAAAAATGATGATGATGATGATGAAAAGAAATACACTTGACAGATGGTTTTTTTTTTACTATTCAGTGATTTGAAAGTTTTCTATTTTTTTTTTTTTTTTTATTTAGCTCAGCTTAGCTTAGTGTTGATGTTTTTGAATCTAAATTTAGTCTAGTTCATTGGTGTTGTTGTTGTTGGTTTTTTTTTCTTTCTTTCTTTTTTTTCTAATCATGTGTTGATTATTGAAAAAAATTTTTTTGTTTTTTGTTTAAAAAAAAAAAAATTTGTTCTACAAACTTACCTTGACCGGAACCGGTACCGGCATTGGTTTTGGTACCGGGAATGGTTTTGCAACTGGTATTGGTTTCAATACTGGATATGGTGCATAAACATGTTTAGTTACCGGTACAATAACATGTTTGGGCACAAATTTTGCCACCGGTAATGGTTTAAATATTGGATATGGTTTCGGTACCAATACTTTTTTATAAACTGGATATGGTTTTGGATATGGTACATGTTTGGCTATATGTTTAACAATTATTTTCACTGGTCTTGCATATTCAACATGTCCATAACCACCACCACCATATCCATTACATTCAATTAGAATACAATGGATATTTATCGTTATAAACATTATCATTATAATATGCCTCGTTATTGTTGCTGTTTTCATTGTTTTTGTTGCTGTTGATGATTTTTTTTTTATTTTCATCATCATCATCATCTTCGTTGTCGTCGTTGTATTTGTTGTTGTTGTTGGTGTTGGTGTTGCCATTTTTGTTAATTTTCTATCACTTTTTTCTATTATCATCATTATTGTTTATTGATTGATCCTAAATGAAATTTAAAAATTTTGTAATTCAGGAATTTCCAAATTTTGTAAAAAAAAACATCAACAACAACAACAACAACCAACTTACCTTTTATTGTCTATATAGGATGAGTAAAATATTGCCTTCAAATTGATTCTTTAAATGGACAAACAAACAAAAAAAAATTCGTTGATTTCACACACACACACACACAAAATTGATTGATGAATTTTAAAATTTGAAACCCACAAAAAAAAAATTTTTGCATATATTCAATCCATCATTATTCACTTGTTGAATTTTAAACACTTGTTGAAAAAAAAATAAATTTTTTTTTTGATCACGTGTTTTTTTTTGTTGGTCAAATTAAATTGAAATTATAATGCACACACACACACACACACACACACATGCACATATATAAATTGATTTTACATTTCTCATTTAAATCAAACCGATCGATCGATCGTCGTCGATAGTGAATGAATGAATGAAATGTATGAAATGTTTCGGTATTTTTTTTCGATTATGATGATGATGATGATGGTGTGCTGTTTTGAACAATAACAACGGCAACAACAAACACAAATAAACAACAACAACAACAACAACAAGAAGATGTAAACGAAACGAAAAAAAGAAAAGAAAAAGAAAAACGTTGTTTCAATCTATGTAAGACGTGTGTGTGTGTGTGTGTGTTTGTCGGTATTCACTGATGATGATGATGATGATTATCTGTTTTCTTCCACCTGGTATCCTGTGTGTGTGTGTGTGTGTATGTTTTTTTCTAAATGAAAAAAAAACTGGCTTAATAAAATAAATGCTGCTGTTGTTGTTGTTGCATATTTTTTTTTTAATAATAATAATAATTTCTTCTTTTCACAACAACAACAACAACTATATCATCATTGTAATAAAACGGTAATGAATGAATGAATGAAACGATGAACAAACATTTATAATACACACAACCTAGTTGTTGTTGTTGTTGTTGTTGTATGGAAAAGTTGGTCGTTTTTTTATTATGAAAACAAAAAAAATTTTTTTTTTTACATAACCCGTGTCTGTGTCTGTGTTGTTGTTGTGACTATTACTGTGTGTCTTCTGAATGTTTTTGTGTGTTTTAGTGACAAGCCTGAATCTCTCTCTCTCCCGCTCTCTCACTTTTTCATTTTGTAAATTTAAAATCTTTCTCTTTAAATATAATTCAATAAATGATTGAAAACGGTTTTTTTTCTGACTCTTTTTTTTCTATTCTTCTTCTCCATGTTTTTGGTTCGGTTATTACACAAAAACGGTACAATCCGATCAATAGTGTACTACCTTTTTTTTCACCATCACCATCACCATCTTTTTCTTCTTCATCGGGCGATGATATAATTCCCGTCCAGGTAAAAAAAAATTTTTTTTATTAAAGAGCTAGCTTTGCAGCAAAGAGAAAATACTGTCAATCATTCATCTTTTTTTTCTCTTCATCTTCTTTCATATTTCCTATTCTCACCAGATTTTTTTTTTTCATTTGCAAACAAAAAAAAGATGGTAAAATCAAATACCCGAGATTTATATAGAGAACGAACGAAAAAAAAAATGAATAAATTGAGACGGGTAAGTCTGTGCTAATTACATACCAATTTTTGGTGTAGTGGTCGTTTTTATATCGGGTTTAGTGTGTGTGTGTGTGTAGTGGTGGAAAATTGTTTTGCCCGGTTATTCATCGGTTATTTGCAAAGGTTTTTTTTTCATTATTTTCATCGTAACACACACACAGACACACAGAAAAAGAGAACCATTCATTGAATGATACCATTGAATTGGCTTTTACGACAATGATGACGATACTGTTTAGTATGTATGGCCTGGATATTATCTATCATCATCATCATCATAGACATAGCGGGCTGGCTGCTGTTGCTGCTGCTGCTGGTATGTTTGATGTCCAAACTTTTGGGTCTTTAAAATGGTCGAATCATTCATTCCATGAATTCCAGTCATGTAGCTCAGGTGTATGTGTGTGTGTGTGTGTGTGTGTGTGTAAATAGTTACCATTGCCAAATGGTAATAGTAAAATTCAACTATATATTGGATATGACCTAATTTTTTTTTTTTTTTTTTCTTCCATCCATTTCTGGAGATTGTACACACACACATACACATACACCTGACAGCCAACAGCAACCTGTTGAATTTTTTTTTCTTTCATTTAAATGTGTGTGTGTGTATGATGGTTTGGTAGTTTTTGAAAATTTAATCAATTTTTTTTCTGGTTTTGGTTTTGGTTCGGTCAGGTAGGAAGGAAGTATGGCAAAGTGGATAGAAAAGAATTTTAAATTCTTTTTTAAAAATGGAATGCAATGGAAATGAAATGTACACATACACCCACCCACACGCTTACATTACGCAATCATAATGTTTTTATTTGATGATGATGATGATGATGATGGATTATAATGGGTGAAATGAAAACGAATTACCAGTGCTATTTTAACCCAAAGATTTATGTTTATCATCATCATAATAGAGAGATAGTCATGCATGGAGATGATAATGTGCGTGTGTGTGTCCATCATTCATTCATTCATTCATTTTTTCCACCTACGCATTATTTAAATATGAGAATCATTTGTTGTTTGTCATCATCATCATCATCATCATCATCATCATCATCATGTTAAATTTATTTACTTTCACCTTTTTTTCTGATTTATCCGAATAATAAATAACCAGAAAGCCGAACCAGAAAAAAAAATCGAGAGTATTTTTTTTCTAAATTTTAATTAATACGGATGGCGCCATCTTTACGATTGTCAAGAAATTTTTTTTCTTGTTTGTGAAATTTTTTTTTATATCAAACAAAAGACAAAAAATTATTAATGTAGACCCCCTTTTGCCGAGATTATAACAACAACAACAACAACAAAAAAATCGTTCGACCAATCAATCAATCATCTAATTTTTTTTTTTTTTGGTCGGAAGTGTTTTTTTTCTAGTATTGTTTTATTGTAAAAACAAAAGATTTTGTTCATCATCAGAAGTATCAAAAAAAAAAAAAAAAATCAACAGGTTGCATTATGATCATCTGTTGCTGTTGTTGTTGTTGTTGTTGTTGGTTTTGTTTTTCGGCAGCTATTTTTTTTACTATTACATCAATCAATCAATTTCGTTAATCCTTGCTATATTGTTTTTGGTCAATCAAAACACACACACACACACACACACTGCATGATTCATCTTTACATTTAAAAAAATTTTTTTTTCCAATTGTAAACAATCATCATCATCATCGAATGGTAGCCCGGAAAAAAACTACACCCACTACCAAAACAGTAACAGGGGATTTGAATGAAAAAAAACAAAACAAAACAAAACAAAAAAAAAATCTGGTGATTAAACAGAAAAAAAAACCCGGAAAACAAGTGTCAAAAGAAAAGAAAAAAATCCAGCTTAAAATAATCGATTTTAAAAATTATCGATTCAATCGATTTCACACACACACACACAGAGAAAGACAACATACATTGTTATTTTGAACAACAGCAACAATCAAACATGTTTTACATGTATGAAATGGATGAAAATTTTTGTCGAAACAAAAATTTTCAATAATTCAGATTGATAATTGCAAAAGTAAAAAAAAAAAACAACTTGTTGATTGTTGTTTCTCTCTCTCTCTCTCTCTCTGTGTTTGTCTATGTAAAAGAAGCGACAACAATAATTATTCGGCCCATTTGATAATGATGTTGATGATGATGATGATTGGGAAAAAATCATCGATGACAAAAACGCGATAACAATAATGATAACAAGTAGCTTGAATAATAATCACACATTCCCATCATTATAATCATCATCATCATCATCATCATCGGGTATTACACCCGGATCTTAAACTATACACCGTATAACCGGTTAATCGGTATTTGTTTCAAGAAATATTTAACACACACACACACACACACACGAACGCACAAACATCGAGAAATTGTCAATTCAATTAATTTTCATTTAAAATAGAAGAAAAACAAAAAAAAAAAAAAAAAGTATCACACACACATACAAGTGACAAAAAAAAAAATTTTTTTTTTTTGTTTGTTTTGTTTGACAAACAAGTTTTTTTTTACTTGAAATTTTCTTTACAAATTATTTCTTCTTTTTTTGCACATCTCAAATCACACACACACATTTGATCCAGATATCCATTAAAATGAGATGAGATTGATTGATTGATTGATTTTTTCCCATCGTCGATAAACTATTTTCGATATCTGGTACATGAACAAATGTTTATCGATAATCAATTCACACTTTTGTTTATTTCATTTCATTTCAAATTTTCGTTTTTTTTCTTTTTTGTTGTTGTTGTTGCAAATTGATGATTATTCATTTGATCCATTCTCGGATGCAACACAACAGCAACAACAACAACTACTGCGACCAAACTGGCCAGCATTGACCTGTAGGCCATTTATTTTTATGAATTTTAAATATAAAAAAAAATTGTATACATTTGCAGTAAGTAAAGTGAAAAAAATGGAAATTTTTTTTCATCATCTTCTTCTTTTTTTCCATTTTTTAATAACATAATCGTTTTATATTATATATATATAACCATCTCATCGATTATCGATTATCGATTATTATTGTAAATGTTGTTTTTTTTCTGTAATGATATCCATCGCATTGCATCTTTGTTCTTAATAATAATAATAATTATTATCCATTTGACCATTGCGCATTTGATGACCGGTTTAGTTTTTGTTTTTCGTTTTCGGTCAACAACGATAACATCAATAGTAGACTAGTTGTGTTGTTTGATCTATAAATATCGATATATTTTGTTTAATGTCTACGTGTGTGTGTGTG